GCGGTCGTTCTATGACCTCATGTTGAGTCCAAATAAGGCGCGCCCAGCCGCAGGATTACTCGCACACCTTGTGAGGTGTGGCCTATCGTTTCTTCGTTAGCTGTAAAGCGCTCCGCCAATCCAAAGCGGTGCTATAGACGACCTTCGGGGAGCGGACTTGCCGCTAGTTGACCCGCGCATCGTAGCAGTTGCGAACAGGCTCCGACAACTCGCGTGAGCTCGTGGGCTCTCCTACACGCTTTGGCTGCGTGTTGTGCGACGTGCGGACGCGTTGACGCCGCTTCATTCCCCCAATTGCCGCATACGAGCGCCCATGACGGAGGTATCGCCGGTCTACGTTTAATTGACGAGATGGGTGCTTCATTAACTCTGTTGCTCGGGCGAACACCTGCATATCTGAACGCATTCATGATGTAGGCTGAGCTGGGCGTACTGCCAAGTGCTCAGGGCCACTTCTCACATGTACAAGTTTCAACTCCGATTGGTATCCATGCAAGGATTGCGGCGCATCACGCAGTAGTAGGTAGCCAGAAGGCATGTTCCGCCTATTCCGTGAGTGGGCAAAGATCATCGGGTAAACCTATCGACCTACTTCATGCGATACAAGCGTGTTTGAACGTGTGTGTTGGACTATAGGTACGGGCGCCTCAAGATGGTACATGATCGAGAGATCAATAGCGGTCCATGCACCATTCGTCTTTGGAAGAGCCATGGACGGCCCTCATCAGCTATCCTCCGAAGATCGTGCGCGTTCTTCACTCCGACTTCACTCTGTTCTTGTATCGTATCTATCCGTATGGTTAGAGCAACTTACGACAAGTTCGGGACGATCAACGGGGCGACAATGAACGAATCGACGTGCCGTACTTAGAAGGAGCCCTACAACTCGAAGCGGAAGCAGAAGCACATACGCTAGCTCTTGAAGCTTGTCCCTCTTTGTTCGTATTGTCAAGCGCAGTTTATGTGCACTACAAAGGTGATCGACCAGTACAGGAATGGTAATGTTCAACTTAGATTCGATTAGGTCTTGCGCGCTACCGGGCGCCGGTCCAAGACTCCGACGAAAATATCAGTGTGCTTCTTCGTCGGCGGATAGTCCACTAAGATCCCCCAAATACGTACTACAATATACCGAACAGTAGGGCGGGACGGACGTTGGTATTGTCCGAGATTCGATTCAGGTCTTCCCGAATCCAGTCTCCAAACCGAAGATACACAATAAGCTCGGTACCCTCCATCAGTAAGTTACCTACATCAGTAGATGATTCGGCCCATCATCACCTTCACGATACATTTGTTATGCGAATCATCTTCCGTAGTTGATCTATAGATGGCCGCGAAACAGACGACCGCGAACGACGTCAAGTCGTTCGACCACAACGTTCAGAAATGCCCGTTCACAATGCCTTCAGATGGATGGAGGGTATTTCAAATGATGTACCAAAATATACAAACAACAATATACTAGCGCGGGCGTCAGTAAAGACTCCTCGCAACAGGTGACTGGGGACACTCACACAGGAGCCCAAAGTAAGAGATAGTTACTATGCCACCTGCATTGGGGTGTCTTGAGGAGACGTCGGCCTCGTCGGGTATGCTGAAGTTCGAATAGGTGGAGGGGTGATAGTCGGCGATATTATTTGCCCGTGTGAGCGAGAGGGCGGCAATTCGATAGGCGCGATGAGCTGCTTCTCGGCGTCAGGACTATCGTAGTTCTCAGTATCCTGCTAGCGATATAGGACGTGTTATTGGAGTTCGCACCCGATCTCGCGGTAAAGCAGCTGGTTCAAAGCCGCGTCCTTATCACTTCGCGCTCGTTCTTCCTCGATCCTCACAGTGCGCAACTCCTCCGCGAGTAAAGCATGCTCGTTCATAGCGCACTGATACTTCGTCTTGAGAACGAGGTATCGCACTATATCACGCGGTCGACCGTGTATTAAGCCAGTAGCAGGGTCAGCCTGCGAGAGCAACTGCTCCGGGATGCCCTCATCATCGTCATCGTCCGAATAACCCTCACTGTCGTCTCCCATTTGCCTAGCGACTTCGGCAGAAATGTCATTGGACTCATCAGGGAGAGTCAGTTCGGCTGCAGCGCTGGCAGACTCGGACTCTGGGTCCCCTGGCATCTTGCGCTTTCGAGCCTGCGTACGCTGAGGCGGCGTTGGTTCCATGTTATGTTGCAGGCGCATGTGCTTGCCTAAAGCATCGGAACGAGAAAAGGCCTTGTCACATTCTGCGGATCAATGTAAGCCATATGTTCTCAACCAACAGTCAGAGACGTACCTGCGAGCTCACATATGAAGGGCTTCTCGCCGGTGTGCGAGCGCAAGTGCGAGATCAGAGCAAAGCGCGACGTCTGCGGTAAGCCACGCCGTACGCAATTGGACCACTCGCAAAAGTACTTGCTTCTGCTGCTTCCGATATGATCTATGTATGAATTAGGACCCGGATATTGTGAAACAATTTCAGACGTACCGTTATGTAGGTGTTCGATGAAAGAGGGCAAATGGTCGTATACCTTCCCACAGTTCTCCCACTCGCATTTCGCGACATCGTCAGGATCTATTGCGCCCTCATACTCAATCTCTGGAGAGCTGGCGCGAGATGCTGGCGCGGTGCCATCCGGCGCATAGCTTGAAGGCATGCCCTCGTCCGCCGAAGCTTCCGAAGCGGGACCAAGGGATTGCGGTCCAGGTGAAGGCGAGAGACTATACACGCTCGCTGGCATTTCCAACCAAGATGAAACAACACGTGTCAGATGAGTGGCAAGAGATATTGCAGTACGTTCTACAGGTAGTGGTGGGCTGCGGCAACTTCCTCGCGCGCGCCTCGAGGCTCGCGCTTCCCGTTTAGTTCTTCACACGCGGTCTCTATCTCAAACCAGCATGTGGTATGCCGCACTTGCTTCGCAGCACCCGTACTCTCCGTCATCCTACTACTCTTGAATGATGCGTGCTGTCATAGGCAACCTCTGCAGAAGTTGGAGAACACCGCGCACTGACGGGCCGGTGAGCATGACCCCGTCACAGGAGCTCTGCAGAAGAGTTGAACCCGAAAGAAGCGGTGGGCGGCTTAGTGTGCTGTGAATATCTTTGCATATATGGAGGCACTTCTCGAACGCTTCTGTTAGCCTTGAGGTCTCATGGCTGTTACGGGCCGCTCATGCTGGCAACATCCTTGCCCCGTCACTCGTTGAAGCTGGCCGATGACTTGAATCGGAGAATGAACCGCATCTGAGCGCGCAAGAGCGTCCGATGGACAACATGATGACGGGCTTCTCTGCCGCTTATATAGCACGGCAACTCATGTGCAGGGAGTTCAACGATGTTCGCCCTTCTGGTTCTCGTAGCCGTTTGGCTCGATCTCGCAGCCGCGGATTTCCCCGACTGCGTGAATGGTCCTCTAGCATCGAACCTTGTTTGCGACACCACAGCGAACTACACTGCGCGTGCTGCAGCACTAGTTGCGAATCTCACTCTCGATGAAGTCGCTGCCAACCTCGACAACTCCGCACCAGGCGTCCCTCGCCTAGGCCTACCCTCATACCCGTGGTGGTCAGAGGCTCTGGTGCGTCTTCAGATCGTTTCATCTCCCGCAGCACTCTCATGTTCATTCATAGCATGGCGTGGCCGCGAGTCCGGGCGTCACCTACGCACCCGCCGGCGAACCCTTCAGCTTCGCGAGCTCCTTCCCACAACCGATCCTCATGGGCGCCGCGTTCGACGACGACCTCATCAACGCCGTAGCTACCGTCATCAGCACCGAAGCACGAGCATTCAACAACGCGAATCGCTCCGGGCTCGATTTCTTCACGCCGAACATCAACCCTTTCAAGGATCCGCGATGGGGTCGCGGTCAAGAGACGCCCGGCGAGGATCCGACGCACATCGCTCGATATGTCTATTCTCTTATCACCGGACTTCAAGGCGGGCTGGGTCCAGATCCATACTACAAGATCGTAGCCGATTGCAAGCACTTTGCCGGTACGCTTCATCCATCTCTCCTATACCGAGCGTAGACTCATGTGAATCCCATAGGATATGATCTCGAAGACTGGGAGGGAAACGTACGATACGGCTTCGATGCTATCATAACCCAGCAAGACTTGTCCGAATTCTACACTCCGAGTTTCAAGTCGTGCGTGCGTGATGCGAAGGTTGGATCTGTCATGTGCAGGTATGTTCATTACTTCTTGAACCCTATAGGCTATCCGATCAAGCGCTAACCTATCCGGCAGCTACAACGCCGTGAACGGAATCCCGTCCTGCGCATCGTCTTTCCTCCTTCAAGATCTTATCAGAGACTTCTTTGGGCTCGCCGACCATGATGGTTGGATCACCAGCGATTGCGACGCTGTTGATAACGTCTTCGATCCGCACGCGTACACCACAACGCTGGTGAACGCCACTGCTGTCAGCATTAAGGCCGGAACGGACGTGGATTGTGGTACCTCGTATGGAACATCGCTTGTAGAAGCTGTCAATAGCTCTCTCGTCGACGAGGCATCCGTGCGTACAGCGTTGACGCGTTTGTACGGCTCTCTCGTGCGGTACGCACCTCTACTCTTCTTGCAACCATTGAAGTCTGACTAAGTCTCCTTCAGCTTGGGCTACTTCGACCCGCCCGACAATCAACCCTTCCGCTCTATCAGCTGGGACGACGTCAACACCCCCGACGCCCAAGACCTCGCGTTCACTGCAGCAGCAGAAGGCATCGTACTCCTCAAGAACGACGGCCTACTCCCGCTCTCCAACACTTCCATGCCCAACATCGCGCTCATCGGACCCTGGGCGAACGCAACGACGCAGATGCAAGGCAACTACAATGGACCTCCGCCTTTCTTCATCACTCCTCTACAGGGCCTTCAAGACGCCGGCTTCAATGTCACGTTCTCGCAGGGCACTGACATCAATGGACCGTTGACGGATGGGTTCCCACCCGCTATGGCTATTGCGCAGGATGCGGACGTAATCATCTTCGCGGGTGGCATCGACAACTCGATAGAGGCAGAGGCCATGGATAGGAACAACATCACCTGGCCCGGAAACCAGCTGCAGCTGATCGAGCAGCTCGCCGGCATGGGCGTGCCGCTGGTCGTGCTTCAGATGGGTGGCGGACAGATCGACTCATCCGAGTTGAAAGCCAATGACTCTGTACGCAACTTCGCTCTTCATGTTGACTGCTACGATCTGACTTGCCACTTCAGGTCAACGCACTCATCTGGGGCGGATACCCCGGTCAAGCCGGAGGCGCCGCTCTCGCCGCCATCATCTCCGGCGCCGTCGCACCCGCCGGCCGCCTCCCAACCACACAGTACCCTGCCGCCTACGTCGACGAAGTTCCCATGACCGACATGAACCTTCGCCCTTCATCTACCAACCCCGGACGCACATACAAGTGGTACACCGGCACGCCCGTCTTCGAGTTCGGCACCGGTCTCCACTACACGAACTTCACCATGTCCTGGGGCGCACCGGTTCCTTCCTCGTTCGCCATCTCAGATCTAATGACTGCGGCCGCTGAGGCCGCGCATCCCGATATCGCGACACTCTTCAACTTCACTGTGAATGTTGCCAACACCGGCTCGGTGGATAGCGATTATGTCGCGCTGCTGTTCAGCAACACGACGGCTGGACCTCAGCCTGCACCGCTCAAGACGCTCGTGTCGTACGCGCGCGCACATGGCGTTGTCGCAGGCGGGAGCAGCAATGTTACGCTGAGTGTTCCACTCGGTCAGATCGCGAGAGCGGACGAGGACGGGAACAGCGTTCTGTACCCTGGCACCTACAATCTTTGGATCGATACGGATGCACGGCTTACAGCAAGCTTCGAGGTAACGGGAGACGAGACGAGGTTATTGACCTGGCCCCAACCTTCATGAACGACTGATTGCGGTATGAATGACAATGATATGAGTTTGTAGTACTGTCTCGTTGTAACACGTACACTACATGTTTCATCACACATTTTGGTCTCTTGCTTCTTGTTCGAAGTCTTCCGGGCAGTCTGTGAGATCACTGAGATGTAACATCGAGGGGTATATTGACGCCGCAGCTCGACGTTGTATCCATCAAAAACACTTCATCAAACCGTACGAGTAAGTAAAGAGAGAACGTAATGGAGGGGGGGTAGAGAAGCGATATGAAGCGATAGACGTCGCAGTCTAACACGGCCAGTACCAATAAAAGGAGTATATGCTTTTAAGAGACAAACACATGCAGCCTCAAAACGCTTACTCCTCCTCCTGGACGACCTCCTCCTCGTACTCACCCTCCTCCTCGGCCGTCGCATCCTGGTACTGCTGGTACTCGGCAACCAAGTCCTGCATGTTCGACTCTGCCTCAGTGAACTCCATCTCGTCCATACCCTCCTGGGTGTACCAATGCAAGAAGGCCTTGCGCTTGAACATGGCAGTGAACTGGTCGCTAACGCGGCGGAAGAGCTCCTGGATCGCAGTGCTGTTGCCGAGGAAAGTGACAGCCATGCGGAGACCGCGGGGAGGGATGTCACACTGCGCGGTGAGAACGTTGTTGGGGATCCACTCGACGAAGTAAGCAGAGTTCTTGTTCTGGACGTTCTGCATCTGCTCCTCGACCTCCTTCATCGAGACCTTGCCACGGAAGATGGCGGCGACGGTGAGGTAGCGACCGTGCCTCGGGTCGGAAGCAGCCATCATGTTCTTCGCGTCGAACATCTGCTGGGTCAACTCCGGTACGGAGACGGCGCGGTACTGCTGCGAACCGCGGGCGGTCAAGGGCGCGAAACCGGTCAAGAAGAAGTGCAGACGCGGGAAGGGAACTGCGAGAATGTTAGTCTCACGCATCACATAGACATAGGAAGGGAGTACGGACCCATGTTGACGGCGAGCTTGCGGAGGTCAGAGTTGAGCTGACCAGGGAAGCGCAGGCAAGTCGTAAGACCGGACATGACGATCGAGACAAGGTGGTTCAAGTCGTTGTAGTGCGGGTTGGCGATCTTGAGCGTGCGGAAGTGAATGTCGTAAAGGGCCTCGTTGTCAATGCAGAAAGTCTCGTCGGAGTTCTCGACGAGCTGGTGAACGGAGAGCGTGGCGTTGTACGGCTCAACGACAGTGTCGGACACCTTCGGCGAGGGCACGACGGAGTACGTGCACATCATACGGTCGGGGTACTCCTCACGGATCTTGGAGATGAGGAGGGTACCCATACCGGCACCGGTACCACCACCAAGCGAGTGGGTGATCTGGAAGCCTGAAATGGACGGGCGTTAAACCTTGCTTGAACTTCACGTGACGCGAGATTGGCGCCAGTCCCAAAATCAAAGCACGTACCCTGGAGCGCATCCGTACCCTCGGCCTCCTTGCGAACGACATCGAGAACAGAGTCAACGAGCTCGGCACCCTCGGTGTAATCTGAAAAAGCGCGTCAGGACTGAAGGTCTTCATGCAAGGTGGAGATACGACCACGCCACCGCCATGAAGCGAGCAGCGCGCGATCGCATCCTTCTTTGAGACTTCACTCACGTCCTTTCGCCCAGTTGTTACCGGCACCGTTCTGGCCGAACACGAAGTTGTCCGGGCGGAACAAGTTGCCGAGAGGGCCAGAGCGGACAGCATCCATGGTGCCGGGCTCGAGATCGACGAGAACCGCGCGAGGAACATACTTGTTCGTGCCGGCCTCGTTGTAGTAGACAGAGATACGCTCGAGCTGGAGGTCATTGTTGCCCTTGTAGTTTCCGTCGTTGTCGAGCCCATGCTCGTCCGAGACAACCTCCCAGAACTTGACACCTGCACAAGATAAGTTCGACGTTCGACACGTGTCGGTGGTTCGGCGTACCGATTTGGTTGCCGCACTATATAAAACACTGTCAGATGGAGCGCATACGCGTTTATCGCAAAGGAACACACCTGGCCGGTCTGGAGGTGGACAATCTCACGCATGCTACCGGAAGAAAGTCAGTGTCCGTGTCATAGCGACGGAAGATGGGACGATAAAGCAGGCGCTGATATACAGCCTACGCGATGCGCTCCTGGCGCACCGACAAGGCTGCGCGCTTTGTACAGAGAGAAATGCAACTCACGTCTCTAGATAGCAAGGGGATGGAGGGAGGTGGTGGCGGGAGGCAGGAGGACAATCAAAAACGAGGTGCACTCGACGCACGGGCGACTTCGGCATCTCCCGCCCGGCTCCGTGAACGAAGTCCCCGCCTTGCGGCGTCGCGCAGGCTGCCACAAGGCTTGCATCGTGCTGTCATAATCTTTCCTTCCTTGCTCGTAGTGTCTATGCTAGGTCCTAATCCCACTGTATATTTGCTATGTCCCTTAGCGGGTTCGCGTACCGTGCGATAGGCGCCATCGAACCAGCCCCGCACATTGCCGACGCGTGTCAAGCGAAATATATAATCTAAAGCCGATGGCCCTGCCGTTGGCGCCGAACATTCGAGGCGGGAACACCGCGCGACCCGGACTTCTGTGTTCGCATCTTGCTCTCAAGAACCCACGACGACGAAGACGTTCTTCACGACGGCCACGACCAACTGTACTTCTACTAGACGACGCAAAGAATGGCTGCGCGCGCTGGCTACACGGCGTTAACGCCTGAAACGACCGTCTTCCCGCCTCGCTGGGTTCCAGCCCCTGTCTCTGAGGCAATTCAGCCTCCATTCGATACTACCATATCCGGCTCTTTCGTGTCGACCAAAGGTAGTCTACATGATGCTCTACACGCTTACTGGGACAAACTGCGCGGCTTCGTGGACAACAATGCTGGATTATTGCTTGTGGCGCTCGCGCAGCTATTCTTCGCGTTTGTGAACGTGAGCGTGAAGGTGTTGAAGGAGATTGATGTGCCGATGCCTACACTGGAGGTACGTTCATCTTGTTATACCTACCACCAGCTTTTGTATTAACCATGGCCCCGCTCCGCTGTCTAGCTGGTGCTTGTCCGGATGGTACGTGCTCGTGTGACGTGATACCCAGATATGTGGCATGCTAAATGGCGCGCAGTCAATCACCTACATCTGCTGCTTGGTCTTCATGTACGCCATCCATACTCTTCGCGACTTAATACCAGTGTATTGACGACTTCACAGGTATTGGCAAAAGGTCCCCGATCCGTTCTTGGGCCCGAAGGGTGTGCGCCTATTATTGGTGTTCCGCGGGTTCATCGGGTACGACCCTGAACTGGCCCTCTCACGAGCGATGTACTGACGGGCTATCCAGATTCTTCGGACTGTTCGGAGTCTACTTCTCTTTGAGATACTTATCCTTATCCGATGCAACCGTTTTGACTTTCCTATCACCTATCTTCACCGGTATTGCAAGTGCGATCTTCCTGAAGGAGCCCTTCTCGAGGAAGGAGCTCATGGCTGGGCGTATGTACGCTCACCTTTCACTTATTATACCTTGCTGACGTCCGTGTAGTATGCAGCTTCGCCGGTGTCATCCTCATCGCACGACCTGAGTTCCTGTTCGGACATGCCGCGCATCCATCACCACCGTCTACTGACGATGCAACCGCATTGGCACCCCCAGCTGAACTTGGAACACCTCACGAGCGGCTGATCGCTGTCGGGTATGTTCTCGCGTTCTCCTTCCGAACATTTGATTGACTGCGCACGCAGTGTGGCTTTGTTGGGTGTGGTGGGCGCTACGGGTGCTTGTAAGATACCGTTATCCTCGCATGGAAAGCGTACTGACCGGGATCGCAGACACGTCTATCCGTGCAATCGGCAAGCGCGCACATCCCCTGCACTCGCTTGCCTTCTTCTCATCACAGTCTTGCGTTGTCGCGGGTATCGGGTACGCTACTAATTCACATCAACTCACACTCTTGCTGATGAGAGGCGCAGAATGGCCGTCACGCATACCGAGATCGTGATCCCCACGCGCTGGACCTTCCTAGCTCTCTTCGGCGTGATTGGTATCGGAGGTTTCCTTGCACAGGTTCTCCTCACGATGGGCCTGCAACGCGAAGCAGCAGGACGTGCGACGCTCGCTATCTATGTCGGAGTACGTATAGCTTTTCGTGTCGAGTACAATGCACTGGCTAATACTGCAATCGCAGATCATCTTCGCACTTGCTCTGGAGAAGATATTCTTCAATGTTTCGCCATCTGCTCTTTCCATGACCGGCACAGCCATCATCCTGAGCTGTGCTTTGTACATTGCTGTGCGTCCTCCTTCCAGCTACAGCTTAGGTTCGGTCTTCCTAACCCGCATCCTTAGCTTACGAAGGAAAACGTCAAGAACAAGCGTCCTGCGCCGCTTTCCTCAGAGGACTCTGCACTAGAGCAGGGCTTACTCAGTCCCGATACCGATGCTGACGAGCATGAGATGCGACCCTTAGATATGGACAAGTCCCCTCGCGTGGAAACTGAGAAGCTGCCGGACGACGACGACCTGTCTCGACGGGACTAGTGACCTGCGTAGACACCTGTTTATTGGATCCATTGGGACCTACTATATTGCTAGATCTATATACCTTGGGTGCCATCCTGTCCTTCATCCCGCTTTACACTCCTACATTCACTCTCCTAGTACTTGCTGGACTTCCTTGCTGATGTCGATCCATCTGAGAGCCTTTGCCTTCATCATCATGAAGTCCGCCAAAACCGGGTGATGGTGATCGGCGCGGGACCGAGTCCAACACCCCATCAAACGGACCTGGATCGCGGCAGACCCGACTGGCCAGGGGTCTTCGGCCAACGTCCACCACTCGCCGACACTTGAGCGTCGTGTTGCGAGAGTTCACGCCGGGAGAGAATAGTCAACGAGTTGAATTTATCCGTAGGTACGATAAGTGTAGATATACTCGGCCGATGCCGAGGTCATGTGCTCTAACCTCAACCCGAACAAGACTGCTGGATGCGGACGAGGGTCCATAATTACAACACGCCCACTCAGACAGCATGTCGTGAGGTACATATGTGAGGAAAGGGGCGTAGAACGCGAAGTTCGCTCTAAAGGTGCGCCCACTGAAGCGAGAAACGGTCGGACAGGTAAACCAAACCGAGAGAAGATGGTACGATCGGAAGGAGGGACCCAAATCGTAAGTAAAGTAAGAAGCGACCGGAATACACCCAAGTCATAAGATCGTAAGATGGTCGGATAACCCAAACCAGAAAAGGGGAAGGCCCGACCGGATAACCCAAGCCGAGAGCGCGCGGAGAGCTCGCGCGCGGGTGCGCGACGTGCGCGACGATTAGAAAAGGCGGTAAGGTTCACGCGCGACTTTGGCGTGAGTGTTCCCATCATCCTTCTTTTCGTCGGCACCGGATGCCTTCTGAGAAGAAGTCGACGAGGAGGGGGCGGCATCGTCGGCGGAAGAGTCGATCTCGGAGAGACCGAGCTTCTTGCGAGCCTTGAAGCAAGTGGCGAGCGAGTGACCCGACTTCTTGCAGAAATCGCACTTCCTCTTGGAGGAGTTGCGAGGGAGATTGGCCTTGAAGGCCGAGTCGGGAAGAGCATTGCGCGAGGCCTCAGCCTGCAGGATCTTCGCGACGACATCCTCGGAGGCGAGCTTGTCCTGAGCCTGAAGCACAGTCCGAAGTGTCTCGAGGGACGAGGGGAGGGCGAGGGTGATGGCGATGGCGAGGAGGTTGTCGTTGAGGTCGAAACCGAGAGCGCGGACCATGCGCGCCTTCGACGAGAGCGCGTTGAGCTGCGGCTCGAGTGGTTCTTCCGCGACAAGCTCGCCGCGGAAAATTTCGGTGATGAGGTGTGCGGCGCGCTGGAAGCCTTTGCCGCGGTAACGATCCTCGAGGCGCGACCAAACTTCGTGTGCGGTCTTGCAGCCGAGAGCAGCTTCGATCGGGCCCGTGCCGATGTTGAAGGTGATTTGCAGACGGGCTTGACGGTCGCGGAGGGTCCACGCAGTGATTTCTGCGGTCTTGGCGTCGTCGGCAAGTTTGTCCTTGCCTTCGACGAGGTCGAGAAGGCCGTATAGCTCGAAAACGGCGCGCTGGCGGAACTCCCACGTCGCCCAGCTTTCGGCGCCAGTGAGGTGTTGGTCGGCAGGAAATTTAATGAGTGTGGTGGTCTCGGAGGACATGTTCGAAACGAGCGGCGGTGTAGAGTATTATTTTGAAAGCAGACCAGGTCTCATAATCTGTTGCGAGAGTTCACGCCGGGAGAGAATAGTCAACGAGTTGAATTTATCCGTAGGTACGATAAGTGTAGATATACTCGGCCGATGCCGAGGTCATGTGCTCTAACCTCAACCCGAACAAGACTGCTGGATGCGGACGAGGGTCCATAATTACAACACGTCGTACATGTGCCGCCCCCCACTTGAATACATGCACAGTGTTATCGGTCTTCCATCCAGCCCAGTTGCTGCCATTGCGATGCACACGATGAGCTTCTGTCTTTCCCCCGGTCTCACGAATCTCCAAAGATGATCTGCGCTGCCTCACGACGGACGCTGACGCGCACAGGCGCTTCGGAGATTCGAAGCCTCGCGCGCCAAACTGAATTGAAAACGTATTTGATGCAGTGTCATTATACGCCACACTCTAATATGGCACTTGATATCACCGGGGACCACCCTGGACGTCTTCTCCTTAAAGTGCGACGACCATGTCCCACCGTGCGTCGTACGGGCCCCTTCCTCTCGACGACGTTAGCCCTACCCCCACGCACACAATGCACTCCCGAAGTAGCTCGATGACCGCGTCCACGCTCGCCCCTTCGCCCAATGCTCAATCTACGTTCGGTGATGGCCCGGCCAAGGTGCGCCGCGCGGCGACGATGAGTTCCGCCGTTGCGTCCATCCCGACACCTGGGACGGTGCAGGAGCGTCCGCCGCGATATGTGCGTACTCTGAACGTATTGACGCGGTCGTCTGGGTGACTGGACGTGCCCTTGTTTTCTAGGAGCCGCTGTTTATGAACCTATGGCTTGTCATACCCGGCTGCGTGCTGCTCATTGCCCTCGGCATCGGGCTCGAGATAGCTTTGGGCATTTCACAGGATCGTCAAGGTGCGTCTTCTGTCCCATCCGAGATGACCGAATTCTCATGTCGGTCGCAGGGTTCAATGTGCCAGAGAAGAACGTCTTTTCCTTTGCTTCGACCCAGTTTCTCACTGTAAGTGACCCACTCCTTGCCGTCTATGAATTTGAAACCGCCGCGCATCACACATGTCCTGAAGTCTGCCCTGATCTGATGGGTATATATCTCTCCGCCGAGGGGGGATACGCCACTCGCTCATGTTACGCCCTAGCTGTGTCGTATCTCCGACCGCAGACTGGGCGCCGCGCCGAAAGTGGGACTAAACCGGAACTGACATGTTGCTTTCAGGCGTTCTTCCCTTCCCTGCTTGTGATCCCACTAGCGTTTCTTGTGCGGTCATTCGACAGCCAACTGCTGGCATGGCAGGTATGTCCATCGCAGCTTCTTGGCACGTATCGTACTCATGCAACCGACAGCCGTACATGGTTCTTGACCGAGGTAACGCGCGACCACAAGAGTCGATCTTGTTAAGTTATGTACGTGATCATCTCACACGCGTTTCATGGCGGTCACTGATCTTTGCGCGCAGAGCAATCTTGAGTACGCACGTGCGATCTTTATACTGTGTATCCGAAACTAACGCCCATCATCACAGTCGCATCAGCGTCGTCTTCTCCGCCTTTATCTATGGCCATAAGTTATTATTGGTGTCTACAATCACCGTTATTCTGTCTTTGAGCTTCCAACCACTCGCGGGTTCTCTGTTCTCTGTACAACAGAAACCGTACACCACATGTGTGTACCTTTCGTGAGCTAGATAAGCGAAGAGATGGCTAAACTGTTTACCACAGCGTCTTCCGTCACGAGCAACAGATTCATTGGTTTGAACCCTGATGCTAGCGACCTTACTGCCTTCGCTTCTGCTGCTGGGGTAAGGTCTCATGTTCTAGTTCAAAAGTCGGAGCACTCATTACGATGCAGTTTGTCTCTGCCGCTGTCAGCAACATCCTTGTTGACCCGCCCTTCATCTTCAACGGCTGGGCGTCGGCCGAGTTCACTGTACGTATCAAGTCCTGGCACCAAACACCGGAGCGCTGATATTGCGACAGTTCCAAACCAATACATACCTGAACGGCAGCATGGCCGTGAACACTTCTGGCGTCCAAACCAACCCCACCTGTTCCAATCCGACCCAACTCAGCCTCGATACGTCGGGGACCCAATACACTCTCACAGCGACCTCCAGCAAAGGATGCACACTCGGTCCCGCGACATTTGATCCGAACTCTGCCAATGCGTTGTACGGCGTCACCCCCATAGCGAACTGCACAGAGGATCTTCAGACGGATCGCGAGTTCATGCCCGTTTTCTTTTGGTTCTACCAGAATCAACAGGCAGCGGGCGTGTTCTGTGCGCCAACGTTGCAGCTTTTCAATGTCACTGCGCATGCGTCGCTACAGAACGGGACCCTTACGAAAGTGGATGAGCATAGCGACTTTGCCAGACCGAACAATGTGACCGGCGAGATCCTGCACGGACCTGTTCGGGCTTTCAACGGGTAAGCCCTCGCCAGATGCGTCATTCCTTACCATAGCTTACCTGATTATTAGTTTGTTCTTCAATGTCAGTCAAGACGCAAACGTCCAGGCTCGAGCGACGACGATCGCAAGCACGATCCCGAATGCCATCTTCCACCAAGCCCAACAGAACACCTCTGGTGTCCAGGCCGTATTTGAGGACCCGAATGGATTCTTGAACATCACGACGAAGCTCTACGTATGTCCTGTCTGATTCGCGTAACGTCCGTGAAGAGCTTCGCTGAACGACGTATGCAGACGAAGTACCTTGCTCTCGCCGCGACATCTGTTTACTTCACTCCAACGAACGCGGAACTACCGAGCACGACCACGCGACTTGTGGATAGGCTCGTCATCGAGTATGTTCATCTTCAGCACGCCGAATCAGATACTGACCGCCTCCTTCAGAGCATTGCCAGCACATGCCCTTTCAGTCATAGCCATCATCTGCGGCCTTATCTGCATCGCGGTGCATCTCTATCACCACCGCGCCCGCCGCAACGTTTATCTCCCCCACCATCCCGGAGACATCGCATCGGCTGTGGCAATGACCGCGCACTCGGGCTTCGGCGAGCTTCTCTACCCATATGACAACGACTCTACGATTGCCGGAAAGCTCGACGGCCTGCGTTTCCGCCTCGACAGACGGACAAGCGCTATCGTGGTGGAAAGCGACTCGAGCGATCCGGAGGCGCGCTCGGCGTTCATGACCGAGAAGCTTCAATATGATCGCGAGGAGGGTGGCAAGTCGATGTTCTCGAGAGGGGATAGCTTTAGGACTGTGACCACTCTTGGTGCTATCAGGGAGGATAGCGTGGGCTGGGTACCGCAGACCATCGGGAGTGCACGTTTGCCGCCGGGGGCTCTGCAGCCGGGAACGGGTGAGATGACGCCGCCGCCGAGTCGAGGGCAGGAGAACGCGCCGCTATTGTAGAGGGCCTGTGCATTTTTGACGAACATTCGATTTCACGAACCTAACTTACACTGCATCTTGTATACTTCGTTCTACCACCTAAATTGTAATCATCACTTATCGACGACAGTGCCAACCACGCCGCGTTCAACGAGTATAAGTACCAAGCGTAAGGGTACCTTCGCCATCTACTGCCTTACGAAGACCACCAAGACCATACTGGCACCCACCCAGTACATGCCGTAGTCAATCAACTCGTGCGGAATGCATGCCTGCCCAGTGCCTGCCATTGCCTGATCGCAGAAGGAAGAAAGTTGGGGGCGTAACGGCGTGACGCCACGCGGCAGACTCGCGCTCAATCGGACTGTTCAAACGCGCGGACACCAAAGCCAGGCTTGCCTCCTGCCACCACCACCTTTCTTCTCCTTCTCTAACCTTACGACCTACTCATGTAAGTACTTTGGACATAAATTGTGCCGAGGCGCGAGGGGCGAACACGGCGGGTGGCCAGGAGTCGCGTCTCGGCTTCAGTACACTCGTGGTTTTGTTTCGCGTCCAATACTGACATCTACTGCTAGCATGCGCGAAATCGTTCACCTCCAGACCGGCCAGGTATGTCGCTTTATTTGTGGCAGTTGAAGAGCAGTGCTGAGATAGTTGTATAGTGCGGCAACCAGATCGGTGCGTTCGGACGCTTCACACGTGTCTTCGCGTCTCGCTGATCACCTTTGTGCGCAGGTATGAAGTTCTGGGAGGTCGTCTCTGATGAGCACGGACTCGACAACGATGGCCACTACAAGGGCAACAACGACCTCCAGCTCGAGCGTATCTCCGTCTACTACAACGAGGCCGGCACGAACAAGTATGTTCCTCGCGCGGTCCTCGTCGACCTCGAGCCCGGCACCATGGACGCCATTCGCGGCGGCACAATTGGCAACATGTTCAGGCCAGACAACTTTGTATTCGGTCAGAACGGTGCTGGTAACAACTGGGCAAAAGGACGTGAGTGGACATGCGTCGCTTTGAGTTCAAAGCGCTTCTAGCTTGGAATGCAAAGGCTGATTGTGACGCTGCGCAGATTACACGGAAGGTGCCGAGCTCGTCGACTCTGTTCTCGACGTTGTCCGCAAGGAGGCTGAGGGCACGGACGCCCTTCAGGGTAAGCGGTCATCTCGAACGCGATATGAGCGGGTATCAATGCTGCGCAGGCTTCCAGATCACGCACTCGCTTGGTGGTGGTACCGGCGCCGGTATGGGCACACTCTTGATCTCGAAGATCCGCGAGGAGTACCCTGACCGCATGATGTGCACGTACTCCGTCGTGCCCTCACCGAAGGTGTCTGACACCGTCGTTGAGGTAAGCTACCGACAATCCTAGCTAGAGACGGTCTACTCATTATGATCACGCTCAGCCCTACAACGCAACGCTCTCCGTGCACCAGCTTGTCGAGAACTCCGACGAGACCTTCTGTATCGACAACGAGGCGCTTTACGACATCCACTTCCGCACGCTCAAGCTCGCCACGCCCACATACGGCGACCTCAACCACCTCGTGTCCATTGTCATGTCCGGTATCACAACTTGCTTGCGCTTCCCTGGTCAGCTTAACTCTGATCTCCGCAAGCTCGCCGTCAACATGGGTATGTTGATTGTCTTATACTGTATCGCCACCTCTGCTGATCATCCTCGGCAGTGCCCTTCCCGCGTCTCCACTTCTTCTTGACTGGTTTCGCACCCTTGACTGCTCGCGGCTCGCAGCAGTACCGCGCTGTCTCTGTCCCCGAGTTGACCCAGCAAATGTTCGACGCAAAGAATATGATGGCTGCATCCGACCCGAGGCACGGTCGTTACCTCACCGTTGCCGCCGTCTTCCGTGGCAAGGTCTCGATGAAGGAGGTCGAGGAGCAGATGCAGAACGTTCAGAACAAGAACTCTGCGTACTTCGTCGAGTGGATCCCCAACAACGTTCTCACTGCGCAGTGTGACATCCCGCCGCGTGGCTTGAAGATGGCCGTCACTTTCCTCGGCAACAGCACCGCCATTCAGGAGCTCTTCCGCCGCGTCAGCGACCAGTTCACTGCCATGTTCAAGCGCAAGGCGTTCTTGCATTGGTACACCCAGGAGGGTATGGACGAGATGGAGTTCACGGAGGCCGAGTCAAACATGCAGGACTTGGTTGCCGAGTACCAGCAGTACCAGGACGCGACCGCTGAGGAGGAGGGCGAGTACGAGGAGGAGGTCGTTCAGGAGGAGGAGTAAATGCCGCGCGGCATTGTCCCTCCTCATCTCGACCTATGAAAGTACTACGCTCCTCTTACTTTCCTTTTCCTTGCATACGTATACGTTTCCGCTCGCTTACCTACGCATCGCTTTTAACGAATGTCTTTTCATGATGGATGAATTATATCGCAAGGAATCATACCCTGTTTTGCTATTCGCTATTTATGTATCGCCTGAAAACTGAGCGCATGAAGCTGGATTGCCAGTAGCATAGGTATGCGAAGCCGCGTTTTATCACCGCCGCCACTGTACGATGGGGAGTACGTAGTCTACGAGTTAAATGATGATACTTGAAAAGCCATGGCAGTCGTAAATTGGTATCTGTACCCTTTCGGACCGACCTTCCGGCGGGCGCGAGAGGGGCCCTCGGGCTCGTTGCAACTTGCGCTCGACCAGCATGGTCTTCAGGTACCACGGAGCCGCATCAGGGGACGTCGAGCTTCTCACCGCTCACCACACAACTTCTCTGTATTCTGGACTTCCATGAAATGAACCTACTGAGCTCGACTGTTCTTGACGGCCGTGGCGTATCCGAGAAAACTCACGGGCAGCGCCGGTATCTCCGCGGTCAATGCAACGTCCATTATCTAGAATCTACCACTTCTCCACATCGCTGCTGCATGAGCCTCCTTGTAGACGACATGCCCTATCTCAGAGTGTAAGAGCTATCGCTGGTCGATGGAACTTGTCGTGCATGCTGCCTGTCCTTGGCGTGTGCATTTCGTTCTGTCCCGGTGCGGGGATCAGGTCACGTTGAGACTCACTCCTCCTTCACCACTTGTGGCGGCCCGCATCTTTTCCGGATATGTAGCGCCTAGTCATGAGGTTCATACAAGTTCAAGAGTATCTCCCCGCCTTAACGATTCATTCTTAGCACTGCATCGCCCTTCTTGAAGGTTGAGCGACCCGAGAAGCTCGCGATTGCCACCGGTAGTGCGTCGCCACACGGTCCGCGTAGTACCGCAACCTCTAACCGATCATCAAAGAGACTGGGCCGTGCTTGAGTCTCTGTGAGCAAGTGAGGTTCTGCCGGCAAACTGCCACCGGATCCGTGACTATATAACTGACCTGCTGCCGGACAAAAGTGGTGGCGCACCTACCTCGGTCATGCTGTACCTGGCCCTCCTCGGCTACCTTTACCTTGCTTCGTGCGTGAGCGCTCTGACCTACAAGGGTGCCGACATCTCGTCGGTGCCCGTTGTGGAGCAAAGCCTTCACTACACCGACAACGGCGCGCAGACGGCTTTCGAGACTATCATCAAGGTATGTGTGGAGTCGTCGCACTCATGAAACACGATGCTCAATGTGATGCACAGAACCATGGCGCGAACGCAGCACGCGTGCGCGTCTGGACCGCCGGAACCTACAGCACACAGTTCGCCATCGACCTTGGAAGGCGCATCAAGGCAGCAGGCATGACGCTCATCGTCGACCTCCACTTCAGCGACACTTGTGAGTACAGATCCCCTAGCGTCGTGTATCGTTGCTCATGCGGGTCCATAGGGGCCGACCCTGGTAAACAGGCGATTCCTTCTGGCTGGCCAACGAACTTGAGCGGGCTGAACACCCAGATCTACACGTATGCCTCGTACTTCTCATATATCAGTACTTATAATGCTCATGATTCTCTATAGCTACACCCAGGGCGTCATGCAGGCCTTCAAAAACGCCGGTGTCACAGTCGACATCCTCCAAGTCGGCAACGAAATCAACAACGGTCTCCTCTGGCCCGTCGGCGAGATCTCTGTCAACGGCATCAACCCTGTCTCCCAGCTTTTGCACTCCGCTGTCAACGGAGCGCGCTCGGTGTCTTCGCCCAAGATCATGCTTCACCTCGCCAACGGTTGGGACGAGAGCGATATGACCTGGTTCTTCAAGAACGTATTCATTCAGGGTGCCTTCGCTACCACGGACCTAGACATAATAGGAGTCAGCTTCTATCCTTTCTACGATAGCGGGGCCACACTCTCGGCGCTCAAGACGAGCTTGACGGCGTTGACGGGCGTGATCCAGAAGCCGATCATCGTCGCCGAGACGGACTGGCCCGTTACCTGCTCGGGCGTAAGCCTTACGGACAAGAGCGTACCAGTGTTTGCGGCCGGTCAAGTTACCTGGATCCAGGATATCACGAACGTACTCAACTCGTTGCCCAACGGTCTTGGCCAAGGTATCCTATACTGGGAACCGGGATGGGTCGGGAACGCGAACCTTGGATCTGGTTGCGCTGTGAGTGCTTCCTACGCGTCATGGCTGAATGCGTGGCTGATAACCTGGTGCTATAGGATAACTTGCTGGTGTCGGGTACCGGCGCTACGCGCACCTCCATCAGCATGTTCCAAAGCATGTAACTAGTGATGCACCGTGTGCCAGGTGATCCAACAATCGAATGATCTATACTTGTACTGCTACGTAGTCTATCTGGCTCGCTACTGGGGCGTATGCTTGTTGCTAGTGTTCACAAGCGTGGTGGCGGGGCTAAGCTATATAACCGTCGCGCAAGGAACTGGGGTAGGCGCGGCGTGTCACGCCGTTACGCGACGCGACGCGTTTGTTGAACTGCCGCGCGTTTGACGCAGGTTCGACGCGTTGTCCCATACGCCACCACCATCAACTTGTGCAGCATGGAAGCAGGTCCCTCATCGCACCGGTCCTCGTCACCAGAAATGGCAATGGATGACGAGGTTGAACTCGAGAACGCTAATCCTGCGGCTGAAGAGGAAGAGGGTGACGATGAGGAAGGCGAACAGGATGACGCCGGTGATGATGAAGACGACGACGGTCTCGCCGGGGCCCAGCCACCAGTCGAAGATGGAGATGGAGATACTACTGCTCAACCAGATGATGTCGCGAGCAAACCCAAACGAAAACCGAAAGCGGCCGGATCAAACCAGTTGAATCGGCAGTATGGAGGAAAGGCTTTGTTACCGATTACTCGAGTGCAAAAGATCGTCAAAGCGGACAAGGTATGCTGCTGTTCATACACAACTTCTTATGCTAAGCTGACATGAATGAATCTAGTGGAATACTGCGACTATAGGGCGGGAATCTACTTGGCTCATCGCTCGTGCAACGGAGGACTTCATCCAAAGGTGGACGAAGGGTGCCTATAATCATGCTCTACTGGACAAGCACAGTACCATCTCCGTGGGCGACATGGGTAAAGCTTGTCATTCCCGTACTACAATATTATGCCTGATCGTACTTCGCAGCCAAAGTCATCAGAAGGGACGATGAGTACACGTTCCTCGACGGTACGTTCGCTCTGTCCATCTCTCGTTCCGCTTTTGGGGCTCAAGTTATTGGCAGAGATCATCATGCCCATGGTCAAGCAGCCGCCACCTCGTAAGGCTCCGGGAGGCGGAAAGGGGAAGAAAGCAGAGGCTCGGGCTGCCCCACAAGGTCAATCGATGTTGGACGGCTTCGTTGCCGGGAAAGCGGATGAAGGGCCTGACGAAGAGGAGGACGGGGATATAGTCATGGACGAAAACGGCGCGATGACGTTCGTACCGCGGCCGAGCGCCTAAGTATCGCTATCTACACTTGCTTTGTCCTACCTGCTGTGCTATGTCTGCTATGGAAACTGTATCATCAACGACCGCGACGTATTATGTACATGTATCATTTCGTGATTCAGTTGGCAACCTTCGGAGGAGAGGATGACTTCGTAAACGCGATGACGTGGTCAGGCATTACTTCACTCCCACCACCATGTCGTTCAGTCTCGCTACCCCAGTCAACACAGCGCTCCTTCTCTACATTTTGTATCAAGCACAGCGTATCCTCATTCCCTCGACCAAAGTCCCATCCCAAACGCCCTCGGAATTCAAGTCCGGCTACTCATGGATGCCCAAGTCGCATCCACCAACCCTTCTCTATACCACCTACACCCCGAAGACTCTTGAGCCTTTCAACGGCCGCGACGGCGGCAGGATACTGCTTGCTATTGACGGCACTGTCTTTGATGTGACAGCTGGCCGAAACTTCTACGGACCTGGTGCGCACATTTATTGCGCCCCACTCCATAATGGCTAATTTGTGGCGTCAGACGGGATGTACGGGAACTTCGCCGGCCGCGACGCCTCTCGTGGCATGGCGAAGCAGTCATTCGACGTCGGTGCGTTGTGATACGCCCCAGTATGAGGACGTGTACTGAACGCAATGCCCAGAAATGTTGACGGACATCGACAAGCCATTGGACAAGCTTGATGACCTAACTCCAGAGGAAATGTGCGTCTCAGAATCCGTACTATGTACAGCGAGGCACTGATCATCTTCCTCTCCCTCACACAGCGAGAACATGCGAGGCTGGATCGAGCACTTCTCCGGGAAGTACATCATCTGCGGCAAGCTTGTGGAGAACGACGCCGCCTGAGATCACCGGAAATATATGTACAATATCGTCCTGCTGTGGAATACTTGCTGTGCCTTTACCTGATCAATACGAAATTGTGACTTGCTTTATAGTGCTGTGCGGACGATGGACGGTCGGCCGCCCATTCTCGGAGCGAGCATCGTACCTCTCGGCTCAGTACCGACGCCGCCTCGAACAAGCGATGAATCCACACACAGGAGAATGAGTTACAGTCGCATAGTGCGCACGATAGCAGGACTATTGATACATGTAGGGTAAAAGTACAAGAACAAGGGGTATCGTGAGACGTCATTCAGGTCATGATGTGGTTGTGCGGGCGCTTCACTCAGTATCGAACTCAGTATCGATATGAAGGCCCTCCTACTGCTCTTCCTCTTCTACGGGATGATGAGTAAGGTCGCACTTTCGGTGGTACTCGTGAGGCACGTACCCGCAGTGACACAATCCGCATGTTAGTACGTCGAGAATGCACAAGACACAGCTGACGACGGCTAGAGGAACGCGCTTAGCTCGAGGTAAAGAAAGAAGGGGGGAGGGAAACGCACCGTCAACGATGCATAGTATTGCCTCTACAATCGCGTCTACGACACAGCAGATGGCTGCTCCGATACAGGCGAAGATGCCGACGATGCAAGAGATGATTATACTAGAAGCAGAGCGTCAGACGACCGTCGCAAGCAATCAAGCGAAGCCAAACTTACCCCATGATATTTGCTACTTTCTGAGAAGTGTTTAATCGGTCGTAAGTGGATGGGTGGCGAGTAGAGATTTGTGTGAGGGAAAGGCGTTTCCGAAAGCGGGCTTATAACACAGCACCTCCGCGCGTATGACGTAGCCTCAGGTGTCGAGCGCCGCACGCGCGAGATACCGTTGTTTCCGACTAGATCCAAGTTTACCCACATTCATCATGCGTAACTTGACCGACAAGGTCCGGCCACGAAACGTCTGACGCGCGAGTTGGAGCGCTTTCGCCGCGGCGAACTTCGCATGCGGTGCTTTGGAGCGCCCTCGTCCTACCCTTGTCGGCCCGGATAGTCCGATTTTGGAAGGAGACGGGCGACCAACGGGCGACAGCATATTCACAAAGGAGAGAAGGATATTGTTCCGGTCGACTGAAGTTTCAATCTACAAGTTGTACGAATCTTGGATGATGGAGGCTGGTCAGAGAAGGGTGGCGCGGCGTCGGGTGAGCATTGTGAGCATACTCAACCATACAGCGGACCATGCGGGCCGCCAGAGCCGGACCCAAGCCCTTGACTGTGGCGACAAATGAACTTGGACCTGAACCGCGGCCACCTCTTTCCAAACACGCTCTTGACTTTGTCAAGGCAAAGGACAAGCCGACTTCTAGGGTCAAGGAGTCCGATATGCCTGCTTGGGAGCTTACACTGGGCTCCACTCCAATACTTAATGTGCTTTACACCCTGGTCTTCTCCTCATCCTGTAGGACTGGATCTGATGTACCCTGTACTAGGCTGTTCCAAGCTTCTTGGCTTCAGAGGATTTGAATGAGCCTGAAGGAGATGCAGAGCCGATCATACGATATTGGGAGGCATTACTACGCAAACACGGGCACCATCCGTATTTGCTTGTCCGCTATGCCGAACGTCTGATGGTGCTCTCGGATGCTGGACATGCACTGGTGCTGCTTGAAGAAGTAAGGATACGGTCATAAAAAGAGGTAGACACATCTTTCTTATCAAAACGTAGTGCCTGGAAGAGATGGGTGCGCTCGATGCCGAGGTCAGCCCCGAGTTCGAAGCGTCTGTCGAGGCACTCAGAGAGCACTTGGACACGAAGACGCTGCATACGGATGGTAATCTCCCTGATCCTTGTATGCCGCATGCCATCAGAACGTATGCTTAAGAGAGCTTACGTATCGCGCCTAGCTCTCGTGCAGCTCTGGATCCCCGCGGCCATGCTACCCATGCCCAGCGATGCCCTGGCTCCTGGTGGTCATGCTCAAGTTCGAAGTGATTGGACACAGGACTTTCCCAAAGGCTCAGAAGCTCTTAGATACATGCGACACCTTGCAGTTGAGACTCATCAGGTCGATCGTACGTTCTTAATCACGGAAGAGGTCAGTGATACGCTTGCTTCTCAGTTCAGGTGCTCGTTGACGAGCCTCTGATCGATAGTCAATGAAAGACATAGTTCAAGATGGAATAGCAGCGCATCGTATTCATGTTGCCTCAGGAAGCAAGATACAAGACCCACATGTTATCGATGCTATTCTCGACGATACGCTCACGGTAGACCAATTCACCCATTCATCCACTTCATCTGGTTGATGTTCTAGGCATCGAGGCATACGAGCTCGTATGTCCCCTCGTCGAAGATCCCGCCAAGCTCACGCCTGAAGCGATCTGCGAAATACATCAACGCATGATGGATACAGCACGCTTTCAAAGCGAATACTACTTCCCGGCAGGTGTGATGCGGTCCGCTACCCGCAATGAAGTCTTCATAGAGACTGGACGTGACAAGAGGATACAATGTTGTCCTTCCACGCGAGTTGAAGACGAGATGCACAAGATCTGCGACATGGCTCGGGTACGCGTGATCTATCATCACTATATCAGTGGTTGACTGTTTGACTTGTTCTCAGAGGCACATCGAAGAGGATCGGATGAGTCCCTTTGCTCAGGCAGTCTGGCTTCACCTCGCGCAAGTACGCTGTATTCCTTTCGAGGTGCGTACATTCAGCGAAGATGCATTGTCTTAGGCTGATACCTTCTATGCCAGAAGGGAAACGGTCAGGTATTACGTATGATCTCCTCTATCCCGCTCATGAGACGTGGTTATCCGCCCATCTCGGTGCTATCGCACAAGAGAAATGCTTACTTTGAGGCGATCAATCAGGTGGGCGCTTCCGTACAAGAGATGGGTCTACATATCGCTCACAGTGTACAGGCATACAAGGGCAACTTCGATCCGCTAGCGCGATGCTTCGTTGAAGGAATGCAGAAAGGCATCGAAGGAACGCGACCCTGAGAGGCATAGAGTTATGTCACTGGGATGCATCTTGGCATGACAGCTTATTGCTACTACTGTTGCTCTAGTGCACCCTCTTCTGTATTTTGAGATCCACCGATATCAAGAGCTCAATACCGTAGACAGTGCGTGCGCAAGCATGCTGCAGTCAAGTCAGCATCTCGACACTATGCGATGACGCCATGAGGTACTCACTTGTGCACCGTGAACAAGGGGTGCAACGTATTAAGCCAGCTATACCAAGCAAGACATCTCATCAGTGCGAAGCCAAAACTAGAGAAGTCGAACCGCACAAGTAATTTGCCACAGGAGCGCACCCCGCATCCTGCGTATCCGGCGCAGGCGTCCCATTCTCATACGCATCGCAGAACCCAGTAGCGTTCACAAAGCCAAACACCTCAGCGTTATCCAGCAGTGTGTTGAACACAGGCTGCGTATCAAAGATAGTGACACTCCCGATGTCTTTCGCGTGCTTCTTCTCGAACGCGGCGGCATGAGACTTGAGTGCGGCGTTGTAGCCCGCGATTGAAGAGGTGATCTTCTTGACGGCGTCTTGTCCGGCTTCGATGAGGAGCGGAGCGCGGTTGGTTGGCGGGACGGTTAGGAAGAGGAAGTTGCCTGCGACAGGTTCAGTTCATTGTGGCGTGAAGTAGAGTTGGATGCTGAGACTCACGAGCACCCGCGTCGTATAGTATCTCGATCTGAGATGCGCTTTCAGACCAAAGATGTGTGCGAAGACAAGATGGTCTCGTACCTGCCCGAACAGCCTGTCCATGAGGGTTTGCTGGAACCCATGCTGGGTGATGTTGGTCTGCACCGCGATTTGTGAGTGAAGTATTTCGACGATAGAGTCAAGGCTTTCGTACCCAAGCGTATGAGTTTCCCTGAGCGTTCGTTCAGCAACAGAGACCCATCAAGCAAGCAACGTACTCACCACATCGTTGATGCCTATCCATACAGCGAACAAGCTGGCCAGGTTCTGAGTTAGCTTAGGAAGTCCGTCTCGAGCAAAAGCTTAGACGTACGTATCATCGCCACTCCACTCTGCACCAACGGGTTTCGAAGCGAGGAACTCAGAGAACTGCGACACCTGGTCCACGACTGATCTAGACAAGTACCTCTCAGTCAAGCATTCGAAAGCTCGCATTAGACACGAAGCTCACAAAACCGTCGGGAGGTACGGCTCGACCAAAGCCGAGTCGATCGTCGCACCACCATAAGCCAAGTTGAACACTTTCGTATCTGTGACATTGAACGTGCTCTCTGTCCGATCCATGTCAGTACGTCGCACTCAAGATCAAGCTAAAGACTCACCCAAGAACCCGACCCAATTGGGACCGTTCGAAGATGTGAAGCCAGGTACAGGCGAGTCAATGCCCGCGCTGATATCGTATCCGTTCGTCGTGTATGAGTCGCCGAAGACAATCATGTACTTCGTATCTGCCCACGCAAGCTTCGCAGTCGCAGGGATCGCCGCTACCGCACATAGCGCGGCTGTAAGTACGTAACTCAACATCGTGCCGAAGGGATGCGTCGCGCGCGCAATGAGAGGCCAGGGCATATATAGCGGTTCGTGTTCAGTCAAACAGAAGAACCGTGTTCACGCGTTCACGAGTTGAGTTGCCGAAGATGTTGCATGGTCATGCATCATAGGCCGAGAAACAGCCGCCTCCGCGAAAGCACGCCGCATCTTCTCAGAAGCCCAGCGAAGTCAGGTGTTCTGAATTGCGTAGATAGCAAGTGTCCTAGGATCACAGCCCCTCCAAATCTAAATCAGCCACAACAACATCCGTCCCATTAACCAAATAAAGCGACAACACCCCGTCCTCGCCCAACCTATACCGATCAACCAGCGGCTCCCACCCACACCCCTCCTGCACCTCCCACACGACCTCCCAGTCTCTAAATCTTCCCGCATCCGTGCTAGCCAGAATACTCAGCCCGGTCGAGTTGGCCGCGTTGTCGGGCAAGATCGCTAGGAGCGTCGAGCCGCCACCGGAGGAAGAGGTCACGGGGACGAGCTTGCCGCGCTTGCCGATGACGGTGGGCGTGTTGGTTACGTTGTTGATGCTGGGGAGGTCGAGCGGGAGGGGGGTGCGCGTCCAGTATGAGCGCGTGCTGCGCCAGTAGTGGTACCACTGCTCGGTCCCGGTCGTGTTCTCGCGGTTGAGGACGTGGATCCGGTCTTGGTTGTCTACGGCTTGGGCTTCTTGATTCAGGATACCACTACGAGAGTGGCATCAGCAAGCGCATACTTATGCAAATCCGCCTTTGAGACACTCACCCGTACTTCGGAATACCGAACACCACGATCCCAGCACTGGCCGGCACAACAGGCACACCATCCGTAACGTTCGCAACCGGCTGGCCCCATGTATTCAGCCACGTCCTGCCGAAATCCGGGCTGCTTGCGAAGTTCAGATCGTGGTTGTTCTCAGGACCGTTCGGGCCTGCTTGCACGGCGACATCTTGTCCGACGTCGTTCACGTAGTCACGGTAGGTCCTAGATAGCAGTAGCATCAGTCACGCATGTAGCCAGGGGATGTGAATGTAGACTGACCAAGTCGTGATCAAGTTGCCCTTGCTATCGAAGTCCAATCCATTGATATATGCGTTATCTGCACCTCATAAGCCAGCAAAATCGCGGAGTACGAAACTCGACGTACTATTGACACCCTCGAGATACCTTCCAATCAACGCCCACCCCTCCCCCGGCGTATATTCATACAACCAATCATCGCCCAGCCCCGACCGTCCGATCCGAAGCTCAAAGATCAGATCCGTAGTCGAGCTCTGCAGCGAAGTCGGAATGGAGAGGAAGCGCGGGTAGGTGACGGGTGTGAAGTACTCTGTTACGTTGAGGGACTCTGTGCCGGGGAGGTGGTCCTATGGGGAATATGAGCTGTGTTATGGCGGTTGGATATGGGGTACGGGACGCACGAGCACTTCTCCGAAGAGGTCGGTAGACCAGGTCGTGTTTCCGGGGCTGAGCGCGGCTCCGGTTTCCGAGACGCGGTAGTGCAGCTGAACGCGTCGGTGAGCACTACTGCATGCAGTCCGAGCTGCCTGTAACTCACAACATTGTCATGTTGGTCAAACGCCATGTGGATCGTGCCATCTCCAGCAGAGATGCCAATCGAGATCCTATAGTCCGACTTTCAGTCAAACGAGGAACACTCTACCACCATGATTGCACGCACGTATCATGCCCATCATCTTCAGTCTGATTATAGTCCGTAAACGTCAGACTCTCCCATGTTGCATTGGAAGACGACAAGGCCCGCCGTGTGAGCGTGGCGTGGCGAACGGACGAGTTGGACGCGTCTTCGACCCAAAGTGATGCGTACTGATATCCTAGACACTGTCCATTCAGCCAGCTATTCAGGAGATAGCACGACGGTTACGCACCTTGGAAAGTAATGATAGCATCCTGCTGGTACGACTCTCCATTCAGATGGTTCACAGTCCCCGGGTTCGGCCCAAGCACACTGCTTCCCAGCAGCCTGATCGCAGAAGCGCCCGTCAGGCCGTACAGGACTCCGAGTCCAAGTAGCGAGCGCGCCATCTCGAGTTCAAGCACGCCGTACTCGAGTAGAGCGGTCTCATACGGTCCGTATTGCGCAATATATAGGTAGAATACCGGGAGAGCCGTTTATGATGCATCAGGGCGAGCAGAAGGCAGTTCTCAGGTGACCGTGGTCATGCACTTCGATGGCGAGGTACGGCGGACCGGCGAGGGGCACGCTTATTTCCGTGCATCACGCTTCTATAGTATGCGAGGACTCGAAGGAGAAGCAAGAGTGCATCCTATTGTGAACGAACACGACGTTCGACGTTGTGAGGCTCATGACGGTCTGAGACAACGGGCGAGCGCGAATAGACGCGCTCGGGGCGTCGGGCCGGCGCTTGTATACTAGAGACGCGACTTGCCTCTGCCGGCCACAGCCCTTTCCCGTCTTCGCATACGGTCCCTCTGTACTCGATACTATCCTATACTTTGCGCTACCTGTCCGTCATCGACCGCTCACCATGCCGCCGGCGAAGCAGGGAGCGAAGTCCACCAAATTCCCAGTGGTGCGTGCGCATACTCGTCTTCGCCACAAGACCCATCCTAATGATTTCCCACAAATACCCTCTCCTGATATCCGACAATACAGGCCCACATCAAGAAGATTATGCAGAAAGACGAAGACGTCGGAAACGTAGCCTAGGCAACACCCGTAGTAATCTGTGCGTCCCCCGTCCTTCACTCTCTCCTTCACGAATCACATTCTCACTGATATGTCAGCAGAGGCCGTTGAGCTCTTCCTCCAAGTGGTCGTCTTCTAATCCGCCAAAGTCACTCGATCACGCGGGAGCAAGAAGGTCTAAGCTTACCACCTGTGCGTCCATTCTCCATTCTCCATCCTCACTCTCCACTTCCTACTTTGTACGCGTCACTCGCACTCACACTACACCAGGAAACACGCGATCGAAAAGACGGACATGCTTTGATGCTTGGCGCAATGTGGGACACCCTACGACCATATCAACGCTCTTCTTCGTGAACTAGACGCCGCAATCGCGGCTCTACTAGTCGCATGCGGACGCTCTCTCGAGCTTCTCACTCTCAACGGGTGGTTACATACGAAGGCCGAGACTCTGACTGCTATCGGAGCTCGTGCGAGGGAGTTGAGAATGATCGATATGGCGTTCGACCGGGAAATGACTGATGTCGCTGCTGGTGGGATCTTGGAGGGCTGTGAGAGATTGACTGAGGTGCTGGTGTGGGGATGCAATTGTCTCGCCGTGAATTGCCCACGAAAGGTGAGCTTGGAAAAATGAGGCAAGATAGCGCGAGTACTGATCAGTTGGCAGCGTGGCGTTGCAATCTACGGAATTGAGTCGCTTTCGTCGGCGTAAGATATTCGTTCTGAATCTCAATACTCTCTATCTTGATATAACGTTACACATGCCCGAAGGGGATTCTGCGGCATATTCATGCTGTATCAACTCCACCTTTACGTAAGGTGCAACATGAGTCCTTGGAATGTGGTCTATCTCTCCCTGTTTTACCTGCGCCGCTCGATGAGGGTTTGAAGGATATTCCTTCATCGATTCAAACGCGTCAATAAGTCATGGCTGGTATCGTACAAAGGCCGAGACGCTCGGTGCCGTTGGAGATCGTGCTCGAAGCAGGACCATGCCCTGGATGACATGAAGACACCGCATGCATACAAATGCAGGTAGACTGTGTATACTTCATGCATCCCGGATCCTACGGGCCCTAAGTACGTAAGGCATGTTGTGGTCATCTGCCTGGGGTACCATGTCATACGCTTCGAATGTTATCCCTGGCCTCCTCCTCCTCCTGCTTCCCCTCTCCGTGGCAATAGCATTCTCCTCTACTTCTCTCCGCCACGCATGCAGTGCTTGTACTGGATCCCGTCTTACCGGCTCAGTGCCGCCCGCAAAAGTTACAGGAGAGGCCAAAACAGCATTGTCACCGGCTTCTGTGCCGTCCATCGCATTGAAACTGTTGCCAGTCCCGAGGCCAGATCCCTCTTCATAGGGACCATAGGGCGCGTCTTCGTACGACCAAGACTCAGATAGGGAGATGCGATATCTCATGGATTCTGTGTCCTCCGGATCATATGAACTGCCGTCGGACGCCTCTTCCGACCGGTCTGTCGAGGATGCTCCTGCTTCATCTGGGTAGTCCTCTGACCTACAATCGCATTGGCTCAGTATGCGTGAAATCGTGCACAATAAACACATACGGCTCTTCCTGATATGCTACTATTATTCTTTGAAAGATTCCTATGGGCTCTGGCTCTTCTTCATCTGGCCCCTGCTGTGTCACAGAGCTTAACTCTTCTTCAACTTCTGGCTCGGGATTCAGGCGAGCCGTGGTAGTGGAGTCTCTCGAACTCTGATATGATGTCTCGTCACTGCTCGATCTCAGTCACTTGTTAAAGTTCACGGTTAATACACAGACCTGGGACTTCCTCGGGCCTCTGACGACTCTAACGGCTCGCCCCGATCATGTTCAAGGAGTGCATAAGGCCTTCCGCACTCCCAGGAAGAGCTACAATGATAATTATTAGGTGACAGCTAAGACAAAACATCACAGGACATACCATACAATACGACCATCCGCCAGTACGAACTCATCACCATATGTCTCTGTCTGGCAATATGGACATAGGGACACAGGCAGCCCAATGACTAGGCTCATATTCAGCCTTGATCCGGATTTCACTATTGTCGACCATTCAGTGGAAGATATAAGAAGGTGTTCTTCGTTTCCTAGAGCGTAACATCCACCATCAACGAATGATGCGCCAGGACGGCCGCGGAAGGCCTGCACAAGGAATGCATGCGTATTCTGTAAGCTTCTGTGAGGCGAGTCCATATCTTCGGGACGAATACACATCTAGAGGCCAGTACTCACATCCCAGTCCTCAAACGTTCCTTGATCAAGCTCTAAGATGACACCCAACACGTCCACAATGAGAACAGTTCCGTCAGACTGCCCCAAAGGACGCGATACAAAGCGATACTTCCACATCAAGAACAGAAGAAAGATCGTGCAGGCGAAGGGTAGCGCAGTCTCCATAACTTGAACGTGAGTTGAGATGGTCGTCATAGTTGTCTCCCCATGTGATTTGATAGTTCCCGCATCAACAAACCAGGAGAAGAGCGTCGCAAATGCGCGCCAGAGTATGTCCTGATCCTGTAGATTGAGCCTACCCAGTGCACGTCCGAGTTGGCTGTAATGGCCAATCATTCGACCCGCAGAAAGGGAAATGGCGTGATCAGCGACAGTGGATGGAGCGACACGAGCCTGGACGTCACTTCGATTTACCAGCACTTGAAGCATGTTCTTCATGTTGGAGACTTAGTTGCTATGTGAGAACGCATCGGGCACGGCTACATTTGCATTACATACCCTCCTTCCTGAGTCGCTGGTTCTCATACGACTCATTGATAACAACGTGCGCCGTGCTCGCCGCAATAGACGTATGTCTAGACAAGTGAGACACGGTCGTATGAACTACAATACCTCTCGTGAGCTAATAGGCAATGAGGTGAGTGATATAGACTCACTATCGTGAATCTCAGATGACATAGCGCTTTGTCCAACGATCAGTTCAGTCATCTCCATTCTCTCCTCCTCAGAGTGCAGAGACTGTATATCGCGGGTGATGATCTGGATCTCATCGCCGGTAGCGACCAAGGCTTGCAGAAACCGTTCTGTTGCGCATCAGCCTCTGGTCTCTCGGGTCGACTACTTGCGACAATGTGCACGAACCAAAGCGATTCTTGCGTATCATCTTGGTGGCGATGGCGAGGGTCCGCAACATCTGCGCCAGGGTCTTGATTGCGATCATCCTCGTTTCTTGTCTCATTGGAGCATTGACCCGGATCTCCATCCGTTGCACATACGCCCGAAAGCCGTCCAATGACTTCAGCACGTTGTCGAAGGTCGTGCTTGCATCGTCCGCCGCCTGCGTGATACACGGAGTCAGATGTTGAGAATGGTGAGGCAAGTAGTTGGTCCATGTGGATACGCACTTTCAAGAGGATGGCTACTGCCACAAACACCCCCTTGCCTCCCGGGACACCCTACGAGAGTCAAAGAGAGCCATAATGACAGATTCGCGATACGCACCAATGACGAAGCCGTTTCCCCACTTGCTTCCAGAACGACCTTCAGACCGGACACGAGCGGCTTGAGTACCTGTCGAAGCTTCCGGGACAGTTCATTCCCTTCTCGTTTCCTCCCCAGACGGCGCATCGTCCCTTCGATTACAGTCAAGAGGTCGTCACTTGATTCGCAGTGGTCTATCTGAAGCGTGAACGGATGACCCGGATCGAGCAGATCAGATCCGACGATCTTGCGGTATTCTTCGAGAGCCCCGGTCCAGAGGTCCATAGTGCCAAAAGCGAGTGGTGTTTGCTCAACCACAGCTATATCGTGTAAACCCCGAGGTGATTCTTCTGAAAGCTCAGTGTCATTTTCCGACAACCGATGTTCGCCTGAAAGCATATCAGCCGTTTCTAGCCGGGCCAGAGACGACACGTCAACACCAGTCAGCGCGTATAACAACGGCGATGCCATACCAAATATTGGGCCACCGTCGCGTATATCTTCAGGCCGTTCTTGAAGGATGCGGTGGCGAGCTCGCCGTACGATAGAGCGCATATTAAGACGTCCTGGCGTTCGGAATGCAGGGAAATGGCTGCGTTGTGGTATCGGTCAAGGCCGTGTAACGTCCACACCCGTAGGCGCCTTTGGGGAACGCGCGATTTGGGCCCAACGTAGTAGTTCATACCCACGCATGATGAAGTGCGATAGGCCAGCGTCTATCTACTTACTGGGCAGGTGATCAGACACTGGTTGAATATAGACGCCGGGGCCCGGGGGGCACGCCGCACGCCAGACGCTTAATTCCGTACATCACGCTTCTGCGCAAGAAGTGGAAGAAGGGGATAGTGCATCCTATTGTCAACGAACACGACGTCGACGCTGGAGGCTCATGACGGGCTGAGACAACCGGCGCGCACGAATAGACGCGCTCGGAGAGTCGGGCCGGCGCTTGTATACTAGAGACGCGACTTGCCTCTGCCGACCACAGCCCTCTCCTCGTCCTCGCATACCGTCCCTTTACGCTCAATACCATCTTATACTCCTCTGCACACAACTGCTGCCAACCTCACACCATGCCGCCCGCGAAGAAGGGAGCAAAGTCCACCAAATTCCCAGTGGTACGCCCGTGCGCTCGTCTTCGCCACAGGACGCGCGCTAACAACCTATTTCATATTCTTATCTACATATATAATGGTAGGCCCGCATCAAGAAGATCATGCAGAAAGACGAGGACGTCGGAAAAGTAGCCCAAGCAACACCCGTAGTAATCTGTGCGTCCCCCATCCCTCCCCCCAGCGTCCCGACCATATTCTCACCAACCTGTCAGCAAAGGCCCTTGAGCTCTTCCTCCAAATGGTTGTCTCCGAATCCGCCAAAGTGACCCAATCACGCGGGAGCAAGAAGATCGAGGCCTACCACCTGTCCGTCCCTCCCCCTTCCCCATTCCCACTCTCCTTCTACTTTGCACGCGCCACTCACTTCCCGCCAGGAAACACGCGATCGAAACGACCGACATGCTCGACTTCCTCAAAGACCTCGTCGAGAACGTGCCGGACCCCTCAGCCGGCGGCACCGTCTCGCTCGACGGCGAAGACGGCAAGCCCAAGCGCGGGCGCAAGAAGGCCGCCGCGGCCGTGGACAGCGACGGCGAGGTCATCCCGAAGCCGAAGAAGCCGCGGAAGAAGCGCGTCAAGAAGGATGCGGCGGCGCAGCAGGAGCAGGAGCAGGCGCAGGAGGAGGAGGACCATGATCATGATCATGATATGGCTGAGCCCGCTAGCAGGAGCGCGCCGGAGGAGGAGAATTGGGACGATGATGATGATTGAGTATATTTGTGCGTGATTTGCGTGCGTACGTGCTTCTTGTACTGTATTATCTGTCTGTACTGCTTTTCTTGTTCGGGTATATGAGATTGACTATATAAGCTCTACGCTACCGAGTGCTAGTAACTGCTCGATCACGATGTAGGGCGTTAATACGATGTGGCCCTTCAGCATCGTCAGCGAGTTCCCACTACGACATCGTCAGCTACTGGACCATTCACTACGCGAGGTCGTGACTTACTCTGGTAGGCGGACAGGAGGACAATCTTCGAGTGCGAGGACGAAGACGGCTTTCTGCTTATCCGGCGCCGTGACTGAGATGTGATCAGCCAAAGCTCAAGTGGCGCCGATCCGAAGACGTACTCATGGAAGGAACGAAGGCTGCCTCGTCGTCCAGAGCGCGCTGGTCTTCTGGTAGTGACCGCAGTACAGACGTCTGTAGATGATTCTCCATAGCTTTCGCACATCTAAACGGCAGTGACATTAGGCATACAGCGCAGTACATGAGGATCGTGTGCATACCGTTTCGCATGATCAAGTTCAGTCTGAGACAACCGTTCATGCACCTCCTCGTTCCCCACGATATACTGCGCGTACTTCTCGATCTAACAGTCCTCGTCAATCTCCCTGCCCAACAAGTAGAAACCGCTGGCGTGCCTTGTAGAACCGAGTCCGGATATAGCTCCTCACGATGAACTTGACGCGTTCAATCTCCGTCTGCGCCAGCATAATCCGAAAATGCTCGTCCTCCGACGAGTCCGGATCGCTCCGTAGCAGTTGGATAGTATTACTCTTACACCTCCCAAACGCATCAGCCCCCTCATCTTCCCCACACCAAACCAGCCCAAGACTCACCTGTCGCCTTATATGATCCAAAAGCGTATTCAGCACCGGCTCCTGCCCCGGCAACACATCCGGCGAATGCCTTTCGTTCTGCCAGTGCCGCAGCATCTGCTGGAACGGCGTGTCGTTGCGGTTTCTGGATGCTGGATCGCCACCCATGATCACGTCTCCGCCGAGTTCGGCGGCAAAGTCGGGTTCGGCCATGGGGTCGTCTTCGTCGAGGATGCCGCGTCGGAAGGCCATGTTTGGTTGTGAGGAGTGAGGGGGTGGCGGGATCTGCGTGGGCGCTCGAGCAAGGACTAGATGGTTGTTGCAGTGAACGCGACGCGTCGAGCGCGTTGATCGTTCCACGTGGTATTATTCAATTATTCAAACTCGGGCGTTCGCAGCATCTGTACAGCTCTTCACGCGCCCACCACCATCTGCCTTCGCGAGAGCAGCTTGCTATATTCGGACTATCACTCTCAGGCCAATATAGCCTCGGTTCGCTATCCGCGCGAGCCCAGCAGCCATCTCCCGCCACATCCGATTCAAATGTATACTATATGCACTTCAGAAACCCGCATCCCGCTAGCACCAGGGCCGAGTTGCCCGTGTACCCTTCGGCAACGCAGATCCCGAGTGGATGGGGTTGACGGCCCGTGTCGCGCGTGAGAACGAGCTAGCCGGGAAGACAGCCAGTTCCGTGATAAGGGGACAACGGTGGTGAAATTACTATTACTACTACTAGTCATCCCCGAACCGTACGATGCAGGTATCGGTCGGGGAAAAGCTAGCCAATAGTAACACCTCCACTGACGAGTCTTGCGAGATGTCTGCTTAGCAATGCAATCTGAACCGAAAGCGGGCCACTATGTCGCATGACTAGTACTGTCCGCTACAGACGCTGATGAATCCTCCTCGCACGCGACGTTGATCCCCGCCTGCATCCCTCTACCGAAGCACTCCGCGAGCGGACCAAAATCGCCCTTATACGCCTATATACACACATCAGCACCAAACCGCAGACCGCACCTTCGGCCAAAGCGACTCGCCTGATTGATCGCCTTGAAATAGGCCGCCTTATCCGTCATCGGCACCAGGATAGGCGGGTAACCGTGTTTGATAAGCGGTATAGACGCAAAGAGACGCGTGATTCGGCCATCGCCGTCCTAAAGAGCACGGGCATCTAATATCTAGCACTTGCAAGCCGTCATCCGACCGTACGCACGTTAAACGGATGGCATCGCGCCAACGCGAGATGGAGCCACGTCGAAAGGGCGAAGGGGCCCATCCGGCCACTCCTCAGATAACCCTGTCGGATGCCCATGGTGAGTCAACTCGTCAGAAGCGATGCAGAACACGCATACCCGCGTCAACTCGCAGATGGTCGACAATTCTTGATCGACCTCCTCATGAGGACAGCACTGGATGAACCCGTCCTCTCCGCTATTGATACCGACCATGTCGCGCGTGATGGATCGTGTCACGCCTGCGGGAACGTATCGGCCCTCGAATCGCGCAGTGAGCATCACTCGACGGTGTGCCGCGCAGACTATCTCCGGAGTGAACTTGGACGGGTCCTCGATGACGTCGTACAGCAGATCGTACGCCTAGCGTTGACATCAGAATCTCAATAGTACGCGCGATCAAAAAACTGTCCCCACTGAGAGCGTATCGTTCAGAATGGTTGCAATGGTCTTACGATCTCGGATCACACTGCGCGGCGCCACATTGACTCGTCCTGTTGAGACACCGTCTCGTATTATGCATCGTGCTGACTGTACCATCTAAGTATGAGCGTATTTTCGGAGATGGCCAAGAATTTGCAAGCAAACCTCCGGCCTGAGCAGAAAAGTGCCCTCGATGTGATTGGTCTCAATGGCGACACTTCGCAGATATCGCTGAAAGCGCTCGGACTGTTTGGGGCAGCAATGAGTCCAGTCGCTCTGTACCCGAGCATGCCCGGTGCACAGCAGGTCATCTGTCGGTAAGGGCAATCGGATGACTGGGACCCATGGCTGTGAGAAGGCTGGAAAGTATGGTTATCACAGTCAGCGCATGCTGAAACCCAGTATAGTACAGGTAGCATATACCGTGGTCCGGGATCGTCTCCCTCGCTTGTACCGAGCCTTCAATTCGCCTCCTGAAGTCGCCGACGGATGCCACAAACTCCGGGCTGATTGCCACGTCGCGCAAAGCTGATTCTGCCTGCGCCTGCTATCATTAAACGGGCACGCTCATCTACCCTAAACGACGGGGATCTTGACCTCTTCTAGCAATGCCAAAGCCTGTCCGGGGCAGCGCAGTTGGAGGGGAAGAGCGTATCGTACAAGAAGATATGGATGACGGCCATGTCTCTCCATGAGACGTTCCCAGAAGATCATCCTATCATCCGCTGTCAATGGCTCGCGAAGCTTCTCCTTTCCGAGAAAGTCTGGTTGCTCCTGTTCGTCGTGTGTCAGATATACGAGCGGGATGCGAGATGACGCTAGGGGGTCACAGTGAGTATCGGCGAGTGACCCAAGTTGAGGGTCCATGTCGCCATACTGAGCGTGAGTTGGGATATCTGTGATCTAACGTCACGAGGGAAGGGGTTCGAGTGAGCCTGGCGCTCGCTCGCGTAAATGGTGGTGGCGGTGGTGGTAGAAAGCGTCGTCGTGGTTTCGGGGAGGTCGGATCGGCAACACCCATTGTCACATCTCTTCCGCCGAGGTCGGCGGCGACGTCGGGTTCTACCATTCTATCCTCTTCGTCTAGTATGTTATATCGTGAGGCGTGAGGAAGTATTGGTGTCTTAGTAGACGCTCCCACAGGAACCATATGGGTGTTGCAGTGAACGCGACGCGTCCAGGACGTGTCGCGCGCGTTGATCATTCCACGTGGCGTATATTCGGGCACAGCGCTCGCGTTGCTCTCCTCGCGACCACCAGCATCTACGCCCGAAAGAGTAACTTCTGGAGCTTGAAGTATGAGCGACGTTCTACTGCTTGCTGTCTGGAAGACTCAGTCTGTGAACACGCGTCTATGACGGCATCATAGCTTGTCAATCTACGCAAGATGCAAGGTGTGCGCTGATTGGCGAACTACCTGTACGGTCTCTCGTGAAAGCTCTGCAAGGTTATCCCTGACACAGATATTCATAGTCGTCAAAGTCTTCATCCACTGGTACATCTCTTAGGGCCCTTGCGACATGTGTTCGAGATATCCAAATACATATGCCATCAAGGCCGCCACGTCCCACGCCTGTCCACTGTGGACCCTCATCAGTCCTCTCCGCCAGCGACGTCCATTCCCGCCTGCATGCCTTTTACAAAGCACTGCGCGAGGGGAACGAAATCGCCCTTATATGCCTGCACAGAAACATCAGCCGCGATATGTACCGAAGTTTCAAGAGACGAACCTGATTTATCGCGTTGAAGTAGGCTACCTTGTCCGCCGTTGGCACCAATATGGGCGGATAGCCGTGTTTGGCAAGCGGTACGGACGCGAAGAGACGCGTGATACGACCATTCCCATCCTTCACAGCACGGAGAGTCAGCACTTGTGCGCCAGCATCCGGCCGTACGTACGTTGAAAGGATGGCACCGAGCCAACGCGAGGTGAAGCCATGACGCCAACGCGAATGGGCCTATCTTTCCCTCCTTAAGGTAATCCTGCGACGTGTACATTAGGAGTGCCGCCAGAGGATCCGACACTACGCGTACCCGTGTCAAGCCACAAATCTTTGCCAGTTCTTGATCGACACGTTCGGGAGGACAGCACTGGATGATTCCACCGTCCCCGCTATGAATGCCAACCACGTTGCGCGTGATAGATCGCGTCACGCCTGCAGGAACATAGCGACATTCGAACCGCGCTGTGTCCATCACTCGACGGTGCGCCTCGCAGATGGTCTCGGGAGTGAAGTTGTACGGGTCTTCCACGATATCATACACGATACTATAGGCCTATCAAGCGTAGTGTCATGTCAATACAGACCTTCGAATGACAGATGGCACCCACCGAGAGCGTGTCCTCCAATATAGTTGCGATGACCGATTCGTCCTGGATAGCACTGCGCGGCGACGCAATGACATGGCTTGCGGAGATACCATCCCGTATCACAGTCTTCGCAGACTGTTGTGCCATGTCAGCGCAGACTCCACTCAACGAGAGGAAATGGGAATAACACCTCTGGCGTGACGAGGAAGGCACCCTCGATGTGGTTGGTTTCAATCGCGACGGCTCGCAGATAACGTTTCAGAAGCTCAGAGTCTTTGGGGAAATGCTGAGCCCAATAGCTTTGTACTTCAGCATGGCCATCAGGTGATAGATCATTCTTTGGTGAGCGCAAATCAGAGACTGGTATCCAGGGCTGAGAAAAGACTATCACAAGGAAAGGGCGTCAGATCATCGTCATACCAAAACACAGTGTGAGTCTATGTACCGTTGTCGGGCATGTCTTTTCTTTCCCGTATCGTTCTCTCCCATCGTCTCCTAAAGTCGTTAACGGACGTCGAGAACTCGGGGCTGATTTCGATGTTCCGCACTGTCAGCTCCCGTTGCGCCTGCACCTGTTCAATCAACACGTCGCACTTTCAAAACACACACGCGCATCACCTCTTCCAGTAGTGCCAATGCTTGACCGGCGCTACGGCCATGTAGTGCATCAGCAAGTCGAACCAGCAGGTATGGATGACGCCCGTGGCCGGTGAGCAGCCTTTCGAAATGCCGTATCCGTTTGTCTAGGTCAAATGGCTCATGAGCGTCCTTCTCAGTGAGAAAGTTGGGTTTGTCCTGGATTGCGTATCAGACACACAGAGCCCTTGCCATGAAGTCCAGAAGCTACAAGTCACATTGAGTATCGGGGTGGAACCCACGTCTAGCTCCCAATTAGACATAGTGAGGTGAGGTGAGAAGGAGTCGGATGGGCGCTGCTGTGAGAGGCTCGGAAAGAGGTGGGGGAAGTGGTAAATGCGAAGCGAGTCCAACTTGTGCGCCACTGACCACGCCTATATAGTCGGCGTATGCCGGGCGAACATTCCCACATGGCGGTCACGTCCTAACCGACGGCGAAGTGGTTTGACAAAGGCCGCCAGGGTCTCACAAGGCTAAACGTACTGATGATTCGGCAGACTATCCTTATCTGATGAACCACCTTCAGATAGCACAGTGCCACCTCTTCTCGTGCATGCGTTCTCTGGCATCTCGGGAGAAGCCCGCGCCTGCATACAACCACAACCACACTCTGAACATTCTAGCAAAGCAGGACCAACCCATCATGCAGTCGTACCACAATGTGGCTTCTATCAGCTTCTATCTTGCTGTTGTGTGGGCGTGCAGCCACCTTTTGATCTAGTCCTGAGGTTGATGGAACGTCGCGGCTTCCAGATGCACGAGAGCTCCCCTTGTATTCGCCTTCGCGGCACGTTGACAAACTAACAACAAAAGACTGTTGAGTGTGCGGGGTACGTATAAAACGGCTCCTAGCAGTTCCAGCTCTTCCTCGCCTTCGTCAATCATCCCTCCTCTGTGCACAACGTTATGGTCGAACTCAAGTTCAACTCTTTCCACTCCGATCCTATCCTCAAGGTGAGCTAGCTCCATCTCTATGTGGCCCATGACTTATGCTGGGACACAGTACCTTCCCCCTTTTATCACGGATGAAGATGGCGATCCGCCCATTGGCGACGTGGAGGGCGCCATCCGGTTCTGGGAGAGGCTCTTGAGGAAGTACAAGCGGTATGGGCGCCATCCTTACCTACTCGTCCGCTACGCCTCGGCAGTCTCCCCAGTGTCCCCAGGGCATGCACTGTTTCTGCTCGAGGAGGTGAGCCCCAACTATCCTCTAGCTGAACGATTGACAAACCAGTCCGCAGGCGCACGCAGAGATGGCTGCGCGCGACGTGGAAAGCAGTGCCCGGTTCGAGGACTTGATCGCAGCGTTCACAAAGGAGATCATCTACGAGGACATCCACACCTGCACGTGATGTTCGCTTTCTCTTTGTGCATAGCGTGTTAACAGAGTTTCAGACGAAGGTGTGAATCCCTCCCAACGCTGGCTCCCGGCGAGAGCGTTGCCCGTGCCGCATAGGATGCTGGCTCCAGAAGGGCATCTTCAGGTTCAGAGGGCATGGAAGACACTTTGTGGTCAAGGCTCCGATCTCTTCCAGCGATTCATGCGATCCCTTGCTATCGAGACGAATCACGTCGAGAGCACGTTCCTTGTGACCGTCGGGGTCCGTCGGCTCTTTCCTCTGTCCTTCTGGAGCACGCATCCTTACCACTCTATAGTCATCTCAAGATCTCGTTCGCAGCGGTATTGTAGCAAACTTGATCGTGACGAATGCGCAGAGCGAAGTTAAGGACCCGACCGTGATCAAGTCTATTCTCAACGATACGCTAGGCGTAAGTCGGTTAGATATATCCAATGGTCGTGGCTAACCTAGAACTCACCTAGGCCTATGAGCTTCTACGCCCTCTTGTCCAAGATCTGACCAAGCTTTCACCGGAGGCGATCTGCGAGGTTCACCGTAGGCTACTGGATACGGCACGATTCAGAGGACGACAATACATCCCCACAGGCGTGATGCGGACTGCTACGCGCAAGTCTGTCTACATCCACGGTGGTCCAAAGGACTGGATCCAGTGCTGCCCTCCTAGTAAGGTGGACGACGAGATGTTTTATATTTGCGAGACCGCGCAGGTGAGTGTTGTCCTCTGATCGTCGTAGCTCACGGTCTTAGCGCGCCACAGAAATATATCAGGGAAGCAAGGATGGACCCGTTCGCTCTGGCAGCCTGGCTTCATCTGGTACTGGTGCGCTGTCACCCTTTCAACGTAAGGGCGCTTCACAAATGGTCGTGCGTGATCTGACAGCACCGGTGCAGGACGGAAACGGCCGTACGGCGCGGCTAATCTCGTCCATCCCGCTCATCAAGCATGGATACCCACCCATCTCTATCCCATATGATGACAGAGGTGAATACCTGAAGGCAATTGATAGAGTCAGTATTTCAGACAGGCTCAAACTGGGATAGTATGCTCACCTTCCTGTCAAGGCGTACAAGAATGACTTCCAACCATTAGCGACTTGCTTCCTGAAAGGTATGCAGACGGCTCTCAATGCGGCCAGGAAACGAGCCTCGGAATCGGATCGAGTTCGGTAGTATAGCATTTTGCCAGTTCTTCAAGCGTTGGATATCACAGCTATTGGAGGGAGATATTATATACATTCAAGGGACACGAGATCTATCGTCGGAATAGTCGTTTGCCTTTACACGGTCGAGCAGCGCCCACCCGACCTGTCTCCAGCTGGTATTGATGGTATGCTTCGCGAAGATGATCTGGACTGAGAGGACCTGACTCGCCACGGCGAGCCTGTGCAGCACGCGCTGTGCATACTATCAGCAAAGCATTCACGGCGTGAATACATAGTTAAGAACGCACCTCGTTCGACGATCTCGCCCACGAACACCTTGCTGAAGCCGGCTACAATCTGCGCCACAGGTGCGCTGACCTGTTGCCCCAAGCTCTGCTGCACAACCTGAAGCGCACAAACACGCCACATGAGCACATAAACCTGTGAGCCTGTAGGTCTCTACGCACCTTCCTAACCGCACCCTTACTCAACGCGCTCCGCCTATACGCCTCATACCTCTCATACTGCTCCGGCCCAAAGCTATCCATCAACACCTTCAGATTATCCTTACTCTGGCTCTGCCACGACAGCTGCGCGCTATAATCGTCGTCCGCCATAGCCGGCAGAAACTCGTCGTCCTCCTCTCCATCTCCCTCTTCTCCCTGCCCTTGTCCTTGTCCAGCCTGCGCTTGACCAGCGCCGGAACTCGGACCGGCCATACTCTGCGCTAGGACGTCGGCAATAAGCGCGCCGGCTGCGGACGTCGGGACTGGTGGGGGTGGCATGGGCGAGTTCGGTGCGGGCGCTGGTGTACGTTCTTTGGCTTTCGCTTTGCCGCTTTCTTTGCTGCCTCCGCCTTCCCTCGCGGCTCCTTTCTCCGCGTCCTTGTCCTTCGGTTTACGGCCACGTTTCTTGGGCGCGGGTGTCCCAGATGCGGGCGGAGACATCGCTGAGGCGGGTGGCGAGTACGCTGATGTGATTGGTGGCGGGAAGGTCGGCTGAGGTTGGGTACCGTAAGACGTCGAGTATGAGGTGTTCTGATTGTAGGGAGTCGACATCGTGCGGGCTGACGTGGTGGTAAGAAGAGAACGTTCGTTCAACGCGACTTAAAGCTTGACGCGTCGGTAGTCGACGCGCGAGTTAGGGGCCAATTCGCGTCGATAGATAAGAAATATAATCAAGTTTTAGCCGTGTATCACAACCCCTACGGTTCGATGGCGTAGTTGGTTATCGCATCTGTCTAACACACAGAAGGTCCCCGGTTCGAGCCCGGGTCGAATCAATCGCCGTCAATTGACATGCTCTTTTGCCAAGCACTATGTATCTATCCGCCCGTTCATCTTCTGCTGAATCTTGTGCGGTCTAGAGTCTCATTGTCTCCCCGATAGCACAGCGTCTCTGCCAAAGAACTTATTCTCATGACGACCAACATCAACCGACTCAACACATTTACACATGCGCAACAGGGTATCACGAAACACAACACACGAGGACATACGCGACCGTTCAAAAGGTAGGATCCACCGGAGTAGGCGGCGGGCTAGGGTACGCTCCACCAGAATGCGAAGTCTTCAAGATACCCCTTGGCTGCTTCGCCTCGCGCGAGCGCGGCGGAGGCGGAACGATCATCGCGTCCCTCTTCCCATCCCCATACGCGGGATACGCGGGCGCAAGAGGGGAGTACATCGGTAACGGCGAGATCGGCGTCACAGCGCGTAGCGTAGAGCGCTTACTCCTCGTCCTAGTACTACAACGCGTGTGAGACGTGAATATGCAAACTGAAAAGGGAGGGACTCACGGAACAGCAGCAAGCTCAGGCAACTGCACAACGACCCAATCGCCCCTCCTCGGCTCCGGAAACGCCGTATACGCCTCCTCCCTCTCCCTCCTCACACACATCTTCTCACTCCCACCCGCGCCAAACCCGCCATACACCGCGTCCGAATCGTCATACGTCAGCGTGAACGGCGTGATCAGACCACCAAGGTCGCCCGTGGCGGGCAAGAACGGCGACGCGAGCGGGCTCTCGGAGCCGCGGGGCCAGTGGGCGGGTATGCGCGCGTTCGTGCTTGTGCGTGTTGAGAGGCGGCTGGAGAGGTGCGAGGATTTGGTCGAGGCGTAGTGCCGGAGGGAGACGGCGAGGCTGCCGGCGCGGGAGAGTTTGCCGTTGGGTTCGGATTGGGCGGGGTTGGCGTTGAAGATGTAGGTGTGGCGCGTGCGGCGGAGGCGGCGGTGGGCGATGCGGGTTGCGATTGAGCGGCCTAGGAGGTAGAGCGGGACGAGGATTACGAGGGAGAAGGATATTATGACGATGATGAGGGTTGGTAGAGGGAGGGCGCGCAGGTGGGCGATGAATGCGGATGTTGTCTGCGTCATGTCGGTGGACTCAAGGCTTGATTGAGTCGAGGGGATCACGGGATACGAGTGATGGCGTGGCTTAGAAAAGCGACAGTGTACCGCAGGATAGAGGGAGCCATTATGGGCCAAGCTTTAAGGATAAGGAGCGGGCGGTTTCGCCTGAGAAGTCTTGCCTGGAGGTCAGGCCAGAACAGTGCAGAGCAAGAAAGAGCCCGATGATATTTGGCATGGTATCAGCCGTATGCTTGCAGAGTCCTGGACACGAGATCAGCAGAACTCTATGAACATGCCTAAATTCAGTCAGTAGTAGCCCAGTCAATCCTGGCATCGAATCTGTGAGGCCGTTACTTGAGGCTCTGGTCGTCGAGACACACGATTCAGGATAGACCGCGACCGCGCATAACGTACCACACGCCCTAGCGCTTTTCAATGTCTCCTGGTTGCAAGAATAAGCGTTGCGTTCATCCTGGTCGTACGTGTGTCATACTCGTAGTTGCGGAGAACCGGCGCGAGCAGCGAGCCTGAATGGGTTCGGTAGAAGCGGCCCGGGTCTCCCACGCGTCCAGTGGCGCGTCTCACCCAATAATCCAATCCTACACCTCGACCACTACGTTGAATATGATACTCCATACTTCACTGCACAGTGCCTAACGAAGCCTGTGGCGGCCTTAGTTCCCCGTTGCGAGCGCCACCAAAAGCGCACCGCATCTGAATATCGAAGCCGGCGATATCAATACACGCGCGCGTGACCCACATACAGCTGTACGTATATCTGCCCACGGGTTCCCAAGAACAGCGGCTATCCCAAGGATCCTTGTCTCGACTCTTCGTCCGTCTGGTGCGCGCAACGATGACCTCCCAAGCCTACCCCCGTCATATGCTGGTACTCATCCACGGACAACTCTCAGCCGCAGGCGAAGATCACCTATCCCAAGTCCCTCTCGCCATACCACAAGACGTGAACTTTCTCGTGCTGAAGACCGACTTGAGCGGATTAAATGGACGCAGGGCTTATGTTAGTATCGATTGGGAGGCGGAGACGGTCGTGCAGCAGGTACGTGTCGCCACAGGTTCTCACACGCGCGATTTCTGACAATTAATCTCCTCGTAGATTCTGGCCGTACTACAGTCATGCAAAGCCCGACAGCAGCCCATCTCCGAGATCTCATTCTTCGGATTCAACATGGGCGGACTCATAGCGCGATACGCAGTCGGGTACGCCACCCCCTCTCTCCACTTCTCCTCTCTCTCTAACTCCCCGCAGTGTTTTATTCCAGATGAAGGTATTCTCCGAAATCAAACCGCGAAACTTCGACGCCTTCGGTACTCCCCACGTCGGACTCGTTACACCGCGGAACAGGGTACAGCAATGGCTCATCAGGAGGGTCTTTCCTCGATTTATGGAGCAGATGGCGTGGATGGACGAGTGGGAGGAGAGCGGGCGTCCGGTGCTGGACGTGATGTCTGATACCAGTGCGTATAGCGTGCTCGTGATACTCAGCGTGCAGTGGCCGATGACGGGCTAGATAGCGTCTTCTTCCGAGGACTTGCGCTCTTCGAGAGTATCCGAGTCTATGCCAATGCGTATGCCTGATTCACGTTGGACGCAAGGGCGCGAGCTGATGTCTACTCGTAGGACTGGTGACGGCATGGTGCCATACATGAGCGCGGCGATCGAGAAGTCCGATCCTTTCGTCGACTACAAGCACTCAGGGATCATCGTGTATGTGCCTGAGCTCTCAAGCAAGAGTATCTGAAGACTGACCTAAACTAGTGAAACATACGATGAAGCTAGTCGCTATCCAGCGCTCATCAAGTCCTGGACTTTCTCGTCGTCTCCTCCAAACGCCCTGCATCCAGTCCTCGGCTTCTTTCTCAAGACGCTCCTCCGACGCACCTCGATCTATGTTCTAGTCTTGGTAAGCCTTTCCTCGTCTGTGACAGAATACTTCTGACGGCTTTCTCAGGCGCTCATAGCCGTCCTCATCATCACGGGAGGCAAAATCGCTACCTGTATACTGTCCGTTTTGGGGGCATTCGCACTCTATCTGGCGGTGATCACGCTCATTCCAGCGATTTTATCCTTCATGTCCATTCGCAGCCAGAACAACCGGCTCGATGCACAACGCCGACGCTTGCTGGACATGTCAAGCGTCTTCCCTACTTCAGACGAATTGGCCGAGGACGGATCTCGGCTCGTCCCGTCGAGAACCCCAGAGACGTCCAAGTCCAGCGTCCCTACTACCGCACCTTCGACAACGAGCAAGACCGCATCGCACCTCACACCTCTCCAACTTCACGCGATCACGAACCTCAATACTCTGCCGCAGCTGCACAAGGAACTCGTCTGGCGCCCGGGCTGTTTCACTCCCCACCGCGCGCTCCTCGGTCTGGGTACATTCGGCAAGCCAAGCTTTGAGCGAGGCGGAATATTGCGGCATTGGGGAGATGGGCTCTTGTACTAAACCGTTATATTCCACGCCTTGTTACCGCCCGTTCCTGACAAATCAAAGTGACAATTGATCGCAACGGAACCGCAGGCCCCCGTCCAGCGTTGATGCGCTTCTTGCCCGCCGACGCAGTCAGCCAAGGCTTGGTGCCGGCACGAGTATAAGTCCATATTGTACCCTCGTTCAGGGTGGCGTAGATCGCTACTTGCGACCCTGCTGCAGAGTCTTCGGGCTGACAATACTCGCGCTAACAGCCATAACGGCGGTGAGGTCGACATAATGACAGGCGGAGTATAAGAGGGCCCGCCCGCCCGCTGCTCCTCCCCATCCACTTTCATCTTCATCTTCTCCCTCTTTCTTTATCTTTATCTTTATCCCTTCTTCTTCTCTTCACTCTTATTTCTTCTCTTTTCACCTTTCTTTCACAAACATGTTCGCTGCCACAACATCCGCCAGCCTCCTCGCCCTCGCCGGCTCCGCTTTCGCCGCGGGCCTCAACGCGTCCACCGTGGCCGAGATCGTCCAGGAGCTCCGTCTTGCGCCAACCAAGGTCGACCAGTTCAAGATCACCACCGACGAGCTCTCCGTCTTCGACTTCAACGCGGCGCAGAAGGGCGACATCGGTGTTACCACTGGTGTCGCGGGCCACACCGTCGCCGCTGACTCGGCCAACTTCCCGGCCGTAGTCGGTAATGGTGTCTCCATGAGTGCGTCTTCCCTTCACAACTTTGCTAGCCAGTATCTAACGAGTGTTCTAGCTATTGGGTACCTCGGCCCGTGCGGCATGAACTCCCCGCACACCCACCCGCGCGCAACAGAGATCAACTTCTCCGTCAACACCACCCTCCGCGGCGGCGTCCTAATCGAGAACGGCGCGCGCTTCGCCGAGATCGACATCCGCCCGGGCACCGCGACGATCTTCCCGCAGGGCGCGATCCACTTCGAGATGAACCCGACGTGCGAGGAGGCGATGTTCGTCGCGGGCTTCAACGGTGAGAACCCGGGCGTGCAGCAGGTCGCGCAGCGCTTCTTCGGTCTGCCGCCCGACATCGTCGGCGCGGCCCTCGGCGGCCTCGGTGTGCAGGAGGTCCTCGACCTCGAGGCGTTCATCCCCGACAACGTCATTCTCGGCGTCGACGAGTGTCTCCAGCGCTGCGGTATCGAGCGCACGAGCCAGCCCGGCGCACAGCGCCAGCCCCGCGTCTCTGCGAACGCGTATCCGCCTACGATCTCGGCTGTAAACGTTAATGAGCTCCCTGGATCGGTGGACCCGCCTGCGTCGGCTGTGTTTGTTGCTGAAGGCGCGAAGCCTACGGGCTTTGCGGACGATTATGTGCCGGTTTGCGACTCGCCGCTCGACTGTGATGCTGCGGCTTCTTCCGTACGCGATTGTCCTACTGTTCTCTATCATATATACTCATCTTGAACAGGTCCTCGCTACGGCCGCGCCGCTCCCCACTGCTGCTGCTGCGCCCGCCGGTCGCCGTGATGTTGTCGAGGAGCGCTCGCCTTTCCCTGAGGTTACTCAGATCGCACTCCGCCGGTGAATGTCGCGACGAAGATTTGCTTGATTGTGTTGTTTGTAGTAGGATGTTGCGCGGTTATCTTCTTCATCCATGCCTTCGTAGTTCAGACGAGATAGAGCGTTGTACGATGCACTCGTCTTACACACACGTTGTCCCCTTCGGTGTCGAATAAGTTGGCGGTTACAATTGATATAATGTTTTATATTAAGCAAAATATTTACAAGATCCGATGGCGTAGTTGGTTATCGCATCCGTCTTACACACGGAAGGTCCTCAGTTCGAGCCTGGGTCGGATCATGTTGATGTATCATCGTTATTTTTGGATGCTAGGGTTCCTAGTGCCCATAACTCGTTCTTTTACTCGCGTAGGAATCATCCAGGAGTGGCTTAATCTCATAGTAGATAGAGGTCTGCGTCCAGTTGAAAGTACTCGTGGTAGCACGCCGTTGTGCCGATCGGTATGGGCAGAGGTGAGAGCACTGCGCCTGATCCGCGTGGCGGCGCGCTTAGACTCAAACATCCATCTTCTCTAAACACCTGAGGACATTGCGTGCACTACAGCCATATTCAATCGTCTGAACCTCTGGGATGCCACCAACTGCTGAGGTCGCGCCACAGCGAGCGGAGTCGAATAGCTCTACAGCTCCAGCCAGACCCTCTCTCAGTACGTATTAACCAGTCCATGCGACGTGAAATGACCGATCGCTCATATCTACTCGTACAGGACTTAGCGAAGACGTGAAAAGGGATGCCAAAGGATCTATCCGACTTGCTATCGATGCCTTGAGCGCTGTAGCTTCCGTGACCGAGGACCTACCGTATATCGGGGCTGTGTCCGGCGCTCTCAACGCCATGATGAAGATATATACCGTGGGGTCATCGCAATACCTTGAGCCCGAGACAGTATCTCATTCACCTTACAGGAGGTCGGGGCGTACAGATCGGAATGGAAGGCCGTTGCGAGTACCTCGCAGAAGATCAAAGAGATCGTGGACGAAGCGCACGCCAAATGCGTCAAGCTGGTTGACGGTCGCGGAGGGAGCTTGCCTCCCGTCATCTTGGAACCACTTTATCGACTCGAGGAGTAAGCATGAAGTACACACCATCCGCGTGGCATGCTAACGCTGCATAGATCGCTCATCATCACGGTCACGACGCTTAACGCCTGTATGCCCGTGGCTGCGAACACTCGTTCTCTCCGTTTCCGGAAGCGAATGCAAGGCTATATCCGCGAAGTGTTGAACCGCGGTGACCTTGCAGACAAGGTCAAACAGTGCCGGTCAGACATGCAGACAACCCTTGAGCTATTCAACGTACGTGTCTCGTCACATCCCTGCATGAGTTCGCGATCGAACTAACGTTCTGCCACGTTCAGACGAGGTTGAACATCGACCACGCCCTCCGAATGCAGTACCTTGTCGACATGATCGAGCAGTGGAATAGGAAGATGGTCCGCAGCGTTCTTTTGCTGACTATGAGCGGTTACTGATCCTCTATTCGCAGCCTCGACCTCGCGTGACATCGTGCGTTCATATTCGATACAGTCATACTCCTACTGACGTCTTTGTTCAGCACATCCTTGAAACTCCCTCCCGCGCCTGCCATCTTTCACGGGCGCTCTGAAGAAGTCCATCATGCTGTGAATCTGATTCTCTACCAGGCCCCAGCTCGAGTGGCTTTGCTCGGTCCTGGTGGTATCGGAAAGACCTCCATCGCGCTTTCCGTCATACATCACCGTCGCGTTACGGAGCGTTATGGCGAACATCGTTATTTCATGTCTTGCGAAGCGGTTACGACTGCCGAGGGTGTTCTACAGGGACTCGCCAAGATCTTCGGACTCAAGCCTGATGGTGGTATAGATGCAACGCCGATGAACGTCCTGCTATCTCATCTCGTGACTCAACCAGCGCTTGTACTGTGTTTGGATAATCTCGAAACACCGTGGGACGTGGATGGCCCCGGAGTAGAGGATCTGTTGGAGAACATAGCAAACATTTCTCGTGTCACCTTGATTGTCACTATTCGGGGTACAAAGCGACCTCAACGAGTATCTTGGACTCTACCCTTTCTGCCCCCAGTAGAGCCGCTCGCACTCGAATCCGCTTTGCGTATATGGGATGCGATTTGCGTTACGCATGATGAATATTCAGCGAAGTTGATCCAAGCCGTGGACCGCGTGCCGTCGGCAGTCATGTTCCTGGCGCTTCGCGCCGAAAGCGACTCTTCTGAAATGCTCTGGACCCAATGGGAGCGTGAAAAAGTCGGACTACTGCAGATTCAGGGCTCCGATACGCGTCTGAACAACATCGGCATCTCTGTCCGGCTTTCACTCGAACAGCTCCGTTTACGGGCTGACGAGGAGGCAGTACAGGTTTTCAGTGTTCTATGCGCGCTCCCACAAGGTTTGCCTGTATCCCGCATTGCGGCCTTTGTAGAGGCTTATGCAGAGCTGCTACCGAACTTCCGGCGCTCTATTGACGCTGTACAGCAGTGCTCACTAGCATATCTGTCACGAGATGGTTTTCTTTGTGTGCTTTCTCCAATACGTTTCTACATGGTGTCTTTCCATCGCGTCTCTTGGCCACATCTGCGGTGCTTATTCGGGATATACAACAAGCTCGTGAACTTCGGATCCATGGAAAAGAAAGTGTATGCAGAAAGTCATATACGATCGGAAGAAGGAAATATCTCGACTGTATTGGAATTGAGCTTATCTTGTGATACACTCGATTTGGACCAGACGTCTCGGGCTATCGTTTCTTTCATAGAGCTTCACCTCGCTTTGGATCAGTGGCTCACGAATTATCTATCGCTTCCGTCCAAGGCCATGTGCATTGCAGAGCATAATCCCTCTTCAATCACAGACAGTTCTTTGGCGGGACTGTGGTTGTGCAAAGCGGGATGTTTGAATAGGGACCATCTGTACGAGGATGCTTTGTCAGCATACGTAAGAGCGCATGAATTGTATGTGTCTATCGGGAACCAATTTGGCGAAGCCAGATGCCTACAGAGGATGGGTTCTGTGAATTGGTCGCTTGTTCGCCGCCAGGAGGCAGAACATCTCGCGCTATCTGCTATAGAACTCTGTGACATCATTGGTGAGAGAAAGTACAAGATCGCAGCTTTAGTGACCTTGGGAAACATATACACCGTGTGGGAACAGCTCGATAAGGCAGAGCAAGTCCTAAATAGGGCCCTGGCACTCTCTCGCGACCTCCGCAACTACTCCTACGAAGCCCGTATACATAGGCAATTCGCTACTATCTTTCGCCTAAAGAAGCGGCACACCGAGGAGGAAGCTGAATTACGCTTAGCTCTGGAACTTTATCGGAAGGCCAATGATAGATCAGGTCAGGCTTTTGCTTTACGTCGACTGGGCGATTATCTTCTGGGTGAAAGGAAGTTTGGTGAAGCGGAATCAACGTTATCGGATGCTTTACAGTTATACTCCGGAGTTGGATATCGCCTAGGCAGGGCCAGAGTGCTCGTTTTGCTTGGTCGCCTCCATACCTGCCGCCATCAATATGAAAAGGCTCGTGGTTTGATACTTCCCGCTCTTGCCATTTTCTCGGATGCATCCAACATACGTAGCCAGGCAGATGCGCAATACTTCCTCGGCGAGATACATGAATGCCTTGAAGAGACTGAGGAGGCAAGAAAATGCTACCAGAACGCAATGGCCCTACACGACCAAGCTTGTCGCCCGCGAGGCGTCAAGAGCTGTCAGCTCGCCCTCCAGAGGCTCTATTCATCGTAGCATATGAGGACTTCAAGGCTACGGTGGGGAACCTTGTGTTTGCTTGGCTTAGTAGGTTCAGTTCAGCACATATTTATTGGACCACTGTACGCGAGTCTCCCTCGGGGTAACTCCAAGCCACTCTAGCCTAAGACTGGGGTATCCACCTCTCCCGGGCCGCCAGACTTGTTCTCTTCTCCTTTAAGCCTCTCCGTGTTATACTTACCAGCCTACGAGAGTAGTACTCCGAAGGTACCATGAAGTCGTGGGACCAGGGATGCGATGAAAGGGGGTTGGGAGAGACGCGACGGGGCCGCGCTCAGCTGACATGCCCGCATGTGTCATGGTGCCGCACGTGTCGCAAAAGCTCACAGACTCGGCAAACAGGCTCGCCCTGCTGTCCTTCTCGCGATTATCTGCTCTGATCCGGTGTACACCTACATGCTTGTAGAATTGACATGCTCAGATAGAATTCACAAACGGTTTACTGGCCTTCGGATTGCACCAGTCAACGGCGTGAGATTCGGTAAATTTTGGCAAGCTTATCATGACAATATACTATTTCGGAGGCGGTTTCCGCCCGGGAAGTAGTTTCCGCCCCTCCCAGTGTAGCTTATGTTGAACAACGATCTCGCGTCCTACCGTCGTGAAACTTTTACACAGTAGCAATGGATATATGCTCTGTACTCAACAAAAGTTTGGATGCAGGATATCGAGTTGTACTGCCTGTGATTTTCGCCCAAGTGCTCAACCTGGGTGTAAGTAAGTTCTTTTGTGCTCGGCCAAAGTGAGCGATGCTCTCCTTGACCCAGAAATATTCCCCAACAGCCATAGACGCCTAATTAAGCCATCGCCAGTACTCCGGTAGTACTCCGAGGGTGGTAACTCGTACGGTGTAGCAGACGATGGCGGCGGGCTTGAGCAAACCGTGTGAGTGTGACGGAGAACACTGATCGTTGGTCGGCCCGAGCAGAGCAAATGGCGCGGGCGGGCGGGCCAGCTCGTCACGAACGACCTCGTTTCGTGACCAGGAACGCCAAGAAGACGCCCACTCTCGCGGGCGGGCGGACGCCAGAAAAGCTAAGCCTCTAGTTGTACCAGTACGGCTTGAAAATATTTGTGCTTCTGATATCCTGGGCGTGCTACTGGTGAGACCTCTGTGTAATATTTCCTGCCTTTTATGTCAAACGTACAGCTCACAAAACGGCAGGGGCGGAAACTACTTCCATGCGGGGCGGAAACCGCCTCCGAAATAGTATAGCATATTTTACAACAGAGACCTAATGCTTCTTCTGCCCCTTCGAATGGAAGACGTCCTTCAACTTGCCCAACAACCCCCTCTTCTTCATCTCCGCCATCTTCTCTTGGGTCATCGGCATCCCCGTCTCCGAATCCATGGGCATCTCCGTGTTCTCGCCACCCTCCATCATAGCCTCACCACTACCCTCCACACTACTCGCCATACCATCACTACTCTCCATCATCGCGTTGACGTCTTCCATCGGGTTCAACATGGGCTGTTCATTTGTATTTGTGTTTTCGTTCGGGCTCGGATCGTTCATCATACTCATAGGCGCGGAAGCTCTGTAGGGGGACGAAAGGGACTTGAGAACGTGTGGCGCGGGTGGCGTCGTGCGCGCTCACTCGAAGGACACCTTGTTCTGCGTGCGATAGTCAGCGTCTGAGACAAGAGATCACGGGCAGGATAAGCGCGCGCTTACCTTGTAGAACGCGACGTGGTTCTTGATGTTGGCGGCGGCGTCGTTGGGCGCGGGGTAGTACCATGCGATGTCGTTGATCGTCTTGCCCTCGATGGTGGCGGAGTAGTAAGCCGCCTTGCCCTTCCACGGACACGTCGACCTGCGATAGCCGTCAACAAATCACGCTCGCGCAGAACACCGAGATCGGCGGATCGGATGGCAACAGCATGGACCGGATGGGTATGCAGTAGTAATAGGACACTCACGACGTGGATGAGGTGGAGAAGAGGTCGGTCTTGACGTCCTTGGGCGGGAAGTAGTGGTTGCCCTCAACGACGACAGTCTCGTTGCTGTCGGCAATAGTAACACCGTTGGCGACGACCTTGACCATTGTAGCGTATACGAGTAAGCGTAAAGCGGTGGGTAATGAGAGAGTTGCGAGAGATGGAGAGCGAGCTTGTTGACTCCAAGCCTAATCGCGACACCGGCTCTATATAGGTCGAGATCGTCATCATCTCACGTGCCCATGTACATGTATAGCCCTCCTGCTGACTGGTCAAGCTTCATGGGCGGGATGGGATCGGATGTGGGGCGGTGAACGGCGCAGCGCTGGTCGACAGCGCGAGCGATGATGATCATGGGCGTGCGTGATGGTGGGAAGTACTGGGAGCGGACGACGCGGGCAACACGGTGGACGTCCAGGCTACCGCATCTCGATGGTCGCTCATAAGGAGCACAGACACGGATCGTAACAGCTCAGGGTGTTGATTTCAGATGTACGAAGTATGGCGTTATACAGGCGTGATAAGGTATAGGGAGTATGCAAGAATCCGATATAGAGAAATAAGGACGGCAAGGATGCGAAGCGGGCCCCGAGGGCGCCTCTACCGCTTCTTCTTCTTGTTACCCGCCTGAGTAGCAGAGTAGCCCTTCTTGATACAGTCGGAGCAGTACCACTGTTCGGGCAGCGGCATTCTGATCTTGACACAGGATATGTGGAACTGGCGGGGGCATCAGTAGAGTCTAATGAATATCGCGGGTTCACATACCCATTGGTAAGCGCAATCTTCGTTGTCGCATCCAATCATCTATTGGCGACCATGAGCACATGTCCTGTACACAAAAAGGATGAACAACATACCTCGCCGAACGACGGCTTCTGACAGAAGCAGTAGATCTCGGAGTCCTCGGTCTCATCCATGTTCTCGACGTCCTCTTCGCCTTCAGCATCTTCATCGGCATCGATAGGAGAGGCAGTTTTGCGCGACGTGAGGCGCGCAGGAGAACCACGGCGAGAACGAGGAGTCTGTTGAGTAAGCCGAGAGACACGCGCAGGTGGAATGGCGACTGGAGCTGGACTGGGGACCCTGATAGTGCCTGCCACTGCTCCTGAATGAGTGGTCTTCCGACCTAAAACGAGATATCAATACACATATCAGAGTTGAGATGACTGGAGATGAACGCACGCTTCGGCGCTGGCGCAGAAGCACTCGGGCTGGCGGCAGCTATGGGCGTAACAGGTAAAGCTTCTGGGAGAGTGATCGAAGCAGCACGGAAGCTCTCATTGATGGCTTGCGCCGCACTTCGACTAGTGCTGACGTATGAAGACGACGAGAGGCTGGGTGGCACATCGTCTCCCTGCAACTTCAAGACCTTTATGAGATCGTGATCCAGCCTCGCCCGTGTGCGTGCGATGAGCGCGTCTATTCGCTCAGCCAGCTTGATCTTCTCCTCGGAAAGCTTGTCCGCCTCTACGAACAGCTTCTGGACCTTGTCCGGGATCTGCCCGTCCTTGGCGGACATTGGTGTACCATCGCGTTTCGAGTGGCGGACATATTTCTGACTGTCCTTCTGGATCTCCGCGTAAATTTCTACACAAAGCCAGAACGTGAGAACGATGGGCCTCACCACACACAACTACTCTGGCGCACCACTGTAGCGTCTGTCCTTGTGCTCAATCTCCGCAAGCAAGTGCGCAATCTCCGCCGGAAGATTATCCAAAGCTGGGTCGTGTGTAAGGATATATAAGAAGGAGACGGACATAAGCGGAACATACAGCTGATGTAGTCTGCCGCCACGACGGCGGCCTCTTCCATGTTGGTGGCCATTGTGATGGTGGACGTCCGGAAGCAAGACGCGAGTCGGCACGGAGCACGCGTCCGTTAGCGTATTACGGTGCACGTGCGGAGCATGGCTCGGGCCTCCCATCCTTGAACCCGAACGACTTCCTGCCTCCTATTTCCCTTCTCCTTTTTTCTTTCTTGCAGTCTGTTTAGGAGAGGGAGCCCCGCGCGCGCGGGGAAGAGTCATGCCTCAGCGCAAGACAAAATGGACTGCAAACTCCATCATCGGTCCGTCCCACCCGCTTGACTCCCGCAATCTCCCGCTCAAGCCACCCCAACAGCCGGCGCAGGAGGAGGACTGGTGGCCAGCATCGCGACCTGCCCGCTCGACGTGATCAAAACGAAGCTGCAGGCCCAAGCTGCCGCACATGGCCACAAGGACTATCTCAATGTCTCTGGTACGCACTACCATGACCGGGAGCAGTGACTCGTATGTTTATTTTCTATAAATCAGGCACGGTGCGGCAGATAATACACTACAACGGTCTGCGCGGATTATACCGAGGACTGGGACCGACGATACTCGGGTACCTGCCGACATGGGCCATCTACTTTGCGGTTTACGACGGCATCAAAGCGACGTTCGGCGAGCCGCCCCTGGTCGAACGAGTCGCGGATCGCGCGGACGAGCGGCTCTATCCCGCGCCGTCCGCAAAGGGCTACCAGCCCGTCATACGCGAGCACCCGTGGGGTCTCCACATCCTCTCCGCCATGACCGCCGGCGCGACGAGCACCATCTGCACCAACCCGCTCTGGGTTATCAAGACGCGATTCATGGTGCGTCATTTCTATCTCGTCGCGTGCCTTGGATTTCCTCTTTCTCTGACAGGCCTTTGATGCGATTTCCAGACTCAGTCTCCTCACGAACAGAAGTACAGACACACCTTAGACGCCGCTCTGACCATCTACCGCACTGAGGGTATCTCCGCCTTCTACCGCGGCTTGCTGCCGAGTCTGCTCGGCATCGCACACGTCGCCGTCCAGTTCCCACTCTACGAACAGTGCAAGCGATATGCCCGTACGTCTTCGCCGAGCCTCCGTCTCCTTCAACTCTCACTGATGACCGCCTATGTCCGCTAGTGAGACACAGCGCTGACCCACACGCCTCCCTGCAACCTCACCAGATACTGCTTTGCTCCGCCTTCTCGAAGATGGTCGCCTCGTGCGTGACATACCCGCACGAAGTCGTTCGCACCCGTCTGCAGTTGCAGAAGCGGCTGGTGAACGCGGACGCTCAACCCCCACGACCCGGTATCGTGAAGACCGTCAAGGCGATCATCCACAACGAGGGCTGGCGCGGACTATACAAGGGCTTGTCTATCAACCTCTTCCGCACCGTCCCCAACTCGGCCGTCACCATGCTCACGTATGGCGCTTTACTTCGTCTGCATCCCCATCATCCGCTAACGCCGTGGCTATATATAGATACGAGGTGCTGATGCGCCAGCTCGCGCTTCGCCAGTCAACAGCATAGATGGCTGGACATCTAACTAGATACCATCTATCATTATCGGAAGAGACTCGACCTTCGGACACACATAATGCGGTGGTCTTCCGGTCTGTCTGTGTACGCTACTCCCACATCCACACCCTTTGCCTTTCCCTCAACTTTTACGCCTCGCTACCAGTCTCCCGCTGCTTGCCCTCCTGTCATCATACCTGTATCAAGTATACATGCTCGGTTCAACACTCGATTCCACGAGCAGAATCAATTTCGTCGCACTGTGTGGGGTGCAGGTAGGTGTTAATGTGCGTAGAACTCATGCCCGTACAAATGCTCTCTAGTACATGCTCGACCTGGGAAACTCCATTCCCTTCCCATCAAGACTCTCTTCAAGGCTGTGAAGGACACCCTTGTGTACAAAACCTAACCGGAGATCCCCGCAAAGCTCCCCCCAGTTGATATCCGGAGACGGACTAAACAACGGCTCGTACTTTGACGAAACCCCTTCGTTGATGACCTCAACCGTATCCAAAGGATCCCCAATTGCGCGTGCTTCGGAACTGTACTGCAGTGCAAGTATTGCAGTGCGTCGAGCGAGGGCCTCATAGGTTGGTTCCAGGAACCGGGAGCGTTTCTGGCGGCGTATGGTTCCCGCGTCGAAGACGATGTGGGCCAAGGCGCGGCTCCTGTGCTTCTTCAGATGCGTACGCAGCGCGTCGATAAAATCAAAGGCGGTCCCAGACTCGGGCCGTAAGATGACCGTTGTTGTAGTGTGAAACATGTTCAATAATGCTTCGCAATGGGCGTATCTGAGGTTGGCCGCTCGCAGATCCAGAACGGCGACTTGGGACAGAGGCCATGAAGCGACGATGTCCATGAACCGCCCGTTAACAGCGCCGTCCACTTCTGGCCTGGAGACCGTGGTCTCAAGCGCGATGTAAGGGCTGGGGATCGTCTCCCTCAGCGGTTTCTGCTCTTTCGTGTACGACTGCAGATACGACCTTGAGCGGCTCCATTCTTCCACAAATGCCTCGGGGCATTCTCTCCCGATCACGCAGAGCCTCCAGCGTGGAGTTGCGATGTCCTCCAACACCATGGGACCGAAGCCGAGTACAATTGTCCGGATGACAGGCGCATTGGCCTGAGACGCATGAGCACCTATGTACTCGGCTATAGAGAATGCGTGACTATCTACTCCACGGAACTCGTCTGGAGCCATGATGAGGAGCTTGGCCGCGGAGGGCAAATCCCTGAGCGACCGAAGTAGACCGTCGCAAATGGCGTCGTGACCATTCATGTGCAGATATCGCATGTTCGGCAGCGAAGCCACTTCGTGTGCCGTAGGGCCCTCGCCAAGGTACCATGCAAAGTGGAGATGAAGATGCTCGAGGAGTGGACAACGTGATAGCGCGGCGATTATACCGCGGAAGAAGTCTCTATCGTCCAGCGAGTGACAACACTCGATATGGAGCGTGCGTAGTCCGCGTATGCGAGCCCATTCGAAGCCCACAACACGTAGAGACAGGTGCTGTAGGCGTGGCGTATAATTTTCCCTCAAGATAACGTCCATCAAAGATCGCAACTCCGCTTCCATCGCTGGCACGGTGGGCCCGATTTCAGGCAGGTGATCGAGTTTCAACTCGTTCAGTACGAGCTGTGGGTGCGATGCAAGCTTGTGAGCGACATTAAGAGCGATAGTGCTCGAGCATTTGACGGACAGGGAGAGAAGAGATCTAGGATCATCCCAGGATGCCAGATAGTTCAGCTCTTCCTCGGATATCTGAGAGCCGCGGCCACTGAACTCCGTCTCGATCCTGACCGTAAGAGCATGAAGTCCTGCGTGAGATCGCTGGAGCAGGCAGCGCTGTTGAAAGGTGGCGGTGTCCATTTGACTGTCCTGCCTACGCGCCCCCGACAGTTCAATGAAACTCCACAGTTCCGGGAAGTGTGTTAAGATGTCGCGCCAGCGCCTGCTAACACGGAGAAGACGGGTCCATCGCAAATTGAAGAGTTCATCGTTATCCCGCGCGTAGATGAAGAATATCTTCTGAAGGATCTCTTCGGGCAGGCGATAGATGGGCGATGCCAGCCAGTTTTGACACTCTTTCAATCGGTGGATACGCGATGCGCTGCGATGCAGTTCGGCATCGAGTAACGGTACGATGCCCTCGGGTTTATGTACAGCGTACGTGGCTGCGAGAAGCTGGGGTTCAGGTTCTTCGCACAACACGTTTCGTAGCTCGCGGGAGTCCATCAAGGTGCGGGGTCGTGGTGAACGAAGGCAAGATGGTTGGTTGCAATATATTGCGGTCCGAGTCCGAGTCACCCGAGTCGTCTTCTCACGTTTGCCGCACATATTCCGGGCGCCAGTAGGCTTGGTCCCCCTTTGCGGAGTCGCATCACATGACACTACCATAATACACACTACAGTACACAGACGCGAGTAAGAAGCATCTCTCGAGATACACGAGTCGAGTCCTCCATCGGAACAGATCGACTACTACAGACAACGTCCTTGAACGGGAATTCGGCACACGATAGCTCCCGGCTACGGCCTAGACGACCATCCACGGTTGATACATACACCGATAGTCCACGGTGGCGCAACACTAGAAAGGCTTGCACTGTTCTTCGAGCCAGGACCACAGTTTCTCGCCCAAAGCCGAGTCTTGCGCCTTAGCCGGTGTAGGTCCGACGCGCGCCCATGGTATGAGGAACTACAATCGTGTATGAGACTTGTGCGCTGCCATCGTTGATAGCATGAGGATGGTTCACCTTGCCGTTGTGGTCCGCAGCGTCGGGCGCTGTTCCAGCCCAGAGCTGGGTTATCGCACCCATTGGTGCAGGATACAATATCAGGTTCTACGTCATCCGTTAGTAGGAGTTGGTTCGCATCTTGAGATAGGCCTCACAATCAATGTGGCTTGCCAGCCAGGCAAATGACGTTGGAGATCTGTCTTCAGATTTCCGGGGTTGAGGGCCGTCGAAACGATTTTATCACCGTAGCGCCTAGCGAACTCGCGCGCAAAGAGCACATTCCCCTGCGACACGAGTGTTAGAATAGGATCAAGCGGAGCGCACGGGATACATACGAGTTTGCTGGTGTTGTACATATCCCAGGTCATACGTTTCTTCCGTTCAGGGCCGTCCCTCGCAGAATCGAAGTAGAAATCGGATGCGAGGTAAGCTGCTGTTGATGACACGTTGACAACGCGAGCCTTCTCGCCATTCACTGCAGCTGCCTCGAGCGCAGGCAGAAGCAATGTCGTGAAAAAGTAGTGACCGATGACGTTCGTCCCTACTTGCATATCCTGAAGAGGGTCCGGCTATCAGCGACATCATCCACGAATGTGTATTGCAGGTCTCTACGCACATATCCTTGCGCAGTCAATAGGTCCATCGGGCAAGCCATAATGCCGCTGGAGACGCAAGGCTTAGTCGAGGGACTTCGGCAGGATTATAAAGCCCGGACGCACGCGTTGTTGATAAGGACATGTAGCACCGGTTCTTTACTACATAGGTGTCAGTATGACCAGACCCGAATTACACACGGAGACGAACGTACGCTAGGAACTGCTCGGCAGACCTGCGAACGGCAGTCAAGTCTGAGAGATCCAACTGGAGGAAGATGGGCTCTTTGCCGGTCGCGGCCTTGAGTTCCTCGATGGCCTTATTGACCCTTTCGGGGTTGCGCGCAGCGAGATAGACCTTGGCGTTATGCTCCAAAAGCGCCTTCACAGTTTCTTTGCCCACACCGGCGTTGCCGCCTTATCCTGAGGTCAATCCTTTGTTCAACGCATTGAACAGACGAGGACGCACCTGTTACGATGATAACCTTTCCACTGAGGTCCGGTATGTCGTCAGGCGTCCATTTGGGCTTGGGAGGGTAGCTCTGGCTGAACAGGGATAGAGTGACGCCCATGATGTACTGTCAAGAATGTATGACGAAGAAAAGAGACTGGCAAGAGGCAAGATATATAGGGACGCGTCGGTAGAGACCCACGAGTGCCCGGTGACCGGTGACCCCACGCGCGCGGCAGCTAATGCCGAACGAGGGCGCGGCGAATCATGACAGCTCTGCCGCCTCGTCATGGCAGTCGCGAATAGACAGCGCGCGCCATGCCCACGACCGTGAGATTTCGCGTCGCGTCGGCAGCGGCCCTTCGCTACTTGCCCTTTGTTCTCGCCGCGAGGATCGACCCGTATGCCACGCCCTGCACACGAAGCATTCCTCGAGTATCGGACAACATCGCGCAGGCTGTGTCTGAATTGCTCATTGCTCACCTCGATGTACGCAGCACCCGCGACGCGAAAGTCGGCCATCTAGAACAATTGGCAGTCTCCTTGCACTTGTTCCTATCGTCGTTCACGATGAGCTTTGCCAATCCTTGAATCAGCCCATTACTTAGAGCGAATTTGATTTCTCACCAGTGAATTCGGTTTTCGCAGTCATGAGACCGGTAGGCGCTCGGGATAGATATAAGAACGTCGACATCCACCGAACCCTTCTCCTGACTTCACATATACGTCCCCTGCGCAGACCTTGGTCACTAACTTCCTTACAACCTCCGTCAGTGATTAGCGATGTCCTTTGAGCCAGCCTCAGTCACCGCCCCTCTGTTCTACTTTGAGTCACCCAAAGATGGCTCTAAGCCCTTCCAATACACGTGCCAGTTCATCAAGGAGAACCCCGTCGAGGGCGTACGCGGACAGAACTTTGGGCGCGTAGCCAAGTTCGTGGAGATCGGGAATTTGCGCGGCCGCGAAGACTCTATGAGGCTAGACAAGAACGGCTTTCAGTTCTTCCACCACCCCGCTAAGCATATGGCGTTCGATAACGATCAGGAGATACGAGACGAGTACTATCCGGAGAGCGCTCAGCTCATCAAGGAGACCACAGGTGCCCACCGAGTAGTCATCTTCGATCATAGTGAGTACGTTCGCCGTCACGCACGTCTGATGTTGACCATACATGACAGCCGTCCGGCGCCATTTCGCCACAGAGACTGAAGATACCCCAAGCACGCGCCAGCCTGTATCCAGTGTGCATGTTGATCAGACGCCGGCTTCCGCTGAGGCGCGTGTCCATCGTCACCTGCCGGCCCAAGACGCCCACAGTCTGCTTGCGAAGCGATTCCAGATATTGAACGTGTGGAGGCCCATTCACCACGCTGCGTACGACTTTCCGCTGGCGTTGTGCGACCATTCTACTGTGAACCCGTACAAGGACCTTGTGGCGATTGCGCTCAAGCCCAACGGCGAGACATTTGGCGTGCAGTACAATTGCGCGCATCGCTGGAAGTTTGTACGCGGGCTCACGCCTGAGGAGTGTGTCGTGTTCAAATGGCACGTCAGCTCGCTCTTCATCGATCATCTATGACGCTTTCTGTCGCTAATGGTCCGGCAGCTTTGATTCAGTGCAGGACGGTAGCGTCGCAGTATTCACACCGCATACCGCGTTTGTCGACCCGACGACCCCTGCAGATGCGGCACGCCGCGAGTCGATTGAGCTGCGCGCCCTTGTCTTCTACGACTGAGAGTACCACAACGGCATACGAGACTTCAGTTAGATCTTGTATAACCTAAAAGCATCGTAGATTGGCGTGACGCGCTTCGCAGAATGAAAGACAGGGTACGAGAACGTCAGTAGCCCTTGCACTGCTCCTCAAGCCATGCCCATAGCTTCTCTGCCGCCGCAGGATCTTTGGCTCCTGCTGGCATAGGGCCCTCCCGGGCCCAAGGGACGAGGAACTGTGCGTGATGTGAGTGCGGTTCCGAGCCATGCTCGGCTCTCATGCGCACCTTCCCGTTGAATTCCGCGGCTTCGGGCGCTGTTCCCGCCCACAGCTGAGTTATTGCCCCCATGGGAGCAGGGTATAGTATCATTTTCTTATTCGGAAGTCAGCTCGATGATGCGAAGAGTACAGCACTGATGGTACGCACGATCGCAACCTGCTGCCAGGCAGGCATGTGGCGCGCCAACTCCGTTTGCAGGTTCCCGGGGTTTACAGCGGTGGATACGATCTTGTCACCGTAACGCTTGGCCATCTCGCGCATGAAGAGCGCATTACCCTGCGATTGACCTGATCAGAGGTAACTCCATTGGCTTAGCACTAGAACGTACAAGCTTGCTGATCCAGTACAGGTCAGTAGAGGCAAGTTTACGACGCGCGGGCCCGTCCTTGACCGCATCGTAGTGGATCGAGTTGCCCATGTAGGCCGCGAAGGAAGACGTGTTGACAACGCGCGCTTTCCCGCCAGTTGCGGAGGCCGCCTGGAGGGCTGGAAGCAAGAGAGTAGTGAAGAAGTAATGTCCTAGCACGTTTGTGCCGAGTTGCATGTCCTATTGCTCTCTTCGTCAGTATCAAAGTTTGTACATCCCGGTTGGACGACTCACATAGCCTTGCACGGTCAGATAGTCCATCGGGGCCTGCATGACGCCTCTAGAAGAGAAGCGTCAGAACGGCGCTTCTGATCGACCATATCGAGCCAGACTCACGCATTATTGATGAGGATATGGAGAGTATGCTCCTTCCTGCCAGCTGTCAGTCAGTACTCTCGTACGCAAGTCCGACGGCAGTTTCCAGAACGCACGATAAGAGCTCTTCGGCAGCCTTTCTGACGGACACAAGGTCGGACAGGTCCAGCTTGAGGAAAATGGCTTCCTTTCCCGTAGCTGCTTTGAGATCCTTGATGGCTTGTGCAGCTCTGTCCGCGCTGCGCGCGGCAAGGTACACCTTCGCGTTATGTTGTAACAGAGCCTTCACGGTCTCCTTGCCAATACCGGTGTTGCCGCCTGATATGCGACGCATCAGTCCTCTATGCCACAGCAATCGGACAATAGCATAAGTTAGGCGCACCAGTGACGAGAGCAATCTTTCCGCCAAGATCAGGCATGTTTTCCGCTGTCCACTTGGGCTTGGGCGGGAAGCTTTGTTTGACGAAGGTGACGAGGTTACCCATGGCGAAGATGTTAAAGGACCGTGATGCGGTTCAGCCCACCTTTATAGGTGTATTCACTCTGTCCGGGGGCCGAGAGTGGGTCGGCTCACGCGAGGTATAGGCATAATGTTGTATTGAACAACGCCGTAGTGGTCTCGAGCAGAACGCAGTGGAGGCTAAATGTCATCTCTACTGACGAACTCGGTTAGGCTAACCGAGTGGCGAGCGCGTCGCACGGTCGCGGTGTGATCGGAACATGATCTGCCACGCCGGCGATGCTTGCACGGGCGGCGGAACTCATTGTGGTCCTTATGCTGGCGTACTTGATGTATGATCCACAGTCATACAGATGGGCTCTCTGCACCAGACTCGGAGTCGGAGAGGTTGAACATAACCAGAGCCTCTCTCCTGAACCAGAGGCGGCATAGGACCTGCGCGAGCCCACGGGACATTGATGAGCCGGGGCAGGTGAGCCGCCGGGCGACCACCCTCTTGTGTGCATTCCAAGCGCTACGTATGCTCTCTCCGTCGGCGAAAGGCTGTCAACTTCACGCGGTCGGTCACCGCTGAGCATCATGTTTACGTATATGTAGGCGTATTTAGTGTGTAACAGTGTATGGAAGGCCGAGAGTATGTAGAACCTAACACAAAGCTAATGTAAGGTCCAATGCAACGATGGAGTAAGAATGAAGAATTCGGGAGCACAAGAATGTACGGGGTATCATCGAGGCAACAAAGGCGACGGTAGAGGCTGAGCATCGTGAGGAATACTAGAAGCCCTTGCATTGCTCCTCAAGCCACTTCCAAAGCTTCTCTCCTGCCGCAGGATCCTTCGCCAGAGGCGGAAGAGGTCCCGCACGAGCCCAAGGGACAAGGAACTGCGCGCCCTTGTCAGAACATGGCGAATGAACAGATTTGAGCGTCGCGACATACCTTTCCATTGCAATCTGCGGCTTCCGGTGCCGTGCCACCCCAAAGCTGAGTGATCGCGCCGAAGGGAGCGGGGAACAAGATGAGGTTCTGTAAAGGGCCAGTAAGACTCAGGTCAGATATAGTCGGCCAATACAGACGTACAAGTATGGCGTCTTGCCATTTCGGCATATGGCGCTGAAGCTCGGTCCTGAGGTTGCCTGGATTGACAGCGGTAGACACGATCTTGTCGCCGTAGCGCTTCGCAAACTCGCGCGCGAACAGCGCATTGCCCTAACGTACGCCACATCCGTTCAGCCCGTGCGCGATCTCCCAAATCGTGGAACAACTCACGAGTTTGCTGGAGAGATACATGTCAGTCGGATTGTGCTTCCTGCGCACGGGGCCGTCCTTCGCGGAGTCGTAGAAGAAGTCCCTCGCTAGGTAAGCTCCTGAAGAGGACGTATTGACAACGCGAGCCTTCTCCCCCGAAGCAGAGGCTGCCTCGAGCGCTGGAAGAAGTAGAGTGGTGAAGTGATAGTGGCCGATAACGTTTGTGCCCAGTTGCATGTCCTGTGGGATTCGTGTCAGAGTCCTGGTCTTTGAGTGTACAAGCAGTCAAGACCCACATAACCTTGAGCGGTCAACTGGTCCATAGGGCAGCCCATAACACCGCTAGGCGGACGTTAGCCGCAGCACCGGCACGACAACGTCGACACCCACGCGTTATTGAACAGTATGTGGAGATTCTTCTCCTTCCTGTAGCAGATTCCGCAGTCAGCAAAAGCAGCTACCAGCGACGCAGGCCAACATGACGTACGACAAGAACTGCTCGGCGGCAGTCCTAACGGAGCGCAAGTCTGCGAGGTCAAGTTTGAGGAAGGTAGCCTCTTTACCCGTGTCCGCCTTGAGTTCTTCGATGGCCTGAGTCGCCTTGTCGGCGCTGCGCGCAGCGAGATAGACTTTGGCGTTATGCTTCAGAAGCTCCTTCACGGTTTCCTTACCCACACCGGTGTTGCCGCCTGCGAGCCAGCCGTCAGAACAGCGAACATGAGTATCACGGGAAGCTGAGCGTACCAGTGACAATGACGACCTTTCCATGGAGGTCCTGAATGTTGTCCGCCGTCCACTGAGGCTTGCCGGGGAACATCTGTTTGATAGCGGAACCAGTAGCACCCATTTTGCGAGAGCCGAATGCGATAGTAAAGGTTGAGAAGAGGGCGCCCAGTGGCGACGACGACGGCACCAGTATATATACCCATTGTGGACGGGCAGAGAGTGGGTCTTTCAATCTGCTGCAAGATGCTTACACCCGGTTTCAGTACGATATAGAGCGCAGGCTCGCTCTGGATGATGGCGCGCATGTAGACCAATATGGGCCCTCGGCGCGCGCATCACGTCAGGTCGCATGACAAACTCGGTTAGGCTAACCGAAGTTCGCACGCTGCAGCGTACATATAGCTGGTTAAGTATCCGAACAAGAATGTGCTTTGGGTCCGTGATACAAGAAACTATACAAGAACTGGCTGGACATGAGTGGGAGACGAATCTGAGGTTGGGATGTGCCACTCACAAAGCTCCCGCTTTCGGACGCCGCCTCGGACCACGAGACGCGCTCATGAGTCTGAATGAGAGTAGTACTCCTCTTCGTCCTCATCATAGTCATCCTCATCATAGTCGCCTTCATCATAGTCGCCATTGTACTGTTCCTCTTCAGCCCGTTGCCTCTGACTCCTCTCGAGTTTCTCTCGCTCCTTCTCCCGTTTCTCCAGCTCGCGGCGCCGCACTTCCTCTTGGTCGAAAACTTCGAGTCTTTCCGGTCCACAGACGGTGAAGAGTTCGCCTTTGCAGTAGCGCTCGAATGCATTCGAATCCTTGAGCCCGCGGTCAATTTTCTTCTTGTGTGTATCAATCTCCTTCTGAGACAAGAATGTTCAAGTAAGCGAGACTGATGCGCAGTGAAGGCAAGGAAAGTCGAACATACCCTCCAGTCGCGACCCTTCTCGGTGAAGCACTATGGATGCATGTGTGAGCATCGCGGTATCGTTCGCACAGGGCGAACGCAAACGTACAGAGCCTTTGACTTCAATGATCGTGGGTACGCTGGGTTGGCGCTCATCATACGTGACGAATGGGTCGTCGCCGTACAGCGAGATGAAGAAACTGTGGTCGTCTGTATCGCATCAGCCGAGGCCACAGTAGGTATCAATGTGCAATACTCACCGCCTCTCTTGTTCTCGTACTTGATAGCAATCTCTTCGTCCTCACAATCACGCGGACACTCCGTCCACGAGCAGACGTTATACTTCGGGTTCCATATCTGGCTCAGCGTGACCTCTTCCTCCATTTTCCTGACCACATCGTCTCCCAGGAGTGCCCAGTTGAACTCCTCTTCCCAGGAAGGTGCACCTTCCCTCGCTCCTACTGGCGAAACCCTCATGACCGGGTCCTTTCCCCTCATGATGTCCATATATTGCACCGGCAACGCCTCCTGCATCTCCTTACTCCACCTCCCACAGTCCAGAATATGGCCCTTCATAGTCCCATGGAACCTGACATGATCGACGACGTCGAAGTAGTGGCGGTTGTCGGACAGACCGAAGAGGAAGCGGATGTAGGTGTGGAGGTTGGCGAAGGTGAAGTTCGCAGGGACTTCGACTATGCGGAAGGTCTGGCGCCGTTTCTGAAGTTTGATGTAGAGAGTCAGAAAGCGCCGAGTCGGAGGTGGGAGGGTCGTGTATGCTGCAGATTGGGTGTTGTAACCGCTCTTGCGTTCTGGTGAGGCGCGACGAGGGCCGAGGTTGTGCGCTCTGGATGGACCCGCGTTGTTGGACCGATAGTAGTCGGCTATAATGTTGAAGTGACTCATAGACTGAGAGAAGCTATCAGATACACGGGTTTCCTAGCAGATGGGTGAGACACGTACTAATGTATAAGCTTAGTTTGGGTGTGGAGAATGTTCGAAGAACGCGAGCAGATATGATAAAGCAAGACTCGGGGCGAAGCGCTAAGATATTTATGGCGCAAGGATAAGGTACATAGACTGTGTTATGCAAGCAGCAGGCTACGGATGCCGAGACGTTTACTCATGGAGACGAGAGCAAAGTCGTGACGACGGTTGCCCGAACGCCGACGCCACTCGCAACCCCGGGCCGATCACCGGTTGACCAGGATCATCTGTCATCCACAAGCGCCCACAGCGCGTCCAAGTGCCCCAGCGCGCGTGAGTCGGTGTGAGCCTTGCCTCTTACTCCCATCACCGCTCTCAGTCACCATGGTGTCCGACCTGGAGCGATATGTGTCGGACAATGCCCTTCAGGTGTGTGCTGCTGCTATTGGACGTAAACATAGAGTGGCTAAATAAGCTCGTAGTTCTTTGGTGTATCTGAGAAGCGCATGGTCGACTTTATTATAGCTTCAGGTGCGTAGAAACCTCAGAATACGTATGCTTACTGAACACTCATTGATACCACAGCGACCAAGGCGAAATCACCCGACGCATTCTACTCTACACTCAGCGCCTCCGGCCTTTCGGACTCGGCTGCCGCACAGTCATTCGCCTCTGAGGTCTACAACCGTGTCCCTCGCAAACACAAAACGAAGAAACCCGAAGATGTCGCTCGCAAGTTGGCCGAGAAGGAGGCGAAGATGCTACAAAAGCAGCAATTCGCATATTTGTTGGACGACGACGGCGCGGCAGGGAGTGCGGGAGACGTGAAGGCAGACAAGGGGAAAGGAAAGGACAAGGAGAAGCGGTCGTCGCGGCCCACGCGAAAGCGGGAGCTGGACGGGAAGGAGTGGGAAGACGACGAGGAGGTGCAGGCGAGGAAACGGTGGAAGGGCGACGAGGACGAGCCGGTGCGGGCACGTGAGCCAGAGCCGGAAGAGGACATGGACCTGGGCGAGGACGAGGAGACGCGGAGAGAGCGCGAGCGGCTGGAGGATCTGAAGGAACGTGACGAGTTTGCGGAGCGTGTGAAGAATAGGGACAAGGACAAACAGAAGAAGATCGTCGAGGACAGGTCGTCCGCAAAGACGTCCGTCGCAGCCTTGGACGCGGCAGAACGTCGACGGCTCGCGGACGATGCCGACGCGCGCTCAGCCGCATTGCCCTCCATCCGTCAACATGCTCGTCAGGAATATCTCACGAAGCGTGAGCTGCAACAAGTCGAGCTTCTGCGCAAGGAGATAGCAGATGAAGCAGAGTTGTTCCGCGGAATGAAAGTCACGAAGCGCGAAATGCGGGAACACGAGCACAAGAAGGAAGTCTTGCGCCTAGTCGAGGAGAGGCTACGGATCGACGACAAGTGGGACGGGTACATGTTACCTGAGGACTACATTACCGAGCAGGGCAAGATCGACAAGAAGCGCAAGCAGAATGTGCTATACCAGCGGTACGAGGATGCCAAACCCAAAGACGACCAGTTCGTGACGGATGTCGACCAGTGGGAAGCCAGCCAGACGCAACACAGCACGTTTAAGACCGGCGCGATGGACAAGCCAGAGCTCGTGGAGCAGTTCGATTATGTCTTCGACGAGAGCCAGATGATCCAGTTCGTCTCGCTGGATAAGCAAGAGGGTACCAAGATGAGCGCTGCCGACAAGATGCTACAACAGCAGATCGAGGAGGCAGAGAAGCGAGGTAAGCTGTATTCACGCTGATTATATCTTGCGCTCGTGCTGAATGAAGCTTTCACAGTGGCGTCTATCGATGCAACCCGGAAGTCGTTGCCCATCTACACCTTCCGCGAGGAGATTTTGGAAGCCGTCAAGGAGCATCAAGTCCTCATTGTCTGCGCCGAGACCGGTTCTGGCAAGACCACGCAACTTCCACAGTACCTTCACGAAGCTGGTTACACCGCCAACGGCATGAAGATCGGCTGTACGCAACCTCGTCGAGTCGCCGCGATGTCCGTAGCCGCTCGCGTGGCTGAAGAGGTCGGCACGAAGGTCGGATACGAGGTCGGATACTCCATTCGCTTCGAGGATGCCACTAGTGACAAGACCGTCATCAAATACATGACAGACGGCATGCTGCTGCGAGAGTTCCTCACTGAGCCCGATCTGGCGTCATACTCGTGTCTCATCATTGATGAGGCACACGAGCGTACACTCAGCACAGACATTCTGTTCGCTTTGGTCAAGGTACGCCCTGCTCGAACTCTACCGCCCTTGCTTAGACTGACACGACTACGCATAGGATATTGCCCGCTTCAGGCCAGACTTGCGTTTACTCATCTCCAGCGCGACCTTGGACGCCGAGAAGTTCAGCGAGTACTTCGACGATGCGCCGATCTTCAACGGTGAGTTTCGCACCGCGCATCTGGAGGCGTCTCGTGTGCTGATTGCTCTTTGTAGTCCCCGGTCGTCGTTACCCCGTGGAGATTCTCTACACGCCTCAACCCGAGGCCAACTACCTTCACGCCGCCATCACGACCGTCTTTCAGATTCACACGACTCAGCCCAAAGGCGACATTCTTGTCTTCTTCACCGGTCAAGACGAGATCGAAGCTGCAATGGAGAACCTACAAGAGACTGCACGAGCACTAGGCAATAAGGTCCCCGAGCTTATCGTCGCGCCCATCTACGCCAACTTGCCGAGCGATATGCAGTCGAAGATCTTCGAGCCTACACCCGAAGGCGCGAGGAAAGTTGTTCTTGCAACCAACATCGCTGAGACGTCTATCACCATTGATGGTATCGTGTTCGTCATCGACCCGGGCTTCGTCAAGCAGAACGCCTACAACCCGCGAACGGGTATGTCAAGTCTCGTCATCGTCCCCGTGCGTACTCTCTTCTCAACACGCCGCTTATCCTACAGCTAATACACCGTTGTCTTCAGTGTTCCCGTGCCGCCGCCAATCAACGCGCTGGTCGTGCCGGCCGTGTCGGTCCCGGTAAAGCCTTCCGGCTGTATACCAAGTGGGCGTTCCAGAACGAGCTGGAGATGAACACCGTACCCGAGATTCAGCGCACAAACTTGAACATGGTCGTATTGGTGCTCAAGTCACTGGGTATCAACGACCTCATCGGCTTCGAGTTCATGGACCCTCCGCCCGGGGAGACGCTCATGCGCGCGCTGGAGCTGCTCTACGCGCTTGGAGCGCTCAACGACCGAGGAGAGCTAACGAAGCTCGGACGTCGGATGGCCGAGTTCCCCGTCGACCCTATGCTCAGCAAAGCGATCATCGCGTCGGAGGGCTACAACTGTACTGATGAGGTCCTCACCATCATCTCCATGCTCCAAGAGTCCGGCTCGATCTTCTACCGTCCTAAAGACAAGAAGCTGCACGCGGACCAGGCGCGGCAGAACTTCGTGAAGGCTGGAGGAGACCATTTCACGCTGTTGAACGTTTGGGAGCAGTGGGCCGACACGAACTATAGCCAGCAGTTTTGCTACGAGCAGTTCTTGCAGTATAAGAGCTTGTGTAGGGCGAGGGATATTCGGGATCAGCTGGCGGGGCTTTGTGAGAGGGTGGAGATTGTTGTGGAAGGGAACCCTAACCAGAACGATATCACACCGATCCAGAAGGCCATGACGGCGGGATACTTCTACAATACGGTACGTTCTTCCTCTTGACCTTGTGCTCACAATGGGCTGACGGTCTGTTATAGGCTTCACTGCAGAAGAGCGGCGACTCGTACCGCACACTAAAGACCAACCAGACGGTGTACATTCACCCGTCGTCGAGCTTGTTCCAACATCAACCGCCGGTCAAGGCCGTCCTATACTACGAGCTGGTCATGACGTCCAAGTCTTATCTCCGCTCGGTCATGGAGATCAAACCATCATGGCTCTTGGAAGGTACGCCCACTAGATGTTGGTTTCAGTGGCACGGTACTGATACCTCCATAGTCGCGCCTCACTACTTCAAACCCGCGGACCTCGAGCAATTGGCGAAGGGAGACAAGAAGATGCCGAAGCAGGTCCAAGCCGCACCAGCCAGGATCGTTGGCCCGACATAGTGGAAGTTATTGAGTGGCTTGTCTATTATATGTATTTTTTGCAGGAGCAAAATACCCGCTCTTTCATCGCATTGGGAGAGGTCGCGCTGTCATGCCGGACCAGTCACCGAGGCGAACCCCGGGCAGCCCGTTGAGAGATGCGAAGCTCTGCGCGCCTAATTTGCCTTCTTGCCCCTAACTTTAGCGTCTGATGGTAGGTGCACAGCCACCATAATTTAAGCGCATATAAAGTGGGCATGGCTTCCTCTGTTCAATTGAATCAAACACGCCCAATCTCGTCGCCGTGCATATGGCTTCCTCGCTGACCACTCAAGCCCGCATTCGAAGGGCCACAAAGGCCGACATCGAGGAGCTGTCCCATGTCATGGCCCGTAGCTTTGCGAACGATCCCTTTGAGCATTGGGTCAAGGGTGCCAAGCGTCCGATCTCCGACCTCGACACGAAGGATCCCGAAGAGGTGAAAGCCTTGAAGCATATGCGCTACTTCCAGTGGACTCTCGCTCGACTGTTTCTGCTGCACGGACAGGTGGACGTCGTGGTCGTCCATGCGGATGGACGAGAGAAGATCGTCTCTTGTATATGCTGGGTAGAGCCTGGCAAGACTGCAGATCCTGGCCTCATCTCCATAATGCGCATGCGACCTCTACGGGTCTTGCGAGCGTGGGGATTCAAGCCGTTCCAGGTATGGTCTGCCTACGAAGTGTGTCTTAATCTGTGCTGATACTTTGCAGCGCATGATACTAGAGTTCTCACCCCGGATCGAGAAGGCTAAGAAGCAAGCCTTTGGAGCTCGAGGGACGAACATGAAGGACGCGTGGTATCTCGGTATTGCTGCCACTGACCCAGACTACGAAGGCCATGGTTCGCAGTTTCCAAGTTGTCTCAATTGCGAATACGGTCCGACGATTGGCAGGCTACGCATCCTTGATAATCAAGGAGCGATTCAAGACTATCGGCTCGACGCCCATTCACCTCGAGGCTAGCAACCCCAGGGCACGGGATATATACGAGCATTACGGGTTCCAGGTCAGTATGACCCTCTTTTTCCCGCGTCACGTATAGGCTGACCGCTCATGTTTGACCCGCTCAGCTCGTTGAAACCGTGAGATTCGGCGTTGGCAAGGTGGACTCTGACGGATTGACTGCCGAAGGAGAGAAAGCCATTGGTGTTCCTGACTTTGTCATGATAAAGGTATGTTCATCTTCCTCTCTCTTTTGCGCTTGATTGATGTCCTGGACAATGCAGTGGGAATGAGTTCCAGGCTTGTCAACCGTCGTAACATGAATCTCTCGTGGTGAAGATGACGAGGAATATTGTTCTCTATCGCGGATTTGCCAAGCGGCGGTGCCACTACTTGCATGATACCATATAGCCAATTATATAGTTTATACTACTTCATCCATAATATCCATTGAAACCCACTGATACCGAAGCAGTAGATGCCTACTTGAAGAACCCGCGCTCCCCAAGATAATTTTGATGCTCCGCTCTATGTTTGCGAACCATGCTGTCGACGCCGCGACGCCATATAGGGATCCCGATCTGAAAGACAACTGTCAACAGCAGCCTCAGTGAAGAACGAGAGGTCTGCGTACAAAGCCAATGATACCGTACACAATATCTTTCCCAAAGTTGTTCCAGGGTGTCGACCCGCGTGTAGTTGTGCGGAAGGCTTCACCGTTGAACGAGTCAGTGATGTTGAAGTCACCGCGCTGTACGCCTCGCAAGAGGCCCATAGCACAATCTTCGGGCCGCGCGATGGGATCACTCTCCTCAATCTTGAGGGTTATGGCGGGCTTTGTCTGGTTCTCTACGGCGAGATGCGGAGTGTCGATTGTGGCCGGGAAGTACATGTGCACGTCGATGTCGTAGAGAAGCAGCTCTTGCCGGAGCGCCTCCGCTAGACCTAGGGACTCATGAGTGATAGATTCCGCAAGATGACGCAGAACACCTCTAACCGCGAATGGCAAACTTTCCAGGACAGTATGACCCATATCCAACCTGAAGCGTGGTGAGCACAAGCCTTTGTCGAAGACCCCTCTACCCGAGACGAACGTACCACTCCGAAGTAGGACAGGATAGAGCCGACGAAGACCAATTTGCCGGGATGGCGTGCGCGAGCCATCCGTTCTGCTGCAATCTTCAACGAGACGTTGGGGAATCAGTCTCTTGTTGGTTCCACGTCAGATCTCGAGGACTCACTTTGGCCGTGTACGCAGCGACGAAGTACGACTGGTCCATTCCGCGGCGTATCTGTTCCTCATCATACTCGACCCAGAACCCCGGTTGCGCGCTACCAGCGCACATGAAGACCGCATCAGCCGGTCGTCCGCCGTGCCCTGCGCACGCCGCGTCATACGCTTTCCGGGCATTTTCCGCAGAATCGAGCGAGTGCGAGTGCGATGCAAGAATTTGGTCTGGCGAGATGCGCGCACCCTGAGATATGTGGTCAGTCGGGTCGATATGTCGGCTTCTCGGTCTGATTGCGCACCTCCAGTTGCTCAAGCGCGCGCGCAAGGTTGTCCTTGTTGCGCGCAACGATCGTAACGTGAGCGCCACCCTTCACGAGAAGGAGCGCGAGATGCAAGCCAAGGCCGGTAGAGCCTCCTGTAACATAGCAGTGCTAGGGGTAATGAGTACATAGCCCAGTAGGAGTCTGGTCGATAGTACGCACGAGTCCGGCAGGGTCCCAGCGTTTCTGACCGAAGAGTCCGAAGAGCATCACGAATGCGACTGTCACGCAAGCAGCGAGAGCTGCAACAAGATATTCAGCAGCAACCAGCGTGGCAAAGAATTTAGTTGTAGGCGAAGGGACCGTAGCTTTAGAGCTGAGGGGCCGCTGGGGGCAGTTGATGGACTGGTGGCGGCTCCGGCGAGTCCCGCGCTATCCCGCGGACACAATGTGGAAAAAAGCCACGAGGCGCCTACACAGCGGCGGGCCGAGTGTATATGGTACGACAGGCCGCCAGGCGTCATTGAGGGTCTCGGAACTGTGTAAATAGTCTGTACTTATTGCATTTGTGCGCGGCTGGGCGCACATCATGGTGGGAGGAAGATCAGACGGCGTGGAACCGGTTTCACTGTTTCAGGAAGCGCACGGGTTGACTACGCGGTCGTAATAAGCTTAGTACTCTACAGTACTATGTGTATGTACAAGCTCTCCGTAGTCTACACCTACGAAGACACAGGTGCGCATGCTATCGCACTTTGCGTGGTCTCTCTTGGCGTGGTCTCCCGAACAGATATTGTGGACAACTGAAATATACACTGAAGTGCTCATAAACAGTCCAGACAGTTTAGAACGTTCGGCGTATGACTTCAGTGGATCACGGATTTCCTTAACCGTGGACGAGTGCCTTGCGAGGATGGATAGCGATGTCGAAGCATAGATAATTTATACGAGCGAGGTGATGGCGGTCAGCTCCTGAGACGCGTCGCGCGCGAAACGCGTCGACGTCGGCGCGACGCGTGACGTCTTCCTCCCACACACCACCACACTCCTCCCCGCTCTCAGCCGCAATGGGCGACGACAAGCCCGTCAAATCCAAGCACCGCTCGCACAAAGACAAAGATGACAAGGAACACAAGAGCAAGAAGCGTCACCGGCACGAGCGCGACGAGGACGGACATAAGTCCAAGAAGCGCAAGTCCAAGGGGTCGAAGCTGGAGGTGGTAGATGATGATCCCGAGGAGGACATGTGGGTGGAGAAGAACATCGATATGGATGGGGAATATGTGCGTACTGAGATGCATATACTGTTGACTTGCAACTAATTTCTGACTACATGTGTGCAGCCCATAGCGCAGGATATACCGACAGCAGACAGTCTGAAGCTCAAGTCGCGCGCAGAAGAAGCGCCGGGCGACCCTCCGTTACCCGAGTCTCAGCCGACAGAGACGCGTCTGCGGAGAGATGATTGGATGTTGGAGCCTGAACAGGCGCCCGTCATTGTCCCTACGGAGCGAGGAGCCGTGAAGCTCTCTACCGCGGACGAGAGTCTGACAGACGGCTACGGCGACGCGCCATCTAGTTCCCGTAACTTGGGTGGTGGTGTCGACTTCTTCTCTTCGTTGGGTACGGAGCGCGTCAAGAAACCTCCCCCGAACAGGCCTAACCCTGATGAGGTACGTTCAACCCATCTAGCACTCCGACTGTATACTCTGACACTGTGCTATAGCTCAAGATCCACTCCAAAGAACTCAACACGCAACTCAAAGAAGGCAAATCCATCGACGAATACACCGACGGCGCCGCACCCGTCAAAGCTCTCACGCCAGGCGGCCCAGGCTCCCAATGGCGCATGATGCGTTTACGGCGCGTATACGAGACGGCAGAGGAGGAAGGCCGACCGATTGAAGAGGTCGCGCAAGAGCGCTTCGGCTCGTTGGAGGCATTCGAACAGGCGAAGGAGGAGCGTCGGATTCTTGATGAGCGTGAGGGCGGTGGACAGCCAGCGAGAGGAAGGGATGCGGGTAGGGAACAGAAGCGGCAAGGGCAATTCGGAAAGGGCGGCGAGAGGGGGTTCATGTTCAACGAGCCCGGCAGTGGGGCATCGAGCCGGAGCCAGTCGTTCAGACGTCCCGCTGGTTCTGGTCCGACCACACCTTCAGCTGGCCCGAGTGGCAGCATGGGTCGACCGAAGTACGACTCCATGCGCATATCAACTTCTGGCCAGAGCACATCCGCACATACACCTGTCCCAACCGTTCTGACGCCACAACCCGCGGCATCAAGTTCAAGACGTGCAATGTCACCGTCTTCCTTGAACAAGCTCCAAGCGAAGGTGTTGAGGGCGAAACTCATGGGCGCACCGGACGCAGAAGCGTTAGAGAAGCAGTACGAGAGTGAGATGGCTATTGCCAATGGGGATGTCCAAGAGGGTGTTAGGACGAAGGTGGAGATGCTGCCTACGTTGGACGCGCAGGGACGACTGTATGATGTCGGGCAGGGCAAGAACGACGCCGAGCCGTTGGCGGGGAACCGCAAGAAGAAGGAGAAGGTTCGTCTACCCCATTCAACGCCTGTCGAGCTATGCTTATATTCAACTACAGCAGGTCGAGACGAGAGACTCGAAGACGGGCGACATCGTACGCATCAACGCGGACGACGACGACCTCACGCTCGGGGATCTCGTTCGTCAAGAACGCTTCGGCGCAGGGATGTCCGACCAGAAAGACATGGACGCGCAATTCGCGAGGTCAATCATGACCGACAGCGGCTTCCAGGTATCCATCCTCCCGCTACGTGTACCATGCATGGACTACATGCTGACAATGGATCCATAGAATGATCTGGACTACATCGATGACAACGCCGAAAAGCTCGGTCGGCAGAAGATGCGGTCGGACGCCATGAAACGCCAATTCGCCATCAACGACTACAAGAAGACGCAAAAGGCCCTCGCGACGTGTTCGTTCTGCTACGGTGAAGACGACTCGCTGCCCAAAGCGCCTATGGTCGCGACTGGTACACGCGTGTATCTGTCATGTACAACGAACGAGGAGCTTGTGAAGGGACATTGTCTTATCGTGCCAATGCAGCATTGCTTGAGCATGCTCGAGGCGGACGATGATGCTTGGGATGAGGTCAGGGTGCGTGCGAGTTTTGTGATACGACCGTATGAGAGGCTTGGGACTGACGCGCTCGCGCAGAACTTCATGAAGAGTCTGATGCGCATGTTCGCGGAGCAAGATATGGGCGTCGTGTTCTACGAGACCGTCTTGAACCTCAAATGGCAGAAACATACAGTCATCGAATGCGTGCCTCTACCATGGGAGAAGTTCGATCTCATCCCGGGCTACTTCAAGGTTCGTGTCTCACGTTCTTCACCGCTCCCTTCAGTTCTGACACACTATGCAGGAGTCTATTCTGATGAGCGAAGCCGAATGGTCCCAACACAAGAAGCTCATAGACTTCTCCTCCCGCCCCGGCGGCTTCCGCCGCATGATGGTCCCCAACCTGCCCTACTTCATGGTCCAATTCGACTACAAAGGCGAGAAAGGCTACGGGCACGTCATCGAGGGCGCAGCCGGTGCAAACGGCAACGACCCAGACGACCCCATGGACGAAGGCGAGAAGGGCGGCGGCGATTTTCCTAGCTATTTCGCGGCGGAGATTTTGGGCAATGTGCTTGAGGTCGAGCCGCCGGGGAAGTGGAGGAGGCCGAGGAAGTTGGATTTTAGGAGTAATAGGGAGAGGGTGGAGAGGTTTAGGAAGATGTATGATACGTTTGATTGGACGGGGATGCTTAGGAAGGAACAGGCGTAGTTGGTCTTGTTGTAGCATTATATATGTCGCGCCTAGCCCTTGCGTGGGCTCGCACGCGCATCATAGAGCCACACTTGCTTCTGGCCGTTCTCCCACGCTGCTTTGCCTCGAACCACCACCAGCTCGTGACCTGCATCTACCCGACTGGCTGTCGATAGCAAGTGCACGAAGTCCTAACCTTTGGCGTGACTAGTGCTTGAGCCGCGATGTTGAGAGTAGCTGTGAGACCGCGGAACCTGCCGCGTCGGTGCTTTAATTCATCGCAGCAGGGAGCTACCACCTTGCGCCTACTCAAAGTACCATCTACACGTCTATACTCCGCAGCTCAGCCTCAGCTTCATGGCGACGTCGCTCAACTGAAAAGGTCGTATCTTTATGGTAAGCTTGGGACTGTGGCAGACGTGCATGTGAGACCATAAGCCAACGCATCGCTGCTCAGTTCCCTGCTCGTCGGACCGCATGCTCCAGAAGAGCGTTTCTACTGGCGCAGACACCATCATATATGATTTAGAAGATAGCGTGGCGCCTTCGGAGAAGGACAAGTCGGCTGCTCGAGGGAAGCTCGCGGATTTCCTCGCTTCGTCCCCAGATGCGCCAGACAGCTCTCGTATCGCTGTACGCTTAAATGATGTTACAACGCCGTTCTTTGAGAGAGATCTGGATAAAGCTGTAAGTCACGATCCCTCTCTCTGTCTTTTTGAATCCGGTCTGATATGCTTGCAGCTTCGCCTTTTGCGGATCCCGGGAACACTCGTTTTGCCCAAGGTTCACTCGCCTGACTACCTCGACAGGGTCGCTTACATCGTAGACTCCGTTGCTGGCTCTCTGGACTCTCCGTTACGACTTGTGGCTAGTATTGAAAGTGCCAGGTCTCTCTACAACATCGGAAGCATCGCAGGATGGCGAGATAGGTCCGGCAAGAGCCGCATCGCGGCGCTGCTCTTCGCTGCTGAGGACTGCGAGTACTTTCCATTGCACGAGAGCCTGAGCTTGAGTTGACGATTGACTCAAGACTGTGCGGATACTGGCATCATACGCACGCATGAGCGAACAGAGCTCTTGTACACACGCTCGCAGGTGGTGGTAACGGCAAAGGCGTTCGGGCTGGAGGCCATCGACATGGTCCGTTCAGTATGATACCTCTGTGAATGTAAGCTGACGCGTGATACTTACGCAGGTGTGCGTGAACTACAAGGATCCGGAGTATCTCAAGGAAGAGTGTGAAGATGGGCGTCGTCTTGGGTTCACGGGCAAGGTACATCCGTTGTGTGTTCGATGAGATCAGCGCTAAAGAAAAGAGCAGCAAGCAATTCATCCGATACAGGTAGACACGATTCACAGAACCTTCGCGCCATCAGAGAAAGGTTTGTAGAAGCCTGTGTCTTGTCTGCTGTACATGCTGATACACTCTGCAGAGGTCTATCGCGCGGCAAAGATCGTCCATCAGATGGCTCAAGCTCACGCTTCGGAGAAGGGAGCCATTGGGCTCGACTTAGGCGACGGGAAGGACGGGAAGGAGATGGTCGATGCGCCGATGCTGAAACAAGTATGCCATCAAGATATCCTGTTGATGAAGCCTACTGATAAAAGTTACCTCAGGCTGAGAACACACTGAAGGTTGCTCGCGCAGCTGGAATCCCAATTCCCGAGTTTTAGCAACCTCTTTCGCTTGAACCCTTGAACACCGAATCAAGACGGAATATGTCGTACATGTAACTCTGAGAAGAGAGCTATAGTATCTTGGCGGCCTTCTTACTGCTATAGAACTGCCCTGCGATCTTCATCGCCTGGCCAAAGTTCTGAGGCGCAACGAGCGTCCTCCCGATCCACTTTGGGAGTTTGTCAGATATCCTCTGCGTCTGATAGCGCGCATCGATGAGGACTAGGGCGGCCCAGTCGTTCTTATGACGGATGGCACGACCTGGACGCCATTCATGTCAGAATACGTCGAGATCCGATTGTGAAGATGACTGCTTACCGATACTTTGATTGACCGCATTCATGCACAGGTTCTCGTACAGCTCCTTGCCCGCGGTACCGTAGCTTGATCCAGCAGGCGGCTTGTGACCCGCCAAACGGTCTGCGTACTTTAGGCGCTCTTGAAGCTCCGGAGACCCCAGGTTGGCAAAGGGAAGACCGACAATGACAACCATGCGCGCTAGATCGTCCGAGAAGTTCAGACCTTCGGAAAGCTTTGCCCCCACGACTGCGAACAGGAGAGCACCAGAAGCCTACGAGAAGAGGTTCAACATCACGCGTTCAGGGAGTATGACGCAGACGTACGTTGTTGTGGACTTCTGTTGCATAGCTATGAAGGACCGTCGGCACCTCGGTGGTAGTATTGGGTTCCACGAAGACCTGCGGGATATCATCATCATGATAGAATGTAGACCCGGTATTGCCCACCTTCTTCTTGCTGTTCAAGCTCTCGAGGAGCTTCTTCTCCTTCCACGTCTTCATAACTTGGTTCAAGAAGTTGTATGACGGTACAAAGACAACCATCCCGCCGGGAACAACTCTAGCCATGTTCAGCAACACTTGCCCTAAGTCAGTGATCTGAATCACCTGGATCAGCTTCAGCGCGCAACATAAGCTCGGTGGACGTACTACGGCAGGGTCGCTCATGGTTGCGAACTTGAACGTGAGGTCACCTCCGCGAGGGCTCTTCGACAGCGCGAGAGTTTGTAGGTTGGCTGCAGGTATGATATGCCCGCATGAGAAAGTCGATATACGCTCGCGAGGTACGTGACGGAAGAGGTTGTTCACAAGATCGGACATCTGGAAGGTGCAGATCGATGTCAGCACTCGTCCGACAAAAGAGGTTGCAGTCGGGACGCACTGGCGACATGGTGCCACCAGCAAGGATCACGGAGCGTGCGGTGTCCACGACATGTTTGAAATGCGGCGCAGGGTTGAGGGAGTTGTATTTGATCTCAAGTGATTGGGAATCGCCCTGGCCAGTTGCCACGAGCACAAAACGTCCGTCTGACGTACGATCAATACAGGCTGTTATGAGCGTAAGCAGGTAGGCATACCATCATTCGCCTCTGCAAGAGCGGTTATAAGACCTTGAACGACGTACAGGGCCGGTTGGCCCCTGGACTGTGGCTTGCGAGGACCTCTCCCGGGTTTGCCTTTCGCGGCAGTATCCGCATCACGGTCCGCTTGCTTGTCTGCATACGAAGATATCTTGCGAGCAATCTACTCGACACGTTTAGCCCACGCTCGTCTCTATGAGGGTGTTCATTCACCTTGCTGCTCTTCAGATAGGTCTCAATCTCGAGCACGTTCACGCCGTCGAGATTGCGATCAAAGCGAGAGATCACGTCCTGTACGGTTGCAACTTCGGGTAGCTCCAACTGCTTCCACTTGAGCATGATCTTCCGGATGCCTTCCATGAGTTTGTGAAGCCTATCAAGGTGTAGACGATGCCGTGAAGCAAGTCTGTTCCTGAACTTCTTCAGATAGTTCCCCAACTGCTCGATGCACAGCTCTAGCGTCCGAAGCGGCACGGACACCGAAGAAAGTTGCAGTAGCGCTGCTGTCAAATCTGTATACAAATGGTCAGGGACTTCTTGAAGGATTCTCGGCGACACGTACTATGAGCTTCGTCGACGACGACCACGTTCCCTGCAAGGTCGATGTTGAGCGCCTCGCGGGCATTCGCTTGTAGCAGAAGGTTGTAGGGCAGAGTGACGAGCTGCACATAGACATAAATGGAGAGCTGGAGGAGAAAGACGCTTGTCTTACCTCTGCCTGAGGTATAGCAGCTCTTGAAGCGAAGTATGGACATGTGTGGGCGCTTTGTCCAGCCTGTACAAGATCTTCGATATCCTTCGGAGAGGCCAGAATCTGGTCTCGCAAGTCGCTCAAGGGACCGTTTTCGCCTATCGGAGGCATGTACTGGCAGCGCTTTTCTCCGGCTATCTCGTAGAGATGAGCCACAAACCACGAAGATAACTACGGAGTGCAGAACTGACCTTGTAAGAGGTCGCGGCAGTTCTCGTCCAGATCGCCACCCTTCGCTTTCAATTCATCGTTTATACAGAGCTGTTTGCGTGATCCGAGAGTGACTATGCGTGATTCCCTGTCAACCGAAGAAGGCAACTCGGGGGAGGTCAGCGCGTCGTGAGTGCGCTTCTTGCCGATGGAGTTGACTGAGTTTCTCGTTTCATCACTTGACGACGGCAAGAGGTTGACAAAACGGCGAAGCTTCCTTAACTCTGGGATCACCTGAGTGAGCTGGGAATGAGTACGTGAGGCGTAGAAGATCTTGGTGCATGCAGTAGCTTCATTCTCATCGCGAGTTGCTGGGTTCAACACTTCTCTGACTAGGATCAGCCGACTGGATGCCCTAGGGACCTGAGCACTCACAGCCAGTATGCCGCAGCGTTCTTGCTGCTCTTCGCGTCATCTTCTGGTAGGAACGAATCCTCGTCCGAGTCCGAGTCGTGTTCCACTTCTATCTTCTAGATGCCATAAGCAGACAGCGTCAGCCCGGATAGATACAAGTGATACATCGAACATAGTCACCTGTTTCTTTCGTACCCTCGCAGTAGCTTTCCTACGTTGTATTTCTTCTCGCTTCCGTGCGGCAACCAACTTCTCCGCATATTCGGCATCTGCACGTTCTAGCTCACGCCTCAAACGTTCGCGTGTCTGTTCAAGCACCCAATCCGGCTCTAGACGTAGTCACTCATGAGCACAAGTGAGCAGACATGAGAATATCAGGTCTACCTCCGGATCCCGCACCAGATGCGGCTTCTAGTTGGCCCTTGCGTGCGCGGTCGCGGTCATCGTCGAGCCAGGTGAGAGTAGCACATAGCAGACTCGATGTCTTTCCCTACACGATACATACAGTCAGACACGTAGACATATGAGCGCTGTATATGCATCATACGGTTCCCGTTGGGCTCTCGACAATGGCCACTTTACGTTGCTCTATCGACTCATAAACATGGGCCATGAGCGAGACTTGAATGTCGTAGGGCACATCGTAAGGGAACTTGGGGAATGTCTGGGGCGTCTGCAAGCTAAGAGATGGAAGACTCTCCGCCATTCGGTCCAGTGCGGGAGGGGGGTGAGGATACGAGATGAAGGCGAGAGCCAAGCCACTGTGGTTCGCGTCGAGGTTGCGATTGAACGCGGTTGTCACGGGCAGTCAACGAGTGACGGGACGCGTTCGGTCACAGTTCGGACGAGAGACGACGCGCCCGCGGATCCACAGCCTTTCGTTCCCGCCACATTCATCGCACGCGATCTGCCTCTCCGTCTACAAGCCATGAGCCGGGAACTCTGGAAATCTCAGCTAGAACAGAACTATGGGGACGTACCTGGACTTACGCCTGCCTTCATTGAGCAATGTCAGTGACCTGGCCAGTTTGATCACGTCTCGAGGTGACTGAGTTCTCTCAGGTCTCAAGATTTGCCAGACATACGACCTGTCGGGAGAAGATGTCTTCTTCAAATGGGAGGCCTCTATTTTACATAAAGACCGCATCATCACCGATGATACTATTGGCAACATCGAGGCCGTAGTCAAGTCCGATCTGGCGCGCGCTGCGAAACAGAGGGCGCAACAACAAGCTCGGTCTATCGCCTCCTCGCGCGGCGGACGGCCCGGAATGAATCCATTCATCGGCACACCATCCCGCTCCTCTACAAGAGTAGGCCCCATTGGTTCGCCATCCACACCTCGGACACCTATGCCTAAGGCTCGCGGCGTAGCGTTCAGCACACCGGCTGCAGCAGGAAAGCACAAAGTGCGGTTTGAGCTCTCTGAGGAAGACTCTGGAAAGGCGCGCTCATGTACGTGTCATCTTACGCGACTCTTCAAATCGCTGACTCGGACACTAGATAAATACATGTACGAGAAGTTCTCCCAGAGAGGGCTAGGTACGCTCTGTCAAGCTACCTTACCTCGCATCTACCGACCGGCGCGCAGTGCTCGATAACCGCATCATGGAGTTCTCTGATCTCATTCTCAAGCACTACGACTTGCCAGCCTTCAGCGAACCCCACCTCACTACCGACGTACGTCAATTGGCACAGTCACCACAATGACAGAATACTGAGTGTCAACGCAGGAAGATGTTTACGTTTTGGGACGAATCGTGCTGGATGCCGAATCGTCTGCTTCAATAGGCGTCAAGCTGAACGAAGCGAGCTTGTACTTGGAAGGGCCTCGCTTGATGGAAGCCACCAGAGTGAGGTTGCGTCTGGAGCCTAACCTGAGGGTGCGGGGCGCGCCCAAAGGTCGATCCAATATTGGCATGTTTCCTGGCGCTATCGTGGTGATGAAAGGGAGGAATGGTGGCGGCGACTACTTCTCCGTCAACGAGATCCTATCAGTCAGTTTTCCATGCCCATTCTACGTTACAAGCTTCTGAACCATGGACAGATACCGCCACCTAGCCCTATTTCTGCCCAATCAGATCGACAGATCAAGGCGGAACCTTCCTCCGACTCTTTCTCTATGATCGTGGCCTGTGGCCCATTCACTCCCGACTCAGATCTCGAATTCAGGCCGTGGAAGACGCTCATGGAGAGGATTAGGACGAATCGACCAGATGTCGTACTTCTGGTGCGCTCTTCGTCCCTTTTTGCCCTCCCTTAGCTTATGATGTCGTTAGCTTGGTCCATTCCTGGACTCTCTTCATTCCAAGATGAAGGTTGGCGATATCGACGAGTTTCCGGAGGAGATATTCGCGCGAGTGTTCGCTCAGGACCTCGTGGATCTTCATAGCTATTCACCGTCTACCCTCGTTCTCTTACTTCCCAGTATTCGCGATGCAGTGCACAATCATACTACGTATCCGCAGGCGGCGCTGCCCAATCACTTAGTGGAGAGTCCGGTAAGCTATCCTAACGCGGTTCAAGCGCTTCTACTGACATCTGCCACTAGAACGTCAGGATGATACCCAACCCTGCGCACTTCACCATTAACGGTGTTTCCTTCGGTGCATCAAGCGTCGACTCGCTCTTTCATGTGAAGAAAGAGGAGTATACGAAGTCTGGAATAGAGATCCAGCCCTCCCAAGTGCCAGCAGAAAGCTCGGCCACGGATGTGATGTCGAACCTCTGCCGCCAGCTACTGGCACAGCGCAGGTCAGTAGTCATACACGGGTTCGGATGCGCCCATTCTGAACCTTACTCGACAGCTTCTATCCTGTATTCCCAACTCCCATGGATGTCGCACATGAAGTCAACCTCGACGTCTCGCACCTAGAGTTGGCGAGAATCACGACCCAAACTTTCAGTGGCGAGACTGTTGCGCCCGACGTGCTCGTCGTCCCGAGCAGATACAAGCAGTTCGTGAAGGTAGTATCCTCGTGCGCGCGCAAAAGTACTAGTGCTGACATCCTCCGGCAGAATGTCGACCACACGATGGCGATCAATCCGTCTTTCGCGACGAAAGGGATGGTGGCGTCAGTCTTCTACGGAGGCGCGGGAGACGGTCCGGCAAGTTCTAGGTTGAAGATTGAGCTGGAGAAGTTATAGTAGATACCTGCTAGTCGTGTTATACCTCGCTCTGCCCACTTGCTATCGAGTTTTGCAGTATCCGCATCTGGTTGTGGTTAGGGTTTGAAGAAGTCTGAACGTGCGCCGCGGAACACGTTTCGGCAGTTGAACGCGTCGAACGCGACTCTGTTCATAGCCTTGATCTCGCTTGCTCCGTCCCACACCTCGTCGCCCACCACCTGCTACTTGTCAAATATACAATGGGCGCAGGTCAATCAACAGCGAACGACGCTCATCCTCCGGGGCGTGCACTACATGTACTACGCGTAACACCATCATCTCCCGCATCCCAAGCGAATATCGAGGCGTTCTTCGACTTTGTGGTTGGTTTCGAAGGCGACTCCTTGGCGTCACGGAAGGCACTGGATGCGTCAGAGCTTGAGCGGCTAGTCGAGAGCCACGAGGGAAAGAGCTTGAAATTACTGGTTTGGAACAGCAAGACTCAGGATACAAGAGGTGCGCGTCCTAGTACACTCATACTATTTATTGCGATCACTGATATACTCCCAGTCGTACCCATAACGCCTTCTCGAGAATGGTCAGCCCTGAGCCCTACGGCAATAAACCCTCGCGAACCGGAGTCAGAACCGCAGCCATCACTACTCGGGCTCAGCATGCGGATGTGTGAACCGGAGTTCGCGGTCGACAATGTTTGGCATGTACTGGACGTGCTGGAGGGAAGCCCCGCGGAAAGTGCTGGTCTTGTGCCATACGGCGACTGGATCATAGGATGGTCTGGTGGAGTACTCAGCGCAGAAGGCGACTTCTACGACGTTGTGGAAGCGGTACGTTCATCTATATAATCAAGCATTTCTGTTTGACCAAATCCATGTAGCATGTCGACAAACCCCTTCGAGTGTATGTCTACTCGTATGACTTTGAGTACGTACTCAGATATCAACCTATCGAGAAGTGCTGAACTCATGCGCTCAGCACCATCCGCGAGGTTGTACTCGTTCCGAATCGGCAATGGGGCGGAGAAGGCTTGCTAGGATGCGTCTTCGGGTATGTGCCAAACCTTTGTCCCGTCGCACCTAAGCTAACCACGTTCATAGCTTCGGCTTACTGCATCGGATACCTCCCGTATCTGGCGACCGTCAACCCGGATCATTGCCTCCAGAACTGGTCGAACCGACCGAGTATGAGGAGCAGGAACTCTTTGTTCCTGCAGATGCGTCGTCGGACAGACTAGAGTTTGATCTGCCCGCGCACCGTCAACAAAGCGACGCTCATTCGCATGATTATGTTCCGCCTGCCGCCGACTACACTTACTCGTACAGCAATCGTGGTGCAGCGTACAGCGTCTCCTCCATTCCGGAAGAACAGGACGATCATGAGGCCAACGGTCATGCTCATCACGACCACGATCACTCTCATTTCGGACATGACCACGGGCACGATCATGGGCATGCGCACGACCATGAACACGACCATGAACACGACCACCACGACCATGCGCATGATCACGGACACGACCACAGTCATGGTCATAGCCATGATCACCACAGCCATAGTCATGATTATGCCCACTCCGAGGACTCCGACGACGAGCTGGAGCGCCTGCGGAATACCAGTGCCTCAACACCTCGACCAGACCTTGCTCGCCCACCCTCATTGCGAGGGCTATACCCGAACGGTGAATCGACCTCGTGAATGCTGCTCCTACGCGCACTCAACACCAAGACATTCATCAAGGTCTACGTTTCCCGACGACGCCAGGCGGTCGTCCCTCCCTCTCCGACGCGGGCTCGTTCCGCTTGGCAAGCTGGGTCAACGCCGTTGAGGATGCCAGGGACCGAGAAAGGGAGACGAGCGAGGATTCGCAGGGGCTGGAGAGCGTCGCGAGCACGGACTTCGGTAGCGAGATTGCGTCGGACTATGGAAGCCTTACAAGCGTAGAGTGATTTTGGTTGTATTCTGACTTGCAGGAGGGTATATACGGGCACATGTGTATGGATATAATCGTGGGAGACTCGTGGGACAGATTTGAGCCGCTTCAGTCCATCGTTCTGTCTGACGTAGAGGTCGTACTCTGAGGGTTGAACTCCAAATGGGTTGCGATGACAGGCCAGACTGCGTGTACTGTGAATATACGAAGGCTGAAAACACGTAGCGAACCTACCCTCTTCGAATCCAGGGTGACGCCCGACGCGTATTTGCTGCCAAACGTTGCGCATCGCTTCCGAGGTGCGTATCTGAGTCCAGTGGTCCAAGAAAAACTTGACCTCGACCTGGGGTCATCTTATCAGAAGATATTCGGTGTGACCATACGTATAGGACCCTACCTTGCGAACAGCCTCATACGTGGCGGAGAATGTTGAGAAGACTTCGTACGGGACGTTCTCCACGGTCAAGCCATTCTTGATGTGCTCGAAGGCCCTCTCCCTCAACTCCCTCAGGCCCAGCTCTGAAGATGGTCAACACTTTGCTATCAGCCACATATGCGCGACGGCGTACTGTCCGCGAGTCTGTACACTGCCTTGGCCGAGCAGGGAAGTGGCCGCCCAGGGTTGAGTTCTGTCCACTCCCGGATCCATTCTTTGCGCGAGCCACTGTTAACCGTTTGCCCATAGGAAGTGTCGGCGGCAGACTGGCCGGTCTTCCCACTTGCGCCTCCTACGAGGTTGACTTGGCTTTCGCTGACCGTCTGTGTAGGTGCCGTGACAGTACCGCGCATTGTGTAAAAGGTAGATGACAGAGGAGCAAAGTGAATGATGTCGGTATATAGCTGAGTGAAGATCAGTTTCGCGACGTCGGGCGCTGCGATGGCAAGCATCGAGGGCATACATAGTACAAGACGGCCCTATAGGTCGAGTAGGCGACGTCTTTGACAACGACACGCATACGAGGCGGTTGAATGTGCTGCACGCTGGCCGGGCGCCCTGTTCGACCGCGAGGAACAGGAGCAGTACGATTGCTTTGTGGCGTGGGCGGCTCCGCGAACTTGGCCCGTGGTGGGATCAAAGGAGGATCGTCGCTTTGTACGTCAGAATGTTCGATCAGCGGTGTTCGTACGCCCTCATCGTCGCTTGACTCCGTTGTAGGTGGGACAGAGCTGTCAATGCCAATATCAGCCCTCTCGTCGTCCTCGTCGTCCTCATCCTCTTCATCCGAATCGTCGATTCTACCACCTAGTGAGGTGATCTCGGAGATGCTATCGTTGCTGAGGTTGCCGTCATTGATACTTTCCTGTTCGGTGAAGAACTCGAAGCGGTCGACGGAAGCTTCTTGGAAGCCGCTGCCGAACACTATACATTCAATCATGAGTACACGGCGACAAAGCGCCGACATAGGACGCCACTCACTAGTATCGAAGTAATCGTGGCGCCTCAGAATCTTCTTCATCGCAAAGATACGCTTTGATGACCGCAGACTGCCGTTGCGCCGCGGTAGTACGAACTCGACATCGGAATATACCGGGTCATCTAACAGATCGCCGAATGAATCGAGCAAATCCCTCGGGACTGGAAGCCTAGGAATATAAGACGCAGGTTTCGGTGGTTCGGGGGAACCGGTGATTGTACATGTCACCAAGAAGGCGCCCCGATCCGCTCGGGATACCTTGTCGGTGAAGTTTCGCGGCGCGAATTGTGCCCTAGGAAGGACATCAGACCGGAAGACAGTAGATATGCAAGTAAGAGTACCAGCCCCAATTTGCTGTCTACGACACGCATGAGCGACAAAATGTGTGAGCTTCAAGTCTTGACAGACCTTGTAGGAAAACGAGTGGTTGTGTGCCTCTTTCATGACAAAAAGGTTTTTCTTGGCCAAGTCGTGCACTTCAAATGCAAACGTGTAGGCCCCCTTCCGGACCCACCTATACATATATATGTCATTCTGTATTCTTTAGTTCAGCTACTCGGCATACCGGCCATTCAATGCTGCAGCTGCTTCCTTCTCTTCCTCCGTCGGCTAAAGAAATTACTCAGCATGCGACCGCGATCCTAGTTATGTTTGGCTTACTTCACACGATAAGAACAGACTCACGTGGCCTGAACCGGGGTCGCCAGGTGTCCCAGTTCCAGCGTTTGCGTAGAATAGAATCTGGACGAGTGGCGCAGCTTGGTCACCGAACGCTTCCAGTCAGGAACCCTGGGAATATCATACCTGCCATTGGCCGTTGCCAAACATAGCTGATTTGGTGACGCGCGACTTCTGCTCGCCTTTACTGAGAACAGTTGGCCCAGCAATATGAGTCTCATGCCCTGATTGCCCCGGAGTGATGCTATACAAACCTAGCTTCATATATCTGTTTCCAGTCTCGCAAGCGCCACTCGAAAGTCAAGGTCTTAGTCTCCTGAAAATCGTTCACATCCATCGTAGCATTCAAACTACGGTCAGGCGGTAAGCCAGAATGATCAAGTTGGGTGGCACGGGTACGAGTTAGTGGCGGTAAGAGGCAAGTTTCAAAACGTGGTGAAGCAGGATTCGAAGTCGGAGCCTCGCGTTGGGCGCGTGGCGCTCGGCCGACTGCTTCCGGCAATTCGCACGCCTTTCATCACGCATATATTCGGTCTGTCATTGCCGCCCTTACCTTCTTCAACGCCCACTAACGCTTGAAAGTCAGGCACGGGGCGATCAGGTGTCTATCGGACTAAGCTCATCAGGATCATGGGATACTCTCTTTCTGAGGAGTCCGCGGCGATCAGACAGGGCTTGTCTACATATCAGCATGAATAAGTATCCCAAGGTACTCGTACAACTTATAAGCTTGGTGAAGGCCGCTACTTTCGTACTATTCACGAGAGACCTTGCTGGAGCATCAGCTTTTGCCTGGTGGTTCTTTCATCAAAGACTCACCTTAACTGACTGCGACTACGAAGGAGTCCCTCTTCGTGCCATCAAGGTCTTGCCTCCGACTGTGCAGTATTCCCTCGTACACAAACCCCTCCCGAAGATCTTGGTATAGTTCACTCCAGTCAAGTTTACCCTCTGCTCTCAGCACTCTACCGCCATGAGCATTAAGTGATTCGTTGACCACTTCGACTGTATCGAGAGGTAATCCTTCTTGGGCACTTTCCGCACAGAATCGTAGAACATGGATCAGGCTGTTACGTGCCAGCGCATTAGGATGAGGTAGGGGTGTATCATTGAAGAGACCGTGTAGGCCTTCGGAGCCATCCAAGTCCGCAGAATCGAAGACGATATTGGCGACGATGCGCCGGCCCTCTTCCCGGAGATACTTGCGCAAAGTGATTATAAGAGGCTGTATGAGCGGAGCACTATGCTTCACCATCACCGTTGTCACTGAAGGGAGGTTGGCGAATAAGATGTACAGATAACTCTCAGATGGCTGAGCCTCTCGCAGATCCAGATGCGTGACATTGGACAAAGGCCACGATTGCAGAGCGTTCTTCGAGACTTCGTCTTCTGCATCCGCCGAAACTGTTGCCTCAAGCACGATTCGAGTAGCTTCATCATCTTCATGGGCGCGAAGTGGGCGACGGATAGTCATGCTGTGATGCGATGGTCGGGTTTGTCCGACGAATACAAACCGTGAGTGAACTGAGATGCCGTGCGGCACCGGCGTTTCGAGTTGACTTCGAGGTGTGCTCTGTGAGATCATCATTGAGTGGATGATGGGTGGAGTTTTGTTCATGACAAGATCGCCCATGGATGCCGCCAACTGGGAGACCGGCGCTACGCCGATCGGAGGCACAGGGACATCGAAATCCATCGCATTGACGAGGAGTCTCGCGGACCCATGGACGTCCCTAAGTGCACGAAATACGTCGGTGCACAAAGAAGTGGACCCATGCATGATCACAGTGCGGAGATGCGGCATCGAAATGGGAGTAGACAACGCGACATCGGAGGTTTGCGGGCGCCCTGGGAGCATCATAGCCAATAGCTCCAACCGAGGACAACGACCCAAAGCTGCGACAATATTGTGAAGCGCGAAGCACTCCGGCAATTGCATGGTGTAGAGGCTCACACGCAGAGTGCGCAAGTCGCGCAGGTACACCATGTCAAACTCGTATGCATTCAGAGATAGATGCCGGAGATTAGGCACAGCCGTCCCGAGTAGGGCCTCCACATGCGGCCCCATCTCAGCAATCTGGTTGTGACTATGGATGGTGAGCGCGCCCAGTGAGAGTGACTGGAGGGCCGGATGGGGGGTGGTGCCCATTGAACGAATGATGCTGTCAACATGAGGTTGCTCTCCATCCATATCGAGAGAGAGGAGGAAGGTTGGCTTCCAGAACATGGTGGTATACCCGCGCCGTTCCGCGATGAGAGATCCGAAAGCGCTGATTCTGAGAGTAAGTGGCCATAGCGCAGAGCGAGAACGCTGAGTCTCGATACGCCTGATGTCCGCAGCACCTGCGCGACGGTATTTTCGGGATATTTCTATAGGGAGGTGGTTTGCGCTGCACAGACTGACGTCTATGAAGCTCCAGAGGCTTTGGGTGGCGATCGCGATGTCGTGCCACCGGCGGCAGACAAGGAGAAGACCGGTCCAACTCAAATTAAAGAGCCCATCCATATCATTGGCATATAGAGAAGATGGCGGAAAGTATCTCCGGCTGTAGGCGGAGTACAGGCGCTGCGAGCGAGTTCCGAAACTCCTTGAGACGCCTGAGACGTTCGGAGCTTCGCTGCAGTTCTTCTTCGAGCAATGGTAGAAGGATGGCTAAGTCTCGCCCGCGATCTATAGCATCCAGTAGATGTGTATTTGGGCACTCGGCAACCAAGCTCCTGAGTATGTGAGAGTCCATGGGGAAGGTCGGTGGTGGTTCGTAGACAACCTCAGACTGAAGTCTGGTCTTGATTTCCGCACGTGTCTCATATCTTTCGACACTTGCACAAGCTAGAACAATTTCCGCTTGAAAAGGTGGAAGTATAGATCGCTATAGACATGATGCCAAGCATGCGTATCTTGCCAGGGCCTAAATCTAAATAGCTCTAAGGCAGGTCTATAGTCTTGCAGGTAAAGGGAAATTCGAAGGGTCTAAAGTGTGTGCATACGCTAACCGAGCATTACCAAATTAGTACCACTAAGTACGTAGAAAAGTTCGTCGAAAATTCGTAGATGGGTCGTCAGAAACATGGTACAGCAGAACAGATGTGACTGGGGGCTGGAAGGCGGGCATGAGGGGTGCGAGAAGCAGACGGAAACCAGAGGCGTGAGATGCGTATGGTACATGATGCGGTACAGCCGAGCACGGGACGATGCGATGCGGACAGCGGAACATACTGGGACTATACTGCTAAGGAGAAGATAGGAGCGGCAAAACGTGTAAGGAAGCGATAAGACATCGACAGAGCAGGTGCGATAATAATCGTAGTGCAAGATAACATATCAGGGGATGTAAGGAGTGGACGGGCGCCGCGCGCGCCTCTCGATCGAGATGTAGAAGTCCGAGGGTTCTGGACAGAGATATGAGGAAGCGGAAGACAGAAGACGAGACTGAGAAAAGGAAACCGGAAATGGATCAGAAGCACTAAGGAGGCGCGGAAGACAGGTCTACTCCTCGTCTTCCGACCAGATCATTCTCCAGCCCCACTTCAGCGCGCTACCGCGCTTAGCGCCAGACGCATGTACATCCCAAGCGATGGACACGACCCGCTCAGGTAGCATTATACCACCAGGCGGGATCGGACCGCCGCTAGCGATCCTTCGCGCGTTCAGGATGGCGCTGGCGCGCAGATGCGCGTGATGAGCCACAGGACGTGCACGCGGACCACCGCTCCCGACAGCCTGCGCGGCAGACACGAACGCGGCGGGCGCCGGGCCCATGCGTTCGTGCTCCGGCTGGGGTAGAATTTCATGCTTCGGAGCGGGCTGCCGTACGATCGGGTCGAGCGCACGGAGGACGTACGGCTCGGCCGGTGCACGCGGCGCATCGGCTTTGAAGGCGCGAACGTCCGCCGGGCCGACGCCGCGAGGCCAGAAGTAGCCATCGGGAGAGAGCGAGCGCGAGTAGTAGCTGGAGGTGGTAGAGGAGCGTCTGCGGCGCCTGTGGGTGGTGTGCTCGGGCGATGAAAGCGTCAGGAGCGTTGCTTGAACATATGCCTCGTGCACGCGAGCAGCAGACGCGAAGAGAGCGTTCACAGGCGCGAGCCAACTGGCACGCTTGTTGACCGGTTCAATTGCCTCCTCGATGGCCGGTGTCGCGACGACGACCGAGGAGAACGGGGTTGAACGCGGAGGTGGGGGTGGTGGCGCAGGAGTAGCAAGTGGCGTGTCATTGACATCCACCGCAGTGAAACATTGTGCTTGTGGGCGGCCGCACGTGTGGCGCACTGGTTCAGCGGGCGCGGGCTGCGGCAAGAGCACCTGCGCCGGGGATGGAGGTGTGGGTGGCACGCGAACCTTCGCCCGACCGAAGAATGTAAGTGGCAGCCACGAGCGCGGTGTGGCAATCGGTGAGCTGAGGGTAGAGCTCGCGGGTGATAAATCTGAGGTGTCAAGTGGTGGCGTCGTAGGTACAGCAAGGTGGTTGAGTCCGAGGGAAGGCTCCAAGCTGGACAATGAGTGCGCCCAAGCAGCGGCGCAGGCAGCACAGTCTCTATCCTGAGGGACGGGGTCGCTGTCGCGTGGACGCCGGCGCTTAGAGGGCTTTGATGCATTCTCGGAAGGTGCCACCATAAGCGCCGCAAACGCTCTTCGGCGGGCATCCTCGGCAAATGCGGTCTCTGAATCGCGAGAGCGAGCCCTGGTCCAGGGAGAGGAATGCCGTGTAGGGCTGGGTTCGTGCTCGGGGAACAGTTCCCCTTCCATCGCAGCGCGAACGTCCTCAAACGGTACAGCTTGCGGGTTTGGTGTGGGTTCGAGAAGCTCCTGCAAAGCCCGGCGGGTGCGCGGGGTGCCGTGCTTAGCACGAGCATTCCATAATCCCATGCCTGCTCGGGAGGACGATACAGGGAAGGCATATGTGAAGTCCCCGTCTGTACCGGATGATGCTCGCTTTACAGGCGGGGTGCTGTAAGTGCGCGATACGACGGGTGTCCTGCAGACTGTCGTGCGCCGCAATTTACGCTCGGCCTCCTCGCGCGCAAGTCGTTCCCGCTCGAGAGCCGCATCCTCGGCTATACCCCGAGCGGTCAGGGCGTCAATTCGCTCCTTTCTCGAACGGTCGCGTGCGGAGGTAAAGGCGGCTTCTGCGCGAGCCATTCGCTGCCGACGGACAAGACACCGTTTGCGGGTAGCCAAGACTTGGTCGTCTTCGGAAGAGGACGAGTCAGAGACGAGAGGTGGGGTTGACGCCGGGATAGTAAGTTGAGATGAAGAGGCCACTGCATTCTGAGGCGAGCGGGTTGGGTGCCTAGTCCGGGCGGAACTCTTGACGGGAGGTGACTGTTGCGGTGTAGAGCGGAGAGGTTGAGACTGGAATGGCGACGCAGGGGAAGGGCGTGGTTGTGTGCGCTGTTTGGGGATGGGTAGTGTGGGTGGCGACGAATACGCGTGAGTCATCGGTGGCGGGCGAATAATCTGCTGTGGTGTAGGACGTCGCGGGTCGGGCACGGCATGTTGGCTGTCAGGCTGCTCGACCCGAACGTCTGGCCTGGCGTAGGCGCCCTTCTCCGGGACGCCGAGTTGTGGGCGGGACAGTGCAGAGATAGCGTTCTGTCGCATCACTGATGCTTCGCGAGCAATGGCGGCGGCAGAGACATTGCGGGAACGGCCGCGAGGGGGATATGCAAGTGTAGCGGAGGACATGGTTGGGGCGAGAAAGGCATCGACGGGCGGCTAAGATATGTGGTGGCCGTCGGATAAAGCGTCTCCAATAACCAGGAACGACGCGCGCGTGCTCTTCGGGGATGCCGAAATGGCGCCCTATCTACCCGATATATCCAATATGCTCGTCAGCTCGACTGCTTCCCAATCCGGAAGACAATGCTCTCTGACCAGGAGGACTCTACGGGAATATGGGAACGGGCGCGAGGGAGGGAAAGAAGCGACGTGCTTTGTTCCTCCGGGTCTTATAACGCGCCTCAGACCAGCGCCTCGTGTGATCACGATCCGAGTGCCCGCCGCGCCTTCCGTTCCTTTCATCTTCCCCCTCGCTCCAAATCTTCAGCATTAGGTCACAAAGAATGCCGCTGCGTGCGCTGTGGTCTGCCTGTCATCGACAAGCCCTGCGGTCGGGCCATCGCTGCCCACAGGAAGTCCTTCCACCCGCGACAGGCGCCCACCTATCGCCTCCCATCCGTTCCATCCAACAAATCACGAACCCATCACCGCGTGCAGTCACAGCCCAAGTTCTTCCACTCACCGATCCGCATCGCGCAGCTACACGCGCGTCCCATGCGTCTTACTCAAATGAGCCTGCGAACGCCATGAACCCCATCGTCCCGACGTCCTTGTCTTTGTCCTGCACGCGACAAGGCGCGGCGGTAACAACATCTATCACCTTGCATGCCGAACCGAAATCTCGTACACACAGACACAGTTGCCATCCTACATAATACGCCCGTCCAGTTCCTGCGCTCATCTCGTGCGTAATTGTCCCTGCCGAGCGGCGCCGACCTGGCCGAGCACCCTGGCCGTCGGGCACCCGCTCATAGCTTCTACAAACGTCTTCTGCAGACTGCAAGTGGCGTCGATGATCTTCTCGAATAGCTATCACAGTTGGCCATCCAGCAGATACGCCCCGAGGAGTTCGTCCTCACACCCACCGCGCCCGCAAGCCATCTGAAACGGATAGTTCGCTCACAGCAGTTCCAATGTTATGGCGGCGTATCTAGCCGCTGACGCCCACAGGAGCCCATTGCGCCCGAACAGCTGTGCGAGTGTCAGGATGGGGAACGTGCATCTATACGTTTCCATTGACAGTGTTCCCGGCTCGATGGGGTCTACGCCCCGGTCTCATCTCGTTCCCCATCGTCGTTTGAGCGTACATATGTGTCTTCATACCTGCAGGCGAGGAACGACAGACGTCAACAACCTCCGCTTGATTCTCATGTTCATCTCGCGCAACCCTTCGGCCTATCCTCGTACTCGCATTCCCTTCGCTGGTCTTCTTGACTCACACCCGGTAAGTTCGGGCGTCAACCGGCGTCAACCAAGCAAGTTCATCTTGCCGAACCTGGGCCTCGATGTAGTGGCGCTTGTAGAGTTCAACTCGCACGGTGACGCATACGAGCCCATGTTATCGGTATCGCCATCCGACGTGTACGGGTTCGTCTTGTTTTGTGCTGAGTCTGAGTTGGACCGTGCTGACGCATACTACGTTCGCAGCTACACGAGGCTTCAAACTCTTCAAGATCCGAACCCTCGAGGAGGGCCCGCAGTGGGCATTAGCCTGTGCAACAAACTCGACAACTCACTCGATGGCAGGTCGAATTGGTATCTTAGCGGGCAAGATAATCGGCCTTCGCGAAGCCTTCTATCTCTGGTCCTTGCCACATTCCTCTGCTATCACTCATCTTCATCTAGACCAGTCGCTTCATAACACTGTCTAGCGTACAACGTGCCCGTTGCATGACGTCGGCGCATCCTATATAATAAAGAAGCTGGGTGTCCGACCACAATCGGCCTTCTGATTGGCTGAGACGACAGACGGCGCCGCGACACGTGGCTGAGAAAGGAGAAATTCACTGGCTGCATGGCGCGGGTTCGAACCGCCCCCGCGTCGTCGACCTGGGCGTCCACCGTCTCCTCACGGTGGCAGCAGTGAGGCGAGTACTTAAACGGATCCAGGTTTGGAACGGTACACGGTACATCTACAGATTGGTGTTATAAAGCTTCGAGCGTCACGCACTCCCACCACGGAGAGGTCAGCGATATCGATAGTGTACAGTTGGAATATGGCCTCGGTTCACTGACCTGAGTCAGGATCCCCCGCGCGTGAACCGAGGGCGAGCGCAGCGAGCCCGAGGCGAACGCGCGAGAGTAACGGTAGAAAGTTGTATGATGCTTTCAAGACTGCTCGGTCTCAAATATTCACCGACGGGCTTCAAAGCTTTACATGACGCTTCACGGACGCCCGCCACGGAGAGGTCAGTGACGGTGTACAGTACTCTGGATATAGCTCTGGGCTCATTGACCTGAATTAGGATCCCCCGCGCGTGAGCCGAGGGTGAGCGCAGCGAGCCCGAGGCGAACGCGCGATAACAGTATCCGTATCTCGAACAGGACAGAATTAACAGGTGTGTTCCTAACATCCACCTTGCATGGGCTTGGAAAAGCTCATAGTGACGAGTAGGATCGGATCGGGCCCCGTGCAACGCACGGGTCACAGCTAGTTCATAATACAACACGTTATGCCCTGGTCCCTTCACCAGACCTTCATCTCGTCCCGAGGAGCATGTCAAGCGTGATTGACTATCTCATCCTCGTGTTTGTTATCGTGCGCTCGTGTCTTTTGTAGAGGCGCTAGCATTGTGCAGATGAAATGGTGATGAGGTGAATCGTGTGCTCGTCGAGAGGCGGTGTGAACTAGAAGGCACCGTATCCTTGATACACTGCGGTTTCCGGAGGTCGCGGTTCGCGCGAGGTGATCGTTATGCATCTACGGGTTGTCGAGAGCAGATCCAGAACGAATACAGTCCCTTTATACTGCCACGATCCAGTTAGGTAGTCTCACTCTCTTGCCGGTTATGTAGACATAGGATTTAATCGCTCGATGTAAGGCTTCTGGGTTGCTTCCAGTCTACGTTATGTATGGGCGCGCTCTTCCCACTGTGCCGAGCCTCCGCTCATCCAACAAACGTCCACTCTCTTCCGTATCTGGCAGTGCGATCCTCGTCCATGTGTTGTGCTGTAAAGCTCCGTCCAATTGTGGACCCTGCAGGACCCCGTCAGTGCCTGCACGCTTGCACGCCGACGCCGCAGCCGTTCCGCTGCTTGATCGTTGCGTAAATGCGACATCAATCCGGCCCGCGTGGCCTATCCTAGTACATGTGGTAGCGGGTGGTAGCGTGCAGGTCCAGGTATTGCAGATGTGCGCCGAGCCTTGTAGAGTCCATGCATGGGGATTTGTTCTACTAATAGATCTACGCGGCGTTTCTCTGAGTTAGCACAAAGGAAGGTGGGATGTACTTGTTTCGATGAGCATCGATCGCTAGTGAAGAGAATGCCTTACTAGATTGCCACATATTCAGCTCTGACGTTGGTCAATGAAACGTGACGATCGGGACCAAAGCTTTCAACAAACGTGCTGAACCGTCGTTTGAGCGTACCAGAACCCACCAGCTGTGTGCAGATAGACGAGCGAGAGCGGCGATATCAAGGTGCGATCAATCTGATAACTGCGCTCACGCGCAGCGTGCAGGTTGTCTTCTCACCACCATCATCGACACCATGGACACTCCTTCGTTCATAAATATTCTTGACGATAGTCCGCATGCCACCCTGTTGGATGCTGTACGGGGCCGACAAGATCGCTTCACCGTTCTGCCGTTGTTGGAAGCCGAGTTGCATCGTAGCTCACTCCGGCTCCAGCGCCTGAAAGAGCATCGCAACATACTCGCATCCCCCATGTACAGCCTTCATCCTGAGATACTCGCCCAGATCTTGACCGTAGCCGCTCGAGACAACGACGAGCTCTTTGATTTGCGCTGGACCCGGTTCATGCTTGTTTGTCGGCGCTGGCACAACGTCGCGAAGGATATACGTAGCCTTTGGAGTTCCATAGAGCTCAACGTGGGCCGGCCTTATCCCCGGCGCGGCTCTCCCAACATGATCGACGGCGATGATCTCGATGTCAGACGCGTGGAGTCGCAGAGGTTTCGGGCTGGACTGTCACCGCTCACAGTCAGACTGCGACTCCACGGGGTGGTACCCCCGGCAAAGTTGCCTTACGCCCGCATGTTTTGGATTCCAAGCCGACTCGCGTCACTCGATGTCAGTGCGGATACTGCCCATCTCGATGGAGTGGTTTCCTCTATGGCGCCGCACGAACATACTCTGCTCCAGGATCTCACAATGACATGCCTTCAGACTAGACGCGATATTGCCGGGACTCGCGAAATCGAAGAGGTACTGAGCCGGCTACTGAGCGACAAATTACCTCGCCTGCGGCATCTATCGATAGCGGGCATCTTATTCCACCCATCGTCATTGCGTGGAGGACTACGCAGTCTGCGCATCCGCGTGTATGCCACTATCCCTATGGACCTTCAGGATCTCCTCTCTGCGTTGAGTCGATGTCCTGAGCTGGAAGTCCTGAGTCTTTCGTTGCCAAAGGGGCTGCGAGATGAATCCACGCCTACATCTATCACAGTGCCGATGGTCCATCTACAAGATATCGCCGTGGAATGTCCTGTCCAGATATGCATCATTATCTTTCAAACATTGATTAGTATACCGGCTGCAGCAAGGATTGCTGTCGCCGCCGGTCTCGTCGAGGAAATTGCACCAATCCTCGAATTGGCAGCGTATCTTCGCGACCATGCTGCTCGCGAGAATGCTCCCGCCATCCGTTCTGTGGCCATGACTAAGTTTCCGTCTCTTCGGGACTTCCCAGACCTGGCGCTTGATGGCGGTGTCCCCCCTCCCCCTCCTCCCGCGATTTCCAGATTCCAGGTCGGAATTGTTGCACATCAACGATCGAACGCGCGCGAGGCGAGGGCTCTTCATCATCCGCTCGCTCATCAAGACGCACGTTATATCGGGCTCGATGCGCAAGTCTCGCCATCCCTCGAGAGAGAGTACATGGGCGGCGTATTGCAACTCTGGCCATTATCCCGAGCGACGCATCTGGATTTACGGTTCACTCAAATATTTCGCGAAAATGTCGCAATGTTCCTCGCGAATCTCCCCGCACTGACCACAGTCATACTGAGGCCTGAATCCACCGACTCGCTCGCGTTCATCACGACTCTTCGCGCGCAACTACAGGGCGATGGGCGGCGTGCGGTGGCCCATATCATCTTCGATGCGCAGGAGCTAGATCGGCATTATAGCCGTCCATCTTTTCACATGTCTCACACAACAACTCCTAGGGTACTTGCACGAAGAACCCTCATACGCGTGCTGTGTTACTGCAAAGCGGCCTCTCGCGCCGGTGTGCCTTTGGATACAGTGGAAATCGTAAACGAGCCTCAAGAGGGGAGTCAGAGTCTCGTGCATGGAGTGCCCGGCGAGGTGAACTGGGAGGAACTGTACCAAGACCTTGAGATAGGTTTTGTATATGGGGGTATTCTGCACAGTGCCAGACGAGAACTCGACGGCATGAAGTGGGACTTTTTCAAACACGCCGTATACGCTGAGTAGGTAGGATCCCTTATGTAAGTATATACACGTAGACCTTGGTCACTTCATGCAAGTACATATGTCAGATATTAGTGATACTCTCATTACCCAAACGTGTGAAAAAGTGTGATCTTGCCGCATCGTTATAATCGGCGCTACCTGTCTTCTCAGCGATCACCTGGTGGGGAATAGCGTAGTAAACCTGGATGCGAGGAAACAGCGGCTTGATGCCAAAGACTGCCCTTCTGCGACGCGGATGGTGCGTGAGAATGCCTGAAGCACCGGACAAGACCCGGCGGCAACACACGCCTCCCGCAGGAGGCTGTGTCCAAGTAGATCTTGACGCCTACCGCCACGATCTTAGATCGGTGGCCTTATAAGCTCGGCCTACTACTGTCTTCTGCTTACATACATCACCTATCTATTTCGCTATGCCCGAGGAAGAGTTCCGGGAGACGATCATGTTCGAATGGAGACTGCGAGACTTAAAGTCATTGTTCGACGCGAGGTGTGTACATAGGCTCAGCTCTGAAGCTCAGGTTCCCATGACGTTGAACAGCACAGCAAACCAGAAGTCGCAGGTCATCAAGTCTTCGCTCTTCGGCAATGGTCAATGGCAGGTATGTCCCTTACCGCTGGCTCCGTAATCGAATGGTGAAACTAGCATGCTGTTAGATTCTCCTTTACACAAACTCGGGCCTTGGATCTTCCAAGGATCCAGCATCTGGAACCATCAGCTTGTTTCTGTCATGTGAAGTCAGTGAAGAATGACTGCAGGCGCCCTGAGATTCTCACCGTTCTCTTCAGCCCACGATGGGAGAGAAACAAGCCGCTGACGGGTCAGATCTCGGGTATGAAGGGTAACCACATTCCAAGATCGAGTTTGCAGTGACGGTGCCACCTTGTTAGATGGGTGCGAGAAGGAGCGTATGGATTCACCTTTGAGATACTCGACATAAACAAGACGGAACACATTGTGACGAAGGAAGCGCGAAATCACCACTTCTCGCAGAAGGTCAGTGGGATATATTCCATGAACTAATTCATGAGACGCTAAATCTGCTCATAGACCGCTAATTGGGGCTGGTATGTTCTCTTCCGTCCTCTTTCTCCTCATTCTGAATCCTCACAGGGCTCAATTCGCGTCACGGGAATCCGTTTTCTATTCCCGCCCGTCCATCCGACGAGAAGATGCATTGCTTCTCATGTGCAAAGTCGAACACGAGGCAACCACCGGCGAACAAATCTGAGTACGGGTGCTAGCGAGGATCAGCACGTTGTATGGGGATGCAGGTGTTATGGACAAGAAAATCAATCCACCAGCCTTACTCCCTCATGTTCAATCGTTTCGATGATCATTTGACCATTGTGTATAACCAAGCTGTGTGACCACATATGCGAGAAGACGCACATTGACGTCGTTACATTTCTTTTCCGCGTTGACTGTCACATAGAGGGCCGAAGCGCGCGAAACGAAGCACTGGCGTAAACTGAGCTCGCAGACCACCCACGCTGGACCAAGCTTCACGCTGTAGCACCTACTTCCCGCCAAGTAGCATCTTCCTGAAATCTTCCTGCGCTTTCCCTGACGCAGGGCGCGATGCTTCCGCCTGACTGTTACCGCTGTTAACGGGCTTGGACGCCGTAGCCGCAGCCGTCTTGCGTGCACCAATTCCTGCCCGAGGCTTTGGTGCTGCAGCCTTGCGCGGTACGAATGCCGTCGGTGCCGAACGAGTGTTGGACGATGTAAGGTTGTCAGTTAGCTTGAGCGGCTTTCCCTCCAGCATAACGGCGTCAGGTTGCAGGAGAAGTTTGGCCGCATCCTATATCTCGTCAGGAATGGCATGCACGTAATGCATTTGGAGACATACCGCAGCCGTCTCAAACTCCACAATAGCTTCACGCTTATCCAGGAAGACCTCAAGGCGCTTGACGGACGCGTGCTTCTCGAAGGCTTGCTGTAACAGCCCTTCTGTCGTTGATGCATCATGCGCCGTTGATGGGAGGTCGAGAACGCGCAGTGAACGGGTAGCAGCATCCGCACGCTTACCCAAACCGCTGTCTGGCTCTCTACGGATAAAAATTAGAGAGTGAGAACCAGCGGGGCGTGAGATGATGATATGCTTACTTCTTCGCCGAGCGCACGCGTGCATCTGCGATGGTAACCGCGATCCTCCTGCCCTTAAGGTCTTCGTTATTAGCGCCGAGCGCCTTAACAGCATCCGCTTCCGTCTCGAACTCGACGAATGCAAAGCCTTTTGCACGACCTTGGTCATCCAGGGGTATACGAATGTCCTTGACAGACCCATACTGCACAAGATTACCAGGTCAGCCAAGTGCCGCCGCGCAGGACCGTTCACGTACAGCTTTGAAACGTTTCTCGAGATCTTCCTTGGTAGTGAACTTGCTCAAGCCGGCGACATAAACCTCCTTTGCATTTGCATTCGCGTCCGTCCGCTCCTTCTTGCGCTCAGGATTGGAGATGTAGACACTGAGGGGCATGCCGGATTCCAACTCAATACCATGCATCATGAGAGCCTCCTTCGCAGCCGACTATCCTCCCGGTAAGTGACAGTTCCCTCGCGTATCATAGGAAAGGCGGCTTACAGGGGACGTATACTGCACATAGCAGAACCGACGTGTGTTCTTGAACTTCTTGCTTGGCCAGCGAACATCGAAGAGCTCTCCGTACTTGCCAAACGTCTCCCGGATGGCAGCATCGTCAATGTTCTCGGGGAAGTTCGTAACGTACAGTGTCGATTGCCATGCGAGATGAACAGCGACCTCTACGCCGTCGATACGCTTCTTGTCCTTGGTCAGCGCAGCAGGGACGCTACTTGAATCGACGAACTCGACGGTGGCAACGAGCGAGTTGGGCAGGGTCGTGAGTCTGATCTCGCGGATGCTTCCGCACTGAAAGAGTAGTCACATGAGTGCGAAGTCCGTGCGCGTCGAGCAAGGGACGCACGTCTTTGAATAACCTGTTGAGTTGATCTTCGGTTGTCCCTGGAGGCAGTTCGCGGACGAAAACGGTACTGTTCTCACGATCTCTGTGATTCGCGTTAGTACAAGCAGATCACGACAGCGTCTTGACTGACCGTTTCAGAGGTGCGTCCGACTTGGTCTTCTTGACATCGTCACCAGTGAGTGGTTCTTCTGCCTTCCTCTTCAGCGACTGTGACGGTGCTTGTTGATCAACGTCCATAGCGCTCTCCACCGCGCCGGGGTTTTGCGCAGTAGAATCTGTCATGACAATGTCCCTCGCAGGTTCAGCGACCTGTTGGTACTGTGCAGCCTGCATAGCCTCCTGTGCAGCTTTCTCAGCGGCCTTCATCGCGGGTTAGCCTCGTAACAAGGATAACACAAGCATTGAAGGACATACGCGAGCGCGCTTCGCGTTGACCTTCTGCCTCTCCCAGTCGACCGTATCTAAACACCTATTCAGGCTGTCCACGGTGCCGTGAGATTGGTGCAGGGCGATCCAAGCTTCCCAGATAGCCTCTGGCCAGTCCATATGCGGAGCCGTGGACGCTTTGCTGAGGGCAGCATCGGCTCCAGGGAAGTCGTTTGCGAGCCTGGCAAGACATGTAAGTCGTGGGTGAGATATACATGCAGGTATTCGTACATGAGCGTTTCACCGTATGCGATCCAGGGTGTGTAATTTGTCTTGTAATGGCGGGCTGCTGCACCCCATACTTCAGCCGCCTCGGCATTGTTGTCGGTGAACTTATGCTAGATAGATTATGAGCACAGTTTTTGAGCTGATGGGGATGCGGCATACCAGTTCAACAAAGAAACGCTCAATGCGGAAGCGAGGGTCGCCTGACTTAGAAGCTGCCCGGTCATCAACGTCTGTGTCCAGATCTCACGAGGAAAACGCTCACCATCGCGTACACGTTGAAGACCGTCTTCCAGCACTGTGAGCAAATTGCCTAGCCGCGTCTCTGCATCACCTATATCTGAGGTTCAGGAAAGCTACAGGTATCATGACCATGAGGCATACCTTGGTCAGATAGCAGCATGCGCTTCTCGTATCCAGCGCGTGCAAGTACGACAGGTACAATCTCTTCTGGATCTTTGTTGAAGAGCTTCGTCGCGAAAGCGCGGTTGTGGAGGGCTGACTGTAGTCAGTCTATCCGTCCACATGGTCGTGATCAGATGTCCGCACCTTCTGCGTCCTCTGCTTGAGCAGCTACGATCAACGCCGGATTTGCCTCCTGAAGGAAAATGAGCTCAACGTCTGGGGCAAGTAAGATGAAAGCTTTAACGCACGGCAAAGCGGATGTACTTAGCCCATATCTCTCCGTATCCCGGAACGCTGCGCACAGCTCGCTGATAGATAAGAAGCTGGTTGTCTTCGTCGTCCTTGTGAATGCGCTGTGCCGTGCACGTCAACATCAGGACATCATGCAGCATTTGTAAACGTACGAGCGCATCGGCGTACCCAGCCCAAAAGGTCCTCAGAGCCTCTTCTGCGCCATACTCTCCAGCAAACCGACGCTTAGCTGCCTCTGATATCGCACGCTCATAGATTCCAGACAATATGATAAAGTCTGGCTTCTTTGCACGTCGTTCATATGCGAGATATTGGGCGTACGCGTCCAACGAGTAACCTGCTTGAGCCTTGTGGTTCTTTCAACGGTCCTGTAACGCTGCTGAGGAGCTTGGACATACCAGAGTCGATTCATAGGATTCGCGGAACCCATAGCCTTTGACGGAGAACGCGCGCTGCTTGCTGGCTTGGACAAGGATATCCTCGTATTCGGCAGGTGACCGATTGTTGGACGTAAAGGTCGAAAACGACTGGAAGGTCTCGTCCGAAGCTTGATGTGCTCTAGTCAGAAACATGCCCCCTTGGACCAAATGCCAGACATACCAGCGTGTATTTGCTTAAGACGAGTCTGATGGAGATCGTCGATTTCCTCGACGAGCAGGGCCCTGTGTAGGGCAATGAATACGGTGAACAGTGGTATCCAGTAGCGACTCACTTCTGCTCCGCGCTTGCAGATTCCAGCATCTCCAACTCCCAGTCCCGAATAACCATCCAAACTTCGTTACTCTACATGGGATTAATCAAGTCAGCAGGTGAAGAAGGGTATCTGTCGTTCAAGTACCACCTTAGATATGTCCTTCATAGCGCGGGTCATGACACTCTTCAGCATCATGCGCGTCCACGGTGTAGAGAATGCGTCCACAGAGTCAGCCGCCCCATTTGGGGAGAAATGAGCATGCCTGTCTACGAGAAATTGGGCATGCGATCGCAAGATTGGGATGGCTGTAGCACGGTTGAGTTGAGTATATTCTCGATAGACTGCAGAGCAAACTTACAGATGTAGTCTCCCTCCGCCTTTTCGTATAGTTCGTGCACTTCTTGGGCGCCTGAAACCGAGTCGGGGTTGGAGGACCGCTTTTTGGCATCAATGAGAGGCGACCAGACCTCGTCGCCCGCCGCCCAATAGGCCGTGAACATCTCCCGCGCCTCATTCGCCTGCTCTTCCCCGGCAGATGCCGCAAGATTTATGTGTTGTATATGCGTGGGAAGGTCATACGGCTCTTCCGATAGTTTGGTGAGCACGTCTGACAGCGCCTCGAGATCATCCATGGTGCTCTCGTCTCGTCGCGGTGGTCAACGGCAAGGCGCGCGTGGAGACGCGTCGACGCGTTCTGTCGTTGATCGGCATTCCGGGCCGAGCACCGGATCCGGAGACCCCGCGTTCCTTCCGCTGCGCGGTACGGTCTCTCTCAGCGGTCACGATGCCCCGGATAGCGATAAATCTAGAACGATGCAGACGGGGAACCCCATTCCCCTCTTCTTTCTATACCCCCACCGTCGCCCGCCATGTCTGCTGAGAACCTGACTTCGAACAAGATCTTTGACTTGACCGGACGCGTAGCGCTCGTGACGGGCGGGGGCTCCGGTATCGGCTTGATGATCGCGGGCGGTCTCGCTGCCAACGGTGCAAAAGTCTACATCGCGAGTCGTCGCCTCGAGCTTCTCGAGAAAGTCGCCGGCGAATGGAACCAAAAGGGCTGGAACGTCGTCCCGTATGTGTGCTTGTGCAAGTCCATATCCACAGCATTCGATGATTGACGCTTCAAACAGCCTTGTATGCGATGTCACGGACCGCGATAGTATCTTGGCAGCCAAGAAGGTGGTTGAAGAAAAGGATGGCAAGCTCCATATCCTCGTGAATAAGTGCACACTGTTCCTCTCACAAATAAGGTGCCCAGGCTGACTGTCTCCCAGCGCTGGAGCCGTGGGCCCGCGGACTGGATGGCTCAACACCCCCGATGCTCCGGAGAAGAAAGATGCAGAGACCTTCGGCGCAGCTCTCTTCAATGATGGCGGGTTCGACGAGTGGTCTTGGCTGTACAAGATCAACACCTTCAGCGTCTATTATGTTACCGCTGCCTTCACCGGTCTACTAGAGAAGGGCGCGAAAGATATCGGCGGAACTTTCACGTCAAGTGTAGTCAACATCACCAGCATTAGCGGCATCGTCAAGCTTGCTCAGAACCACGTATGTCTATTTCTCGTTCTCGTCACCCTACATAGCTTACCTTGTTGTAGTTTTGCTACAACAGCGCGAAAGCTGCCGCGTCTCATCTGACCAAGATGATGTCTACCGAGTACGCTCTGAACAAGATCCCCGTTCGCATCAATGCCATCGCGCCGGGAGTCTACGCGTCTGAGATGACCTTCGACGAGATCAGTCCTGAGGATGTGGAAAAGGTAGCCCAATCTATTGTCCCTGTACCCGCCGGTCGCGCTGGATTGTGAGTCTACCATGTCATCGGGAAACCGATCTTATGTACTGACAAGCCATGCAGGGCGGAGGAAATGGCGGGCACCGTCATCTACCTGTCTACGAAGGCGGGTGGGTACGCAAACGGACAGGAAATTGTCATCGACGGCGGATACCTCGCCGTCAACCCGTCTACCAAGTAGTTGATCAGCAGGGTCCTGCATTCAATTCACTCAGGGAAGATGTATAGAGCATATCCAAAGCAATAGAGGCAAACTGTAGCAATTGTACGATCCACATCTTGATGTCAAAGCTCATCGAATCCGGTTGCTTGTACGGATCGGCTTCCCCTCCATTGCCTCGCGCATCAGCACCAGACGTATGTCTTCCGGCTCAGGAGATAAACCCTGCTCCTCACGTCGACGCTTGCGCTCCTCCTCTCGCCGCTCACGCTCTCGAATTTGCTCTTGACGTGTTTCCTCGGTGTACACTTCGAGCTTATCCTTCTGTGCGACAGTGTGCAGCTGACTGGCGCAGTATCGTGCAAAGGCGCCAGGTTCGAAGAAAAGGTCGTCGATGGCCTTCTTGGCTGGATCAGGCTCGTCCTGGTCGCTGGTCAGCTCATGTCCAAGATGTATCGCCGATACACCCACTTCGTATCCATCGCCCAGAGGGACAGCGTGCTCACGCATAGCCTATATCAAACTTAGCCAACTAAGTAAAAACAAATGACGCGCGAGTCTCTCACAGAGCCTTGGGCTTTCTTGATGATTGGTTCATTGGATGGCTCACGCACTGTACGGTAGGGCTGCTCGCCGTTGAGGGAAATATGTACCTCATTATTGTCTGCAGAAGATGTTCGCTAGTCTCCTTGCATCCAGAGAACAGGCAAGAAGGACGTACCACCGAAGTCATATACGTACTTAATGGCAATCTCCTCGTTTCCGCAGTCACACCCCACCAGCTCGCATGCGTTGTGTTCTTCATCGAGATTCCAGATTCTCTCCATCGTCAGTTCCGGGTCATGCACCAACTTGTCCAGCACTCCGTCGTCGTCGACTCCCTCGAACCAATCCGGGAACGTTACACGCGGTCGCACCGAGACGTGCATGAGCGGGTAATGTCCCTTCCCTTCCTGATACTGCTGGGCCTCGACAGGCGTGAACTTGCGCCACAAGTCCGTCCAACGGCCGAAGCTGCGAATTTCGCCCTTGTGTCGCTTGTCCATCTTGACGTGGTCAACGACCTCGAAACGGTGTAGGTGCGAATTTTCCCAGCCGAAGAGAAATTGGAGTAGGACATGCAGATTCGCGAAGGTGAAAGTCGAGGGTACTGAGACAATGCGATAGGTTCCGTCGAAACCGACGAGCTTGATGTATAAGTCGATGTACTCGGTCGTTGGGCGAGGGAGGGTGACGAAGGGATTAGGTTCGTCGTCACGCCAGGGTTTGTCCCGCGAGTAAAGGATGTCGTCGGGCATTCGAGGCATGTTGATACGACGTGGAAATAGGCGCGAAGTTCATACAGAGGGGTACCGTATATATACGCGAAGTCGAGCTGTGGCGCCATGACGCAGTTGGTCATTTACGAAGCGACCCCATCACATTCACCCATCACTACGCCGGAGCGAGGGTATTCGCCGACGTGGAGAGGAAAAGCCGTCCCGAAGAGAGAGAATGGTGGCATAAGTACGAGGGTACGTGCGCAGACACAAACAGTCATGAGGTCCGGAACGGAGTGCCGAGTCTACCAAAGTGTGAGAACGACGCTGGGAAGGAGCCTATAAGAAGTCGCGCTGCGCCGGGTATCGAGATCCTCCGCGCCCGCGCTGTCAACTCCATGGATCCTCGCACACTCAAACATTGGCTCAATGAGCGCCCTGATGCGGCGCTTCTGGATGCCATAGATGGCAGGGAAGTCCATCAAGACATATTACCTATGCTCGAGGCGGAACTGCACCGTAGCTCGCAACGTCTTCAGCGGTTGAAGGAATACCGCAACTCACTTGCATCCTTCGCATATTGCCTGCAGCCCGAGATACTCTCGAATATACTCCTCATCTATGCCAAGGATAACGACATGCTCTTCGATTTACGATGGACTCGGCTACTCCTTGTCTGTAGACGGTGGTATGATGTCGCCGCAAATACCCAGAACCTTTGGAGCTACATCGACGCCAGTGCAACTCCTATCGGCTATGGAGCCAATAGACCTCTCCTCAGTCAAGAGCTCGATGCTCGAGATGTCAGACGCATCGAAGCACAGCGGTCTCGCGCTGGACGATCGCCGCTTTCGATCAGGATGCGGATATACGATCCTCCTTCCGATATGAAGATGGCGTACACAACCGTATTCTGGGAGCCCTTCTGCTTGTCTTTCTTAGATCTCGCCGCGGAACACTCTTACGTTTGCGATCTTGTCCGATCAATGGCCCCTCTGCATCACGCCAACCTCAAAACCCTCGCACTGCATAGCTCCCCTAAGTTTGGGCCTGACCCGAGCCCACTGGATATACGAGATCCATTGGACGTTATGCTACGGAACAACATTCCCAGCCTACAGGACCTGTCCCTCTCTGATATCTCATTCGACTGGACTCTCTTACATGATCTCCACACCCTGTGCATCAAATATTATATGAGTGTGCCCGTACCATTTGCTCTTCGCGACATCGTCGCCGCTCTTGAGCAATGTCCTCGGCTAAACACATTGAAGCTCGTACTGCCAACGGACTTCGAGCTTGGTGGCACAGCGGGCTTTGACCCCGTACCGATGACCTGTCTTTACACGGTCATCGTGCAAAGCATGGTTCTGACGGCGTGCACTGAGCTGCTCCAGTCGCTCAGTCATCTGCCGAGCTCGGCCAGGATTATCGTCTGCACTCCAGGCACGGCAGATGTCCAGTCAATCTCTTCGTTGGCGTCCTACATAGGCGACCACGCATCATCAGAGGGTGCCCCTCCCATCCGTTCTGTTGGATTGAAGCTATCTCCGATCCCTCAACCGCCCGGTTTTGGCAATGAAGAGCTACCCCCTATCTTGCCCGACGCGCGGCTCGGCATTGTCGGGGAAAGGTGGCTGGAACATGACAGAAGAGATGAGCACCATCACTGGGTGGAAGTGCCCTATGAAAATGCCGAGAATGCGTATATCGGTCTTGACGTGGGCATTCCCGTGTTCTCAAGCGACCATATCCTATCAAATCTCTTGGAATTATTGCCACTTTCCGAGACCACGCATCTTGATCTACGATCAGCCCATGAGCTATCCACGAGCCATCTCAACATGTTGTTTATAGCTCTACCTGCGTTAACGACTGTGATCGTTGATCTCAAGCCTTCAGCAGTCAAGGCTCTCGTGGTGGCTCTTCGTGCACACCTGCGAAATCATGGACGAACGGGTGCCACGCGTATCGTCCTTGATCATGGTCGCTCAACCCAAAATATTGGGTGGGATGGCGTGGGGCAGCCGTTGGCAGGCGTACAAGCTCGAGGTGCTCTCGTACGCGTCATGACGTTCTGCGCAGAATCAGCGCGCGCAGGAGCACCTCTGGAGGCCGTCGAGCTCGTCCATGAGCCACAACAATCGAGATATCGCGTTCTCGAATCTCCTTCGGACATGGACTGGAGTGAGCTTAGTCGGGATCTTCAAGACGGATTCATTCACCAGGGAGTATTGCATAGTTGTAGGCCGGATCTTGACGGGGCGAAAAGGGACTTGTTTATGACACTTGACGAATGATGATGGTCTTTGAATTCGTATTGATGCCTGAGATCCCTATTCCTGTACTACCATGAGATGACATGAAAATATAAGCATTGATCACGCATATGAAGCGTTGCAATTTGTGTAGAGAGTAAGGTACAGTGCAGGTAAGGATACAGTGAACACCAACAAGACTTGAGCAAGAAAACGGGAAACAACAGCAGACAAGCAAACACCAGCAGCACACACAACTACGCAAACGAGTTCTCCACATCCGCACTCTCCTCGCCTGTCTCCATCTGCGCGAACGTGAGGAACGCCGTTGGCCGATGCATCTCGTCCCAGAACGGAATAGGCACGTCGAGCGTCATCGCGTACCCAAGGTTCTGCGACCAGAGCTGCGTGAGACCGACGCCGTAGTTCCAGATCTTGCCCTCGGGCACGAGCGTCATGCCCAGAATACGATCGGACAGCAGGAGCTGCACGCGCTCGGACATGTTCGGGTTGAAGCCTGGCGGGTTCGGCGACGGATCCTGGTTCTTGCGTCCCCACTCGAAGCCCGCAATTGAGAGCTGGTGGGCGGAGAGCGAGACGGAACCGGGTGTGAACGCGGCGGTGATGCAGATAGAGTTTGATCCGAGCTCGGGATGGTCGGCCATCAAGTGAGCCTGCGTCGAGACGTCCGACGGCGAGAGGTGCGGAAGCTCGAGAGCCTGCGTCTTGATCCAACCGAGTAGCTCGAGGTCCTTGAGCAGATACTGATCGCGCGGCAACTGGTGCGGGAGCTGCACCGAGTTGTTGTTGCCCATCTGCGGGACGAAAGCAACAGCCTTAATCTCCTTGACCTGCTTGTTGTCTGGCGGCGAGACACCGTAGAGGTACGCGGCAACTTGTGTGCGCAGGTCCGAGGCGGTGACGAAGGCGCGGAGGATGTTCTTCGGAAGAACATAGGTGTACGAGGCCGCGTCGTCTTTGACGTCGTCGTTCGAGACGTAGATGTGCTGAAGGCGAAGGGGAAGGTTCGTCGCGGCGATCGCGCGCACACGCCAGTCGGACTTCGAGCTGAACGTCTGCTGCTCATAGTTCGTGGCTAAAAGACATCGATTAGAAAAGAGCGGGACATCATGATGGGAAGAAACGTACTCGTCACCGTCTGGATCGTGTCGCCGTGCACGTTGGTCGTCTGCGTCTGGATAGCAGTGACCTGGTTCTGCGCCTCGGTGTTCTTCTCGAGCTCGGCCATCTGCTGACGCTGCACCGATGGCGCCGCAATCTCCTGACCAAGGATGATGTCACGGATCTCGCTGGCGGTGAGCGACGCGATGTTGACGCTGTTGCGCTTGCCGAAGTCTGCGAGGATGAGGTCCTTCATCGCCACCTCAACCTTGATCCACTCCTCGTCCGACAATGTCGGCCAGACGAAGTGAGGCTCAGTAATAGTGTTCTTGTCGGGGTGGAGAATGATCTTCGCCTTCTCGTTGTTGACGTGAAGGCCACGGAGCAAGAGGATGAGGCGGGAGAACGCAGTATAGCTGGAGATCGACTTGAGCCAGTCGTCGTACAGGCTGAACAAAACCATCTGCGGTTGAGTAGCGCGCTAACAAAGGGACTCTGCGTTAGCAAACCCGCACGACATGCAAAAGAAGACGGGTGAAAAAACGTACAAGAATGAGATCACCGAACTTCTCCATCTTCATGCACGCTTGGAACGGAAGCTGCAGCTCAGAGCCCTTGATGACGATGTTCGGGAAGTCGAGCAAGTGCACCTCAAGCGGGTCGAGCATGCCCTTGCGCGTGACGATGACCTGCTTCGGCTGTTCTTCGACGGGCAGCGAACGTACGAGCGCAGCCACTTCCTCGGCCGTCTTCCACTTCGCGAGCTGTCCAAGACGCTTCTGACCGGCCCAGACACTCGTGTGAATGATCTTGAGGAACAACTGGCCGGAACGCGGGTTGAAGATGAAGATGGCGCCGTCTAACAGTGGACATCAGTACCGAAGCGAGCGAGTAGCCTTGAAGGGAAGGAAACGTACTGATGGGCTTGGTCGTCAAGTTACCCTCGAACGTCTTGTGGATTGTGACACGGTAGACGTTCGTGTCGTCAACGAACCAAATGATCTGGTTCGAGAACAACTCGGAGTAGTTCTGACTGTTGAGGTACGGCTCCGTCGGCTCGGACGAGTACAACTGCAGACCCTTGCGGATACGCTCGCGCAGGACGTGGCAAGCCGGGTTCGCCTTCATGATCTTCGCCATTGCCTGCTGAATCAGAGGCTTCATGCCGGGGAACCAGTTGCCGTACGCGCTCCAGAGGTTGTACGCGAGGTCCATGCCGATCATGACACCAGTCGGCGACGGGTAGATGGACATCGAGTCGGAGACGTAGTCGAGGAACTTCGCGCGCGTGTAACGCTCGATGTCGTGCGAGTCGAAGTCACCCCAACGGAGCTGGACGTCGATCCAGTACTTGTTCGATGTCGTGCCGTCCATCACATCCTTGTTCTATACTCTCCATCAGCATCGGCGCCATTACTCGAGCAACGAAGACGTACATCGGTGACAAGGGAAGGGCGCGAGATGTTCCACTTGTACGCGGAGAAGAGCAGAATGTCCGCGCAAGATGAGTTCATCTTGTAACTCTTACGGGGGTGAATCGTTTCCTTCTGTACCGTCTCGATCTGCAGCGGCTCAAGCTCCTGATCAAACACTTGACACTATAGACGCGGGCGCCATCAGCGAAACTCGAGATGCATAGATAGAGGGAAGGGGCGTACCAAGTCCATGACGACTGACTCGTGGATCTTCTGCCACAAGTGAGCACGGAAGATCTGGATGAGCGAGATCTTCAGCGTCGGGATCTTGCCGTGCCTATGAGCATGCGCACATCAGCTTCATTGCACAAACGCGGGGAAAGAACAATCCGTACATGAAGATACCCGTCAAATCCAACTGGACCTGGAAACCGACGTAGACGTTCGCACGATTGATCGTCGGACTCCACCAAAGCGTAAACCGACGATTCGGGATCTGGTTCAAACCGCTCCTCTGTGCGTTTGTCAACTTCTTGTACCGCATGCTCTCCTCAAAGCCTGACGCCTTCTCCCAGAACAGACCCTCCCAAGTCGGGAAGTACGTCCCCTTGAACAGCGTATGCTCCAGGATACCCTCCACACCGCCCAACGCGGCGATAACGTCGACACGGTAGTTGTTGAGCTGCCACAGCTTTCCGTCGTGCCGCTGACTAGTCCACCAGAACGGATTGTGCTTGAGGAGCTGGTACTGCTTCCAATCCGTCCGTACACGCCAACCACGGTCGTACGCGAGCGTATGCCGGTCCTTCTGGAACAGCGTGTTGATACGCGGGATACCGCGGTCCCAGCTGTCCTCCAGATCCTCGAGCGTCAGGCGGCGGTTCTGCGCGTTCGCCTCTTTGCGCTTGAGCGAGTACTCGGACCAAACGCGCGCGGAGTCCAGGAACTCGGCCTCCCACGGTTGTAGGTAACGGTACAAGTTGGGGATGAGCTGGTCCTCCTCATGCGACATGCCGGCGCGGAAGTGCGTGACGCCGACGTCGGTCTGCTTCGACCAGCGCAAGTCGGACTGCGGGATGAGGACGTGGCCCATGGACAACATACCGAGACCACCGAGCTCCTACAAACGCAACCATCAGTCAACACCGTAACCTCCGGAATCACAATGGTTGCAACGAACCTTGGGCGTGTAGAACACGACCGGCGGGAATCGACTCGGCATCTTCGAGTTCAATCCAATCTTGACACGCGTCTGAATCTTGTTCTCCGCCTTGACAAGAGCGTCGAGGAGCTCGTTGGTGTGGATGACGGCCTCGCGGTAATACGTCATCAATCCGATAAGCGCCGTATTCCACTTGTTCACGATCTTGCTGAACGTCGTCGAACCAGACGACATCAGTACCTGGCGGATACGGTTGTTGAACTGCTGCACGCCTATAGAACCATCTCAGCATTCACGTCCCAGAGCGTCGGTAGGAGAAGAAGACATACCCTCATCGGAGACCCTCAAGAACGCCTGCGCCGTCCTTTCCTTCGTCTGCTCATTCGTCAAGTTCCAAACCGCGTCCTTCAAACTAAACTGCTCCCCGCTCGCCGTCCTACTCTTCGGCAGAATCCGCACCTCGAACCCGCACATGCTGAACAACAGCTGAGGGTTATCTTTCGAGTACACAGACACGAATGTGTCCTCCCATTCGATGGTCGTCAGGGAGCGCGGCAGTGACTGCTTGACGTTCCAAAATACCGCGCGGCCGAGGTTGACGTCGTGCTTGATCAGGCGCATACGACAGTCGCGAGGCCAGCAGCGCTTGTTGTTGTACCCGATGACATTGTTGTTCGTAGGATCGGGGTTGGCAGATAAGTACCGCTGGATAAGATCGCGCGCCTCGTCGGCCGTGAACCTAAACAGCACGTGTATGCGGTCGACATAGCGCGAGTACAAGCGAATGGGATGGCGCGTCTCCGTCGCAGAGTCGCGGTACTGCAAGAAGTTGTTCGGCGCTTGTGGCGGACCGGCCATCTCCGAAGCACGTTGTAGGCCGAGGATGAGGATGTCGAGGATAAGGCCATAGTACTGGAACACGAAGGCGCTGAACTGCAGCCCACGAATGAGGCCGTAGGCGTTTGTGTGCGCCATGTCCTTGTACGTGAGCACCGTGTTGTTCTTTGCCGTGATGTAGTCCGCCAAATTGTGGTCCAAGATGAGCCGAAGTAGACGGTTGAGCAGCGTCAAGTCAATCTTCTCATACACCTTGCTGAACACCGTCTCCATCATGACATCGCACTCTCCCTCGCTCGTCTCCCAGATATCCGTCAGGTTGTTGATACCCTGGCACCACTTGTACACCAACAACGGCGGCGGTTCCGTATCGGCCGGCTTGATCCAGCTCGGGAACAACCCGCGCTTGTCGGCCTCGAAGAAGAGGAACTGGTCGAGGTAGGCGTCCGTGATCTTCTCGACGGGCTCGATGTCGTAGCACGGGATAAGCTTGTCGTACGTGTCGAAGAACTCGATGCCGGCCTCCTTGAAAGCGCGCTGCGTGAGCAGCAGACGCTTGATACGACTCAGGCACTCGTGCGGGTTGTCGTACGCCTGCTCGATGAGCGCAAGCTCTTCACGCTGAGACTGGTTCAGGCGACCCTTGACGGAGTATGCCTCCTTCAGCTTCTCGAGCGCAAGGACGAGGAGCTTCGTGTCGTGCTTGTACGACAGCGGCGGGAAGGGGATCGGCGCGAACTTGCGCGACTCGAGCCAGTGCACCGTAGCCGTGTAGATCGCAACGGCCTCCTCGGCGCTGATGTAAGGCCCATCCTTGAGGTAGCCGTGCTGGCGCTCCTGCTCGGCCTTGAGGTACAGACGCGTCAGGCGACCAAGGTTCTTCTTCACGACGGCCTTGTCGACTGTAGCACCGCGGCGGATACGCTCACGGTTGTAGTGTGCCACCCTGTATGACGGGTAACGGTCAACTCAAAGTTATGTAGATAGTCGAATGAAATGACTGACGAAGTCCACCAGTCTGCCTTGCTCTTGATATAGCGGAGAATGATGTTCTCGATGGCAGTCGGCATACCCGGGACCTTCCACGGAATGTTTGCCTTCCAACACCTCCACGCCTCGCTCAGATGCTGCAAGATCGTCTTGGCCTTGTTCTGCTTGATCGACTCGGGCATCATGTCCAGAATATCGTGCATGACCGCCGCGCGGAGCTCCAGATCGTAGTGCGACTCAACACGCTGCTTCGTTACGGTCTTGGCAACACCCTTCGAGTTACGGCCCTCGAACTGGCGAGCGAGGAGGTTACCGAGCCAGCGCTCGAGGAGCGGGACGATACCACGCATGAAGAATAGCCATACGCGCCATCCAGGCGCCCAGAAGCCAACACCAGGACCTTTGCCGACGGGACCGGTGTTAAAGCGGTAGTAGATCAAGTGCTTGAGGTCCTTCGTCATGCGGACTTGACGCATGAGCTTGTACTTGTAACGGTACATGCCCGTGAGCGCGCCGACGTGAGCGAAGATGTACTGGATCGCGTCCGAGAGCTGGAAAGCGTCGACGTTGCCAAGACGGTACTGGACGTGGGCGTCGACAATCAGTTTTGTGAGGCGCAGGATCTCGCGGCACAAGTGGAACGCGTTTCCGAAGCGCGACTTTTTACGTTCCTTCGTCGTCAGCGTCCTGTGAGTTGCCATGTCAGTGTCGGGGCGTAGACAAGTAAAGCAATCATATCCTTACTTGACCGGCTTCAAGTTCATGTTGTAGTCCAAGTGCAAGTAGTTCAAGTTCTATGAAGTCCATTAGCGCCTCACATCTCCTAGATAGATCGGGAAAAAACCAACCTTGCGGTGAATAAGCAGGTTCAACATATTGTAACCCTGCCTGCAAACCTGCAAGCCCGCCTCAACCCAGTCCAGTTTCGTAGTCTGGAAGAACTTCGTCGCCTTGAGCTGCCTGAACAAGTTCCTCTTCCCCATCGGCTTCTCGGGCCTCGTCCGCAACTCGTTCAAGACGAAGCACTTAAGGAGCTTCTGGTACGACACGCGAACCTTGACCGGCTGGCCTGGCGGACAGTGCTCAAGATACCAGTTCTTAACGAGTGGGATGTCCTGCGCGCGACGCGTGTGGCCAGAGCGACGGCAGTACGGCTCCGGGGCCCACCAGAGCGCGATGGCGTCGGCTGTCAGGTCTGTCTCAAGCGACGCGTCCTCCATGAAAGGCACGACGTCGTCCGGCAACTCAAACTCATCGTCATCTGCACCGTTCGGCCCAAAGATGTTGTCCTCGTGAGAGACGAGAGGCATGTTCTTGGGTGTAGCGCCACGAAGGGAGATGGGGTTGATGAGCGGGTCGTAGTAGAACGCCGGGAGGTCGGGGTCGTCTGTGCGGATGTATACGTTCTTGGGCACGTGGTAGGGCGAGATGTGCACCGAACGGGGCAGCGAGTTGTACAAGTGCGGGAAGGCAACCTTGTACTCCGTCCTGATGGGTTGACGGATGATGACCTTGTTGACGTCGTTGAACTCGTTCCAGTCCTCGTCAAAATTGTCCATGTCGCGGTACAGCGGCTCGAACTTGGGACCTCCCGGGATAGCCATATTGAGCGCCTTGGCCGTAAAGAACGACTTCTTGTCGAACAGGTACGAGGCGTTGATGTCTGTGTGGTCTGAAAGCAGGGTGCGACCGAATCGGTACAGGTTCGCCATTATGGGCAGGGGCAGGTTCCAGTACTTGTACGAGGAGCCGTTCACATGCTTGGTGTCGATGAGCGGCTTTGGGTCGTAGAACCAGTCGATGATCGGCTTGTCCTCGTCCTCGTCAAGCTCCAGCTGAATGGCTTCAAGCGGGTCCACGTCCAGCACGTTGTCGCCGTAGTCCAAAGGCGGTTCCTCGTCGTCAAAGGGTGGGAAACGCATACGCTTGAAGTGCCGACGGTCACGCTTTTCTCGTCGCATTGCCAGCCACATACTGGACCACTGAGCATGGTAGACGGGCTCAATGACGCGCGGAATGTCGTTCACAAAAGTGATGGCGCCCGTGATATGGTAGAGGACGGGGACTTCGCGGACCTGCTCCCAGGGGAACGGGATATTCTCCAGCAGCTTCATCACAGCGTGCGGCACGTATTTCAGAGCACCGAGGTGGACGCGCTTGTCGTTGCGGAACTTGCGGTTGCTCATGTCGCCGTGGTCCTTGATGATCTTCCGCACATGCTCGGGCGGCAGGTCCTTTTTCTAATGTCAGTATATTCGTGCCAAACCATTAATGAATATATGCACCTGCTTCCCCATGTCCACGTAGCCGCCCTTGCGCTTCTCTCCATATCGCTTCCTCTGCATCTGGACCCACTTCTGGGACTTTATTGCCAGCTGTTCGGGCGACAGCTTCGACGGGCCGGCTCCCGGCGAGCTCGTCGGTGCGCCTGGCGGCGGCGCGGGCATGCCGGGCGGCAGCCTCATGCCAGGCGGTGGTGGAGGGAAAGACATGTTCGACGAGCCTGGTGGCGGTCGAAGGTGAGGAGGCGACGGAGACGCGTCGGCCAACAAACTCGCGCGCGCGCCCTCACGCGTGACGCGACCCACGCCAAAAGCGCGCACGGTCCCGCGAGCTTTCGATCGACTTCCACTATCGACTCAGACACGGCCGGCTCTCAAATAAATCATCTTCTTTCTGACTCCCAGAAGGCTTGCACTTTCGTGCAGCCTTGTCATTAAGTGCCAGCTTGAAGAGCGCATCGCGCTGACCCGTTCTTGTCCTCGTCGCACTGTCAACGCCTCTTCTGGGGGCTTTGACCTTGCCTTGCGTGATGCCATTTGACTAGAGAGAACTCGGTGCGGTATGATTGACTCTACGTATGGCTCAAGCACGTCCGAAGTCGACGTGAGGAAAGCACAGTTGAACCCAAATTGAAGACTAGATTAGAGCAGGGTTTTTCTCCGTGGCGGTCTCTCTCTGCCACAGGAGCTGCGCGCCAATTCCGACGACCGCTTCACTGATTACTGACTTTAGCACCAGTCGACTTCACTCGATTTTGACAGTGTCCGGTTCAGGTTTCGGCTCCGTCGGAGCCATGGCCACCGCCCTTTCGGCCACATCCTACACATAAATTCAGCATAAAATCCAACCCATCTATCCATCCTGACAGGAACCCTGCAACTCACGCGACAAAGCCCTCTAGAGCGGCCCAATATGTGAACGATAGATCGTTTCGCTTCTTCCAGAGTATTACGCCATCTGCACGACATCCTATAGCTTGGTAGTAAGCGCAGGAAGAAATCTGAGGCGGGCTACAGGGTTGTTAGATGTGAAAGAGAACTCACGTAGATGCCACGTGCGCTTGCAACCCATGCATTGGATTATGGCGATTTCGTCGCCTACACTCTGCGCTATGCACTTGTCTCCAGCCGCACAGCGGCCACGAAGTCTCGAGATCGGCATGAGCCTCCTCGTGTGGCTGGAGATGACTGAATGGGCACAAGAAGCAGCGATATCAAGAGCTGTGGTTCTTTATATGCCGCTAACACGAGGCGCCTCACCATTACAGCGCCCACGAATGATCACGCGTCTTTCTTCCTTTATTGAATGCATGCATACGAAGACTCCGACGAGTGGCACGCTATAAGATAGAGGTGGCATGTGTACTCAGGATACGCGGTGCGACGATGGCGAATTGGACAAACGAAGATGAGCAGAGCGAGGTACTCGGGCAGCTCAGAACCCATCATCCGACATCTCCTCGCCAGACTCGTCCAAACTACTAGAATACCTACCATCCTCAACAGGCACAAGCTCCGTCCCAAGCTTCTTCCCCCACCTCTCCCGTCTATCCTCTTTCTCCTTTCGTTTCGCGACCTCACGGCGCTCGAACTCTTCATCGTCGATGACCTCGAGCTTTTCAGCCGTGCAGAAGGTGTGCAGCTTGCCTTCGCAGTACTTGGCGAAGGCATCGTCTTTCTTCAGCGCGCGATCAACTTTCTTCCTGTGGGGTTCTGGCTCGATCTAGACGACGTTGAGTATGCATGGCGCTGAGCTGTAAGGGAAGAGAGCTCACCCTCCAGTCACGTCCTTTCTCGCTGAAGCACTGATACATAGCCCGTCAGACGCATGTTCATGAGCCGACGGGGCAGAGCTCACCGAGCCTTTGGCTTCATGAATAACAGGTAGATTGGCCGGCTGCTCGTAAGTTTTGAACGGTTCATCTCGGTTCAAGGAGATGAAGAAACTATGATCGCCTGCGTCGCGTCCATGTCAGATGAGCCACGTAAAGAAAAGCTCTAAGACACCTACTGCCTTTCGTGTTCTGGTACTTGATCGCAATCTCCTCGTTCTCGCAGTCCCTTGGGCAATCCGTATGCGCACAGATATTCTCCCTTTCGTCGACATTCCATATCTCTCCGAGCGTGACTTCCGGACTCGTCTTCAGGACGACATCAGGGTCGAGCATGTTCCAGTTCCATTCTTCCTCGTATCCCGGTGGAGTAGGGGTGCCTGGGAGTGCGAGGCAGGAGGCGAGGAGGCAGGAGGA